CACAGAGGATCCCCCTACCAACCGGCATACAGTATAGCCAGATCCTCTCATCTGATGTTGCAACCATTGTGATGTGCTGCTCTGTTGGCCATCATCCATTGGCCCCTCAACAGTGGGCCCACTTACAGACATTTATCTCATTGGATTAGATAGGATTACCTCGGCGTATCCACGGCCATTGTAGATAGTTGCTATGACGAAGTCCAGAACCATTACCAGTTCTGGCAATATGTTCACATGTAGGTATCTGAGGTCTCACAGTAGCACAGTGCCAGGGGCCCTGCCCTACATGTATATAAAGCTCATGAGGATCTAAGGGAGGACCTTAGATTCATTATCCTATTGTATGCAGCCTAAACAGCCAATTCACCCCCTAGTTGTGAGCATAAGGCTAAGGGCCCTTTGAGCCCCTTTTCCAGACTGCATACCACTGCGTGCGTCCTCAGCCTAGCCCTTGTGGCAGGCTTTTTATGTAGGATCATTTGTGCAGGTCACAAAAGCAGACTTGCCCTTAATTGGATTAAGTGCTTTGGTGCTTTGTAACAGATGTATACCAACAGTTGGGCATCCAGGGAAATTCTTCCACTGCCTACCACCCTCAGACGGATGGGCAGACTGAACGGATGAACCAGGAAATAGAGACCTACTTGAGAAATATATACTTCCTATAGACAGGACGACTGGCCATCCAAGCTACCCCTTGCTATGTTCGCATACTGAAACCATAGACAAGCCAGCACCGGTTATACCCCATTCTACCTTATGCACGGATACCATCCCTACATGGGAGTCAAAACCAGGAAAGATCCCCGCAACCAATTGGCCGAAGAATGGACGAAGGAGATAGAGGAACTTTCCAAAGATGCAACTAATCACCTTACCAAAGCAAAAGGTATAATGAAGAAGTACCATGATGGCAAATACCTGGACCATGCAGCCTATACCAAGGGCGATCTGGTACTATTAGAAGGAACTAATATTACAACTACTCGACCAAGCAAGAAGCTGGACGATAAACGTTACGGACCATTTTGTATAGTAGAAAAGGTCAGAAAGTCGGCCTTCAGACTCAAGCTACCACCTGCTTGGCGCCATATACACCCTGTCTTCCACAAATCCTTATTAATACCATATCGCCCTGTGCAATTTAGCGCACAAAAAGACGATACTACTATACCCGTTCCGGAAGGCAAATTCCCCACCATTAGCCAAATCTTGAACAGTAAAAAGTCCAAGACTGGACTACTATACCTGGTCAAATGGAAAGGGAAGGATGACACCGAGAATACTTGGATACCCCGCTCTACAATAGCAAAGGATTACATCCTACTACTTAATAACTTCCATAAGCTACACCCCAAGGCGTCCAAACTGCCTAATCTCCTTACTATACTCGGTGGTCAAAAGATCCGTGCTCAAGAAGACAAGAAAAGCGACGATGAACCAGATAGTAAGAGAGGAAGGATGACAGAGAAAGAGGAAGAAGAGTGGAAGGAAAAGATCTACTGGGATCATAAAATGATATAATGATATAAGTGCAAGTTCCAAGCCCATGTCGTACTTCACATACCCCTCGATACCCCAATCAGCCTAAACATAGGGCTGCCTGAGAAGTTTGACATCGTATGCATCTGGCTAGTGAGCCCGGACCACTATGTCCACACGGTCCTGTTCGTCGGAACACCCAGGTCACATAACCATCTATTTGTATACCCAGTCAATGCCCAGTGGATCGTAGAAGAAGGAAAGGTCCAGTGCCCAGAACGCACTCATGGCTATTATTATCTCGACGATGAACCAATACCCTGGCAACGCATGCACTTCAAGGATACCTCAGTGAAGGAAGAGGACATCTCCACTTATACCACATATGACCCAGAACGTACTTGGACATTGATATCAAAAGATAAATGGAGCCTGCAAGCCATACACCCACGCATCTACGACTAAAATTCAAGCCTCGTGAGGACACTTCGGCCTGGAGGGGGGGTACCGTCACAGTTTTTCCATGCCACAAGCCTCGAGCGCCCACGGACCATTATTTATCCACCCAGTTACCATATATAGAATGTACCACTACGTCCCCACGTGTATATCTTAGTATACCCATGCCACTTGGACATTCCTCAGACATGTACCAGTCACGTGACCCTACGTCATAGTGACATCATAGGCCTGGACTCCATAGACACTCCTAGGCTTAGATGGACTCCACTAGGCCTGAGCATGTCATAGCACGCCATAATGATGTATTAGTACAAATCTAGGGTACGCAGGGTCTTACACCCAGTACCAGGGGTCTTACCCCACTTGTATATATACTGGCTCGAGCTGAGGCCTACCCCTCAGTTTCGAGTTGGTCTTACTAGAGAACCCTGACGGGTTAGGCGAGAGCAGATCCAGGAGTTCCTCAGATCCTTCACAGGATGGCGATGGTGTTTTGAACGTTGCGTTTAAACCCGTCTTGCTTTAGTCGATTCCTCGCCTTAGTATTTGCATTCATGAGTATCCTCAAATACGTGGGCTCCCTAAAAATTAGATTTCGGAGAGGTTTTGGCCGCCGAGAGAAAACAAACTGCGAGGTTCCGAAATGATGCATCAGGGAACCAGTGATAGTACGTAACTACGGCGGCGCATAATCACCTGCCCGGGCAGGCGGCGTCAGTAATAAGTATAGAAAGAGCTAATCCAATCATGGTATTCTCAAGGTGTGTTCATTCAACAGATGTTCGAGAGCTGGCCAACACTCGAGCTTGGCCATATTTTTATTCCTCGCAGGGTTATAACAGCCACGAAACGAGCCTATCGATGTCTTCTTTCTATAGCCCGCAGGACCACGCAAGCCTTGTGAGTGCAGCATTGCAGATACTTTCGTGAGACCCTCTGCTTCAATCTTACACACATTTTCTTTTGCTCCGTCAGTGCGAAAAAAATAGTCTTCCCGACAATCAGCCCGCATCGCGCCATCTTGTACCTGATCTTCTCAGAGTATGTCTCACAATTCCATCTGGAAGACTATGTATATCACCCTGGAACATTTCACATCAAGCCCTTACCCCAAGGCCCTGGATACTACGCATGGATTGTCATATCGCATGTCTGTTCTCATTGGCGTACCGTGGCGATTGACGAACCGACGTTGTGGGGCCGCATATTGTTGCAACCGTCGCAACGGATCGAAGCCATGTCGGAATCCATCAAAACGATGCTCATGCGATCAAAATGGGCAGTGCTCGATGTGACTATGGACTTTCGAGGGTTCAGCGGCATGTGCTTTGAGCAGCGAAATATAACCTCGGTGCTGGCAGAGCTGCGACGGATCAAGGCACTGCGCATTCACGGAGATGCGGGGCAATCCCTGAACGTGGTGTACTACGCAGCAGCACCTCCGGAACTTATTTCGCGTGAAGCCCCGAACTTGCGAACAGTTGAAATTGATAGTGTCGGCTGGAACCATCGCATGGAACGATTCAGCCTGCCCTATGATCCATTTCATCTCACCGGAGAGTGGGTGCATAACCTGCAGAGCATCGAGATCATGTCATCGGGCGGTAGCTTTCCTTGGGGTCATCCATATTCATTCTCCGGACTAAGGCACCTGAAGCTGGGTCCAGATGCTTGGTGTAAATCCGCTCGAGAAGATGTGCTACGTATCTTAGGGCAGTTGCCTCTACTGGAAACGCTCAGCCTGCGGCTGCGCGGCCGACAGAATGAGCTATCATCGACAGGACCTGCCACATCTTATCAATCACCCACTGTCTCCCTGCGCAAGCTTCAATGAATCCTGCTCGCCGGTATTGATGAAACCTGCATGGACTTCCTGGAACATCTTTCTATCCCTCCGCAGGCCATCATCTCGCTCAAGCTTTTCAGCTATCGAGAAACAGGCTCAGACCACTGGATAAGGAGTATCTCTACGAAGCTCGAAAGCATCATGCTACCAATATCGATGGTTATTTGGAGAAACACGGAGTTCAGTTCGCATTTTAGGCTCCACCGACGACCCGTACTCTTCCCGCTCCTCTGAAGGGCCCGCTAAGGTGCATTACAACTCGACATGACGTCTCAAGGATTTGATCTGCATATGTGGGAGACATTCTGGTCCTTTCTATCGGTCTTACAAGTCAAGGTACTCGATCTATCAAACCTTCATCCCTCTCTGTTCCAAACTTCCACTTTGGCAGCTTCCATTATATGAGGGACGTCGAGACCCTACGGTTGCACTGCTTTGATAATAAACTCGTGCAAGCATTATTAGGCCAAACAGAAGGCACCACGCCCGAAAGATTCATCTTTCCTCGGCTTCGTGTCCTCATGATGGACAGGGTGCGCTTCGGAGACCAGATGGACTACAAGTCACAGACCTCGAGCGAGGCTTTTCGTGCCGTAGCAGACTGCTTGATCCAGCGTCACCGAAACAACGTAGCCATCAATGACCTTATTCTCACAAAATGCATCAATCTGGGCGAACATGCGGTGGCAATATTCAGGGAACTCGTGCCGACGGTATTTTGGGACGGCAATGTCAACTCAGAGGATGTAAAATTCGGATTGCCAAGACCGCCAAGGTAAATGCACAAATGCTTTGAACTGATGAGATCTTTCTGACTCGTAGTCAGTCAAAGACATGGGCGTCGAGGATAGCTTTCAAAGTCAACATCAAGATTGGCGTAATGATCACGCATCCTGTCCTCACGAATCGCATCCATTTGGGCGAAAAGAGACTTGAAAGGCTCGTTCCTAGAGTCTAGTGGGATGCAAATTTTGTCCTATAAACATCCGATGTTTCGATTTGCATATTGGTCAGTGATCGACGAAACAGGCGACCTCATTCAAACGACCACGACGACATCCGAGCCAATTCCCTGTGTCTCGACTATCGGCGAAATTCAACATGTATATATGATACACTGCGTGTTAGCAATTGGATAGTTTTCTTCAATTTCAATGCAGGACTGCAGAGTCGACGAAGGTGCATGTAGAGGTACTGATTTCGAGATAAAGCCGATCTTCTTGATTAAGTCATCGTAGCAAGATGCGCCCAATATACAAGTCATGCAATCTCAGAGCTAGTTGAGGAGGCCGTTCAGGCCTCGCCAAACACTTCAAGTGCATCCTCGAGGATCCCTCCTTCATCGCCGTTAGCATGTCCATTTATCGAAGCAGGTGGCTGCAACGAGTCGTCCACCTCTCCTTCTGCATCTGCATCAACGCGTGATAGCAGATACATAGGATCCATAACCTCTGCCAGAGCCTCCTCCCGTTCTGCCTCTTCCTCGGCACTCATTGGAATGTGCGTGACCTTGATGACATCCCATTTGTCGAGATATGCCTCATACGCCTGATGACGATGACTATCAGTTTATAGAGAGTGCGCATACAAAGAGCGCGACGAACGTTGACACGTTTCTTCTTGAGTAGCATCTTGCGCTCAATGTTCTTATAGTACGCGCCTTTCGGCCGATGCTTCTTGGGCTTCGTGTCATCCGCACCAGCTTCGCCCAAAGCTCCTGCCCCATCATCCACAACGAGCAGGAACTCGTTCGGCACTTCCTGCTCGACTTTGACGGTCTCGTAGTCACGCACGAAGTGGAATGGCGTCGGCTGTATACATGATATAGTTGCGCCAGATTAGAACAATCGCGACGGATGAAGCAAATGACGAACCTCCTCTTCTTCTATATCATCTGGTGTCTGTGTCAACCGCTTCTCCTTGAACTCGATGGCAGCTTCATCTTCCTTTGTCAAATAATATGCTAGGAAGTGATCACCGTCTGATTCCATAGGACGCAAGATCGCACAGTTTAAGCGTGGGTCATCGACCTGTTATTAGCAGAGTAGTCAGATGCCACTTCTTGTCCGAACATTGGGACACGTACGTCAGGTGGCCGCTCCCCAGGCCGCTCTGAGAACCTGAAGAGATCGTACGCATTTGCCCAGATATCTGCATCAGGGAAGATCTCGTATGATTCGACTGCAGTAACATCGGGCTTGTTTGGATGCTTGAGCGTGGTAAGGTCAAAGTCCTCCGTCGCCGTGAATGAGGACTCAATATCGCGAATCTGTGCAGACCGCGAGATGTCAACTGGAACGTCCATGTTGCGTTTCCTGGATTCCATAATCGTCAGGCTTTCGTAAGGTGTACTTTCGTCGAGAACGTACGGCTCTTGCGAAAGCATGGAACGCGTAACGCCCTCCCGACTGAGATACTCCGTTTTCCGCAGCCATGGGACATGAGGCATCGATGATAATGTTGCAGAGGCACTGATCCCTTGCGCTCCGAAGAGAGTGCTCATATATGGCCCGGACGTGGATGGGTCGCCGAGCAGGAGCTGGTCCTTTGGGTCGAGCGGCGGTGTGTTATTGGGATCAGGATTCAGTCCTGCAAGAATTTATCAGTCAGAACACACAATGGCGCAAGTGCGTCCAACAACAAGAAAGCAGGTGTGATGACCGTTAAGTCGCGATGGTTCCACTACGAGCGAATCCCGAATGCACCTGGTAAGCTAAAAAGCCTACAACCTCGTCCTCCTTTGCGGTTACCGGTTGTACCAGGTTGCCCTTATGCGTGCATGGAGCCGACGCCGTCTCTGGCGGCCGCAGATGACCATCGTATGGACATGACCTAACTATCTGCTCTTGAACACGCACCGGAGTCGTCACCATTCTCCTCCCACAAGCACTCCCACCGCGACAGATCAAGAGGCATTCCGAGGTCGCCATCAACAATCATGGGAAGAGGCGTGTCGGCTGCTATGTCGTCCAAGAATTCGGGACGCGCATATCGCATAGGGTCGGTAGGCATGTCCAAGATTTTTGGAGGACATGGTGGTGCAGGCAGCGGATTCGAGTAGCGGACTCGAATGATTAGGTCGAGCTTGCTGGAGGACGATTGGTGATAGGGAATTCAAGCAAGGCGAAGGGAACTTACCTCTTTCTGGAACTCATGGTTAGGAATTCACCAGTTGACCGACCAGACGTTTCGCCTCTTAGCTTAGGAGAAAAAGCAGAGGATTCTAAGATGATGTTCTCGCGGCGAGCAGAAATAAGGCCAGAGCAGCGTTAGGAACACAAGCGTGCGTTGAATAGTAGACCTGAGCAGACGCAGCCACAGGAACAGGATAAAGGCGTCGTGGGAATAATCCAATCTCGGTTCACACGAATTATCTCATCTTATCAGATTAGCTCAGCTCATATAACACTGCCGATACGCAGTCGCGATCTGTGTCCCTCCATCATCATGGTCGAAGTCGCGCCTTTTGAGTATACCCAGTCTGACACAGTCGAGGTTTTGGCCGCTGCATCTGTCCAGGTCCCAGAGACATCGGTAGAAGGTGAGCTCACCGCGCTCCTTCCCGTTCTCGAATGCTAAGGACAAGAGATCACTAGACGCCACGGTTGAAGGAGACGACGAGCCCCAGAACTCACTTACCAGAAAGTTCACTGAGGACGAATGGAGCGGTGTAAGGGCACTTCGGGTCGGCATCCGCTCCTATCTATAACGCGTATGTGCACTGTTGACACGGTGGCATCTAGGAGGGGCTTCTAGACATCCTCGCGCAGGCGTACCCCGATCGGGAGGACCAAATGGTTTCCGTTACCCTCTGGGGTGTGAGCATCGACCCTGCTAAGACAAAGGATGCGCGTGTGAGCGTGCTCCTCGTAAAGTTCCTGCGTGCTCGGTGCGTTCTCGGTCGACGGGGTCGCCGCGAGTCAGCTCGCTGACGACACGATGGTTCAGGGACTTGAATGTGGACGAAGCCAAGAAGATGCTCATTGAGACGCTTCGGTGGAGGAAAGAGTTCAAGATTGAAGAGGCGATGGAAGAAAAGTTCCCAGAGGATACCTTCGCTCCACTGGGTCGGATGTATGGGCGCGACAAGGAGGGTCGCCCCGTTGTGTACGCTCGAATGCAGTCTAGACCTGTCTGTGCGACAATGAACACCGAACTTGCAGGTACAACCTATATGGCGCCAATAAAGACCTCGATGCCGTGTTTGGCGACGTCGAACGGTTTCTCCGGTACGTCCGCCGGCATTTGTCACGGTCAGCGGCTCACGTCATGTCGCGTCCCTTGCGCTGGTTCGATGCTATAGTTGGCGTGTCGCCTTTATGGAGAGGAGCATCGAGCTGCTCGACTTCGAGAACGTCGACCAAATGGTCCAGATACACGGTGTGACATCCTGCCAATCGTTTCACTCTCCGCTGCTCACTTCCAGGACTATTTGCAGATTACGACGGCGTTAGCATGATGTCGAGAACGCCTGGACAGAAGGCCGCTGCGTCCCGCGCATCTGCGCTTTTCCAGAACTATTATCCTGAGCTACTTGTACGTCTGCGCGCCTGGATAGTCTAAGCTATCATGTGAGTGCGCCTAATCTGACTTGAGTATTACCTGTACAGTTCCGCAAGTTCTTTGTTAATGTTCCTAGCTTGATGGCCTGGATCTTCTGGATGTTCAAGCCTTTCATCTCAGCTAAGACTTTAGAGAAGTTTAGCATGGTCGGGACTGGTCCCAAGACAATCGGCGTTGTCCTGCTGCCAGTCATCGAGGCGAAACAGCTGCCCAAACGTTACGGCGGAGAAGCAGATGACTTAGCCTGAGTTCCCCCCATTGCTTGCCGGACTGTAACATCATACTGCTCCTTGCTCTTCTTGACTAGCTTCTTGTAAAGACATACCCGTTAGCTCCGCTACCGCTTCTCACTACTCTCGCAAACACGTCTATGCCCGAGCTGTATTACATGAATTCTGACTAAATCACTATCACTGACGGGTCGTGACTTTAAAGAACAGACCCCGAGATCGCTTTATGTACTTAGCGACCCGGTTAAGATCATCAGGCTAAAGACACTGCCAGGCAAATAGATATCAACGGGAAGTACGGTAAGGCACAATGATACAGAATACAAAACTACATATACAGATATCTATGCACGATCCCCACGCAGCCGACGAGCCAAAGCCTACACCGACGTCAATACATGTGCAACGTCCCTCTAGAACAACAATGCACTCACCAAATCTTTTGGTTGGATTGTCACGCGCTTCGCATGGATAGCGGCGAGGTTGGTATCTTCAAAGAGCGACACGAGGTACGCTTCCGAAGCTTCTTGGAGGGCCATGACGGCGGATGATTGGAAACGGAGGTCGGTCTAGAGATCGTTAGGCTGTGAGAAGGAGTGGTAGCTCGGCGTGCATACCTTGAAGTCCTGCGCAATCTCACGGACAAGACGTTGGAAGGGCAGCTTGCGGATGAGAAGTTCGGTCGACTTCTGATAGCGACGGATTTCACGGAGAGCGACAGTTCCAGGACGGAACCGGTGAGGCTTCTTTACGCCACCAGTTGTGGCCTAGCGTGTAGAAGCATTGAACATCAGTTTCCTCCGTGACAGTAATGGGACTTACTGCGGCGGTTTTGCGGGCTTGTGATTTGGCAGCGAGCTGCTTACGAGGTGCCTTACCTATAAGAAGGACGAGGCGATCAACCACGGAAACACCTAGAAGCAGCAGCATCACATACCACCGGTGGACTTGCGAGCGGTCTGCTTGGTACGGGCCATGGTAGTTGAGGTTGGATATGTGTTGAGGTGGTGGTGTTAGCCGTAAAAATGATAAGTGCGGTTGAGGCGGAGTGGAGACTGGCAAGGCCCGGAGTGGGCCATTCTTATACAGGCGCGGCGCGGCGCGTCGCGATAAACAGCGTTGAAAGGTCACGTGCTGACGCGTTTAACCGCGTTCAACAAAATAAAGTTTGTTCCACGTGGAGGTCGGCCACCCCCCGCGTCGATATATAACAGCATCTACAAGGTCAAACGCCTTATTTACCTTTGTGCTGTTACTTCTATCATCAGCCACTGCGTTCTTACCTATCCCTCTAATAAACAACCGCGAATTTGCAGAGATGTCTGGCCGTGGAAAGGGTGGCAAGGTACGTCCTCCCATGCATTGCATCGAAAGGCGGAGCGCTAACTTGGGGATGTTCTTCGAATAGGGTCTCGGAAAGGGTGGTGCTAAGCGTCACCGCAAGATTCTCCGTGATAACATCCAAGGTATGCGGTGTCCTGTCCAACTTATGCCGTATATGTATCGACATTATTCCAGGGATTACGAAGCCCGCTATCCGTCGTCTGGCCCGTCGTGGTGGTGTGAAGCGTATCTCTGGCCTCATTTACGAGGAGACCCGAGGAGTGCTCAAGATCTTTTTGGAGAACGTGCGTCCTTTGTCCACCTGCCACTGCGAGAAACTAATCATCGTCACTCCAGGTTATCCGGGATTCTGTCACGTACACGGAACACGCGAAGCGGAAAACAGTGACTGCACTTGATGTTGTATATGCGTTGAAGCGGTCAGGACGCACGTTGTACGGGTTCGGTGCATAGATTGTTGGGAGCTGTTGGACTCGGTTTTTACTCGGTGTATTTTTATCTACTGTACAATAGTATTGTCAATTTCTACTCGTCTAGGCAGGGCTTCGTCTTCTTGATAAGAATTTGAAGTCCTCGGTGTTCGCAACCTTTCTGTGTTTGGGGGTTGCCATTGTAAGTAAACCCTGCGTAGTTCACCGCGAGTGTGTGTTCACGAACGCCGCTCGCAAACCGCAGCGTTCGGCGGATTCTCGTTATACGTCCGTGCCCTTGAATGTTCGCTGAAGTCGACTGCTGGTTTTCCTGTTGTGGGTGCGCATCAAGAGCATGCAACACGATAAGCAGTGAGCATGGTCTCTGCTTGTACGCCTGTAGGTGAAGAACGGTGTCCTCGCATTTCGCTGCAGACATAGTGCGTTTAGCCCGGCTGGGAAGTTGTACGACCCATTCTCCGTAATTTCTCCGCCTCTCTGGTATGTCGGGATAAATACCTCCCGTATCGCTTTCTGATCGCTCGCAGAATTGCCATCATGTCGTCCGCAGTCGCATAATTCGGCCATTCAAACGTTCAGTTTCAAAAACAAATCCTCAGCAGCTGCTGTCCAACATCCTCTTCGCGTGATATATCTATATCTTCTGCATTTCTGCAGGGTTTCTCGACCCGCAATGTCTAGCATCTTCCCTAACGAAACGCTCTTCGCCATCTTCGAGAACCTCCCTCCCACCGCCCTCGTACAGGTCACCTGCGTCTCAAACAGATTCCGTGCGATCGCCGAGCGGATCCTTTATTCTAACATCGTTATATATGAAGGACTCTCGCTGTCGAACTCACGCCCCTACCCTTACAAGACACTGCGGTGCTGTGAGACGCTGCTGCGCTATGCAGACCTCTGCGAGGTGGTCAGAAGATTCCACATTCGGTGGCAGACCGATGACGGTCCGCGCCAGCAGTTCATACCCTTCGTCGAGCCAAGCCTCGTCAAACTCAATCAAGTGTTGCGCAGGCTGGGCCAGCTCGAAGTGCTCGAGCTGGCGTTTGGTCTCATCGGTGCGCAGATTAGCGCACAGAGCATTCTCCAGGGCTGTTCGTTCCCCTCCATGCACACCTTCGCAATGTGTGGGATCGGCCGCGGAAGTATCCCCGCAAAGTACCAGCCATACACCGCGTCTATTGACTCGTTCTTGGCTGTTACCCCATCCATACATCATCTCAGACTTTCTGACCATTACGATCCCATTCGCATCAGATCATTGGCCCTACCCGCCCTCTCCATATTCCGCGGTACCGCCGTCACAGCGGCGTCCATCCTCCCTGGGCGGTCCGTACAGTCCCTTGCTCTCGTAGGGCAGGACCACATCGAGAGGGAGCTTTTAGCCCATATTTCCCGCGGGAGCACACCCATCCGCCGACTCGATCTGAGTGGCATTTCCGTGACGCCGACGCTGCTGCGAGACATTTCGCAGCACCTCTCCCGTGTCGTATACCTGAAGGTCAGGTTCGCCTTCCGGCACACCCTGCATCACTCGTTCACGGGCATCGTGAGTGATTTCACCGCACGGCGCTGATCCACTCCTTTCAAGGCAATACTGACGACCTTGCCGGACCGTCTGCCTAGAGCATCCTGGCGGGATTGACTCCCGTCTTGGGCGCGTTCTCACAGCTGTACCAGCTCGACCTTTCGCCGACGCCCGTGTCGAATATGGGACTCGGGAACTCGCTCGAGGAAAGTTCGCTCTGCACAACGTGGGCACGTAGCTGCACCTCGCTTCGGCAGGTCATCTTTCCGTCCAAGACGGAGTGGTCGCTCTCGCCGGAGCAGATCTGGGTCCCGCATTCCACCCCGCGCTATACTCGGAGCTAGGGAGGCTAGGCCCTCAGTATGCCGCACTGAGGGCCCTGTGCGCGTGCGTGAGTCCGAGGTTGTGCTGAAGGGCTCGTGGGGAGTCAGGAAACTCCCTGGCTTGGCGTTCGCAGCAACAGTTTGAGACGGCGAATGGCACATGCGAGGAAGGCGTCGCGGAACTATGCGATGCATTCACGCAGCCATGTGCGCCGCAGATGCCAGGACATTGACAGGTCACAGAACCCTACATACTTATCCGAATTCTTCCTGGGATTAGGCTGGGAGGGACTAGCTTGAACGATATTTGTATATATTCTCAGTGTGCACACCTGATAGAATGGACTTTTATGCTCACCTAATCCGAGCCGTCGGCTGCAGAGCTACTATATGAACTGTTATAGGAACGGAGTAATGTACGCTTTTCCAACTACAGTGTGATCCAATACAAAGGTCCATTGGTATTGAGCGCAGCTCATTTGAATACCGTGGGACGAACAGCGAAATAGCGACCTAAAACCCCATTTACGGCAAGGGATACACTGAAGAAGAGGGTATAATGTAAACGCTTCGATTTAAAAGCAAACAGAAGGCAGAACAGCACAGAGAATACAGACGCAGTTAGATAACCTTCGCCTCGTTCTCATTCTCGTCTACGAAGATGTCGGTATAATGTTCCAGGATCGACTCAATAGCCTGAGCATAACGTCAGCCGGATATTTGGTAGGCCTTTTGAAACGGACATGCATCATACCTTGTTCTGTAGAGATGCGTCAGCCATGCCGTTGATTTGCCCATTCAAGTCTGGCGCCCTTTGGCCGAATAATGTTGGCCCGAAGACGATAGCTAAGTTCTGAATTGACATCGCGTTTTCGTCTTCATGCTGGACAACCCTGCAGACCACGTAATGAGAATGCATTCGAGAAGAGACATGGAGTCACTCACTTGTGGAGGTGTCCCATGAGGTACTTCAGGGTGGAGTAGTTCGGGTCCGGGAGGTCATTCACTCGTTCATGCAGGCGTATCTGCCGTAATCGCTCGTTCTCGTTTCCTGGAAACGAGATCAGCCAAAGAAGCATCCAAGAACAATTCACTCACTTGCCGCTTCGAGAAAGGCATGATGCAAGCTAGACGTAAGCAAGGGGTCTGGTAGTTCCCGCAGCCACAACTTGAGCACACTCGTGACATTGCTGATGTCCGAGGACCACTCCTCCGCATCAAGGTTCACAGAATCCAGATCTGCTTCGACGTCGGAAAGATCAGAACATGGGAACATTTAACCATCCGCGGGATTATCCCATACCTCGGTCCAGCCGCTCTTTCAACTTCGCAACCCTGCTCATCGTCCCGCCTATCCTATACACGCCCGTAGTTTCCAAACCATACTTCTCGATGGCCTCGCAGCACTTTGTCATGATAGGTGGCACCTCTACATCGTCCCGCGCCATCTGCTCCGCCAGGTCGACGCCAAACGTTGGCCGGCCCTTGTCAGTAATCTGGGGATGTGCCATACTCGGCGAGCTTGTTGCATGCGGTCCAACTGCTGCGATCGGCGGAAGCTATCGTCGGAGGCACTTGCGTGAGCCCATGGGAGCGCATGACGATGCGGAAACGTACGAAGCCTTCGTCGCGCGGGCCGTCCCGGCGCGGGCCTTTGGCGTTGGAGCCTCCATGCGCAAATGCGTAGTTCTGCATGTATGTCTTGAAATCGGTGCGATTGTCAATGGAGTCAAGCGCTCCCTTGAGACCAGGTGCACCTATGATCGGAATTCTCTGTCAATCTTACTGTGGAGGTTGTGAGAGAAGGAGTACCGTTATCGTCGACCGCAGTCAACGTTGTTCCATCACTCATTACTATGCTCTCACAAAGGAAGGCATAACGAGATAGATGATACTGTGTCCCGAGATCAAGTTCGTCTACGTATTCTTTGAGGGACTGACCATCGCCACATTGGCATCAGCACAGCACGGCTCAAGCTCAAGGGGAAAATAGTTACTCTTAACAGGCGTGGGTACTGGAAGTTGAAGTACTCTTGTCGAATAACCTGCGCGTCCATGACTGACTTCCGATAAGTGTCCGACTCCTTGGACATGCGGGCGCGTATGTCATCCTCCTGCCTTTGAAGCTGACTTTGAAGTTAGCCGTCTGTCAGTCTTAGAAAGAGATACCTATACATTTCCTGGATTCCTCCCTTTAAGGAGCAGGCCGCCCTTCGCCACGGCTTTCCCGATGGCTCTCTTTCCACCTCCACTGACGCCAACAGGCGTCCTACCTTGCACCGGCGTGTCTCTGTATGGCTCACCCTCCTTCTGTAACAGAAGGCGCTCGAGCTCTTCTGCTGTGGTATCTACTCGGCTCTTGTATTTCTCCACCGCAGTTTCATGTTCTTGCAGAACTTTCTCGTATTTATTGGAGAGTTCTTTCACCTGCATTCATGAATTTACTCACTGTACCGCTATTTGCCGGAAGGGAAACACCCACATTCTTCCTGTTTGAGTCCACCTCTTTTGCGAGGGTCGTCAACTCCTGGCTCATCTCATGTAGCCGTTGTGCAAAACGTATTCGATTGTCAGCGATGTGCTCATGAGTCTTCATAGCTGACTGCCATGCAGCGACATATGTTCTATGCCGGTGTCAGCATGGTGCAACGCGATGTGCAAATATAGCCATGCACATACCCGGCCTTTCCTTCGTTCATAGAATAGGCATCGGATGTAGTTTTTGCCAATTTAAGCATATTACGGCCATACTCTTCTTCCAGGAGCGCACGTTTCTTGAAGAATGCGGCAGCTTCCTGTAGTGCATACGTCAGCGCTCGCCACAGGCCGAGGTTGTAGGCAAAGACGTGAGATAGAGAGAGTGGTCAGAGGCATCTTCTAGGTCGTCATTTACATCGACCAACGGCGAGGACAGGCCCTGCAACAGAGGCTGCAACTCTTTCCTCCAGAGAATGGAGTAGTCGCTGAAAACGTGGGCCTCGTACCATCTATGGACCAGCTATATGCTTGAAGAGGAAGTGATACATACTCGACAGGACACCATGCTCTGCTTAATTCGGTCAAGTAGTAATTGAATTCCACACTACGGAAGAAGTCAACACAACGTATAACATACACTGCATGTGCTCTCACATCCATGTCGCAGAGCGCCCTCAATATACTCTCATCGAAGCTCGGCTCCAGTAGTGCACTAGCCAAGGTTGAGGTGTCCGCAACTTCCGTAGTCGCATGCAGTGTACTGTCGCGCCATTTGGAAGTAGACGGCCTTGCATGCGATTCCCCGCTGGACCGAGGTGGGCTTGATTTTGTCGGCGTCGGCGGCGCAGCACCGTTTACGTCCAAAGACTCGAGCGAACCGACTGCATGGCCATGCGGTGTCCGACCGTAGGAACTGCTGTGGTGATGTGAGGAGTGATGAGTGTCGGAATCAGCGTTGTCCCAAGACGAAGTCGAATGTCGCTCCTCGCTCATGGTCGCTGTGAAGAGCGAGTGTACCGACAGACACGAGTCCGAGAGCAATGAGACCAAGTACTGGACACTTGTGGTACGTGGTAAATGACCTTACATAAGCGCCCATCACACATCTCTCAGTCCGAGATGGCAACCAATCGTGCGCATATCATTCGGGTACCATCAACATCTTCGCACAAAGCGTTCGCGACGTATCCTTGATGGATTGCCGATGAGGAACAGATTCGCCGCAATGATGTTCGCTTCTCTCCCGATAGAAGCGGAATTTAACACGCATCTGATGTATTAGAAAGTCGAGTTGGACACTCCTTCAGCCTACCACGGAAGCAGCAATGCCCGACTCAAAAAGCGCATCAGAACAGAGTTGCTTTAGAATCATTCAACACTATTCTGAATCGTCACCACGATCCGACCCATATTTCGATAGGCTCTCCTCCAGCACCAGGCTTTTCTCCTACCTTCTCAAACGTTATGCCCACATCTCGAGCCATATCCCACAGCGTTCGTTCAGCAGGATCGCGTTCCTTGTATCCCAAGAGTATCATGGGACGCTGTGTGGCAGCACTGGAAGATCTTGGTAAACTGCCGAGACTGACGAGAGTGCGGATCAGGGAAGGAAATGAGGCCGTATTATAGGTGACATCTGCCATCCTGCGGAGTAAATCTGTAAGTCTACCACGCCATACGCGCTGGTTTGCCAAACCTACACAATGACATCGAACCCGCTGTCTATGCAAGATATCTCCTCTGGTGCATCTTCAATGTCCCAATCGAGCACTACTGCTTGAGGTCGAGTGAAAGGTGAATTGAAAAGGCTTTCGTTCGCCCGGATGTTATGCTCCAGCAGGGGCATTGCCGAAGCTATGCACAGGTGAATATGAACGCTTATTCCGTACAAGGTAATTGCAGCTCACGAAGATCAGTTGTGATGACGCATCCTTGAGTCGGCAGCGGCACAACAGAGCGCAATGTGCCCAAAGTCAACGAAACAATCCCAGTCCCTGCACCTGCATTCAAGCATCATTGACAATGAGCTGAGGTCGAGAAGTATTCCCATTACCCAATTCAATGATGTTTCCTGCAGCAGAGGAAAAGAGAAGACCTTTGAGCAGCGCTACGCGTTCAAATGAGGATTTTAGCGCAGATCCTTCACTGTGTAAGTCGACAATCCATGAACTCAAGCCGATACCGCTGTCCCATATTTTCTAGACAACCTTTAACACTGTCACATAATCTCGTGACAGAAGGAGCGCTCTCTCGGCATACCTTATCCAGGTCAAAGGACGTCTGTTCTGTAACGGTAATAAAAGCCTGTCCATCGCCACCGCCCAAGGGTATCCTATACAAACGCTCGATTTGTTCTTGTTTTCCGGTACTGCCGGCACCTGGTTTGCCCTTGTAAGAGCGCGAGCTGAAGTGTATAGGCATGGACAAGACAGGAAAGGGTCGTTCTCCGAGACTTAATGATGCCAAATCGACAACATGCGGATCTCCTCGTGCATGAGCAGTAAGAATGAGTCTGCACAGCCGTCCCTCTCTAACTCCAGGAGGCAGTGGCACGGGTATCTCTTTGTATGCGTTGCTTTCGCGCCAGATTGTTAGCTTCTGTGGTTTGGTTATGATTGGTAGGGAGTCAGTCTTTTCCCCGGGCTGTTTGTACGACCATGAATAAAAGATTTCTTGTGACTCCGCGAAGCGTTCGGTGCGCAAATCATTTGCGATTTGTGGTGTTATGGATATCGACCCTGAAGGAGAGACTTGCAAAGGTGGTGGTCGGAGGAAGGATATATAGTAGAACATAAAGTCTTTCTTCTTCCCAGGTTCACCCCGTGCCAGCAAGTACGATACCAGAGCATACCAGACCAGTGAGTACTTGAGTGCTAAGCGCTAAGCTTTTTGATAAGTGGACATATGGTCACGTGAGCCATCTTTTGACCGCGTCGCAGCCGAAGACAAGCCGAAGACTGTCGTGTCCCAGCCGCCTTTTAAGCTCGACCTCACTTTGCTAGCTATCGTCGCATGCGTCTGCAATGGTATTCTTTGCAAGACTACATCTTCCAATTTCAAGCGCAAATTTCTGAACTCTCTCTTTTGAAACAACCAAGAACCCTCGCGAGCCGCAGCGGCTGACCTACTTTCAAGTAACTTCAGAAGTTCCGAGCTTGGCGATCCCATCGAATCCTGTTTCATTTCGTCTTCATCGCTGTGAGGGTCCTATGCTGTGGCTACTTCGCTCCCATCGGCATCTATCTAAGGTGGCCCAGCAGAGTCGCTCCTTCTCGTTCACGCCAAATCCTAGGCTACTTCGATCACCAGCGAGACAAAGCCCCCGTATTGGGCATACGAAACGACCTTCACCAGAGCATGTCACTCAGACCGCGGAGACAAAGTTCTTCAGCGAGCAAGTCAATCCTCCATCTGCAAGAAACCAGATCCTGGTGAGTCTGACTTCTCTCACCATTAGCTATCTGCTGATTGGAGCCAACAGTTCTTCACCTTTGGATCGCTGTTTGTGTTTGGAGTGGCCGCTAGAGAGACGAACAATGATACATACTACTGGACGAAGCGCTTCTCTGACTCAAGTGTCGTATGGAGCTTCCGATCTCCTACAAATGGAGAGATGATGAGGGCGAGACACATGGAACTTGGCAAAGTAAAGTTGATATTCAGCACCTCAATGAGTAGCTCACCTAGAATATTAGACGTTACAATCCGGAGTGAGAAGATTGCAGGACTCTTTATCAGGATGGTCAGAATCCATCAGAAATACCGTCACTTATACCTACGCTCAAGTAGCCCAAGCATACTTGGATGTATCGGAGGGGAAGCGTATGTGTTACAATATCGCAGCGATCAACGGAGCTGTCTGGGTGGCCTGGCAAATCCCTCAGCTGCAGAAATTCATGATGAGGAGTTTTACACATAGCCCGCTGTCTGGCCTATCCTACACGATGTTGACAAGCACATTCAGGTGGACATATTGTCTATGTACCCACTTTTAAAGCACTTGAACTGATATCTCGATGTCCGTAGCCATCACAGCATCTTCCATCTTCTCTTCAATACCATAGCAATGACTGGTTTCGGTAAGCTCGCCAATGCATCACATTGTCTATGATTCAGACTGGTATCCTCAGGTTCTTCCGCCGCATACTATCTATCTCAAAGGCAGGAAGATGCTAACGATCTGCGTGAGTCCACGGGCCAGTGGCACTTCCTCGCATTCTTTGTTTCCGGTGCGCAGCATTTATTTCAGTGATGCACAACGACCTGACCGTGTCTGCACAGCGGGACTCTTCTCCTCCTTGGTGTCCCATTTCGTTGCTGCCCGTTTCACTTACCCACGTCTACTCATGAGTCTCACACGCGCCGCAAAGTCGTCAAGTCCCGCATCAAAGTCCGTGTCGACCACCTCTCATTCGGCTGCAATGGCCAGCGTGGAAAACATCTCCTCAGTGATCAAGCCATCGCTCGGTTCCTCCGGGGCGATCTATGCTGCGGTCACCTTGACGGCCATGGCATTTCCCGAGTCGCACGTTAAGCTGATATTCCCGCCAACACCCGACATTCCCATACAATATGGTGTTTTCGGCCTTATGGCGCTCGATGTGCTCGGTGTGCTGCGTGGCTGGAAGTGAGTAGTTCCTGGCGAGCGGCCTCCGTCTTGACTTATATTTGTCTGTCGTCTAGGCTCTTCGACCATTATGCACATCTAGGCGGTGCGTGCTTTGGCCTGTGGTACTATTCTTATGGCCCACAAGTATGGGAGTCTTTCCGGGAGCTCACCCTTGGCGGCCTGCCTCGTTCACTCCGGGAGTAATATTATAATTTTAATTTACAACGCGTGGCTTGCGAAGCCCGCGTGTAATAATCTCCACTCCTTCACGCGTTCGGCTGTGAAGATTCATTACTGGTGATGTTCTCGCAGCGGATCTCCTCGGTGAGAGATCAGAACGTGCCATCTGAAGCATTGAAGTGGGAAGCAGGAAATGTCACTTTGCAACGGCACTTCGCGACGACAAGTCAGCATGGGCGTGTCCGCCACGAAACGCATAGAGGACCATGGGTCCTTGTGGCCAGGGCGAGAGCGACTTGATGCAGCCACGGAGCGGCGGCCGCGGTTGCGACGAGAAGCTGTGCTGATGTCAGACTTGCTGTCGGGGAACCAAATTTGACTGTGTCCCCTTGGACAGCGTGTCTGTCTAGTACGTGCCCTCGACGGGGTCAGCGATGACGGAGCAAGCAGGAACAAAGAAGTCAGGCACGAGAACATGGCACTTAGAGCGATCCCCCAGGCTCTCACGACCATAAAAAAGGGCGTACAGAAGGACGCCCTACTTTAGATCACTAAAGAGATAATCGTCGGCCGGCGGGCCAGGCACATTAATGCCGACTTCGCACTCCATAATACACTATGTATAGTCTCTAAACACGACGAAGTAGTATCCGACTCGTCGGTGTGCGCGGACGGTCAGCTGCGCGCGAGCGTTCTCGTAATGAACGCAAGGGGCAAGGGGAGCATCAGCACCCCAGAAACGTCCGCGGGAATCCGGAAGTGGCCATACTGACCGTGTACAACTTACTGCGGGGATCTTCTGTGAGCCATCGGTAAACATGCGAGTGTATTGATAGATCTGCTCGACAAGTCTCGGTTTATGAGGGCGGTTGTTTACTAGCTAGTATTTGGGAGAAAAATATTCTCATTGCGATTCAGTTTCGTGTATCGGTGAGCATTAGCAATACAAAGGTTCACCCATCGTAAGGGTCGCAAAGAAGAAACGCATCTTTTCCGCTGAAGCGCGGGATACACAGAGAGCATGTAGCATTTTTCCGACTCATCACCATCTCCAAGTTGGCGGTAGAAGCATCCTTGCCGAGAAAATCCACTCACAGCTGGTACACGAGGTGGTACAATGCAACAGACTTTGACGAAGCGGCAAGCATGCTCGTGGATAGTGTGAGAGAGACGGAACGAGACCCAAAACATCAAACTTGTCGGCCACCGCCGTAGAGCCTGGACAAATAGCAGAAATGTCGAGGAGAAGCCTCAATCGACCACATTGCTGACACCGCAAGGCGAAAGAAGCAGCACCGTGGCGGCAAAAAGTGACTCGTTCATGACGATATCAAAGTCCACAGATTGGAGGTAGGCAATTATGAACCCACGCTGCTTGATGTTCATCTTATGGGGTTGGATAGCCGCTCATATGACTTGATTGCCATTCATTGAACTAAGAGCGCAGCTATAGAGCGGATATTTACATTGAATGAGCTTGATGAGCGTTTGATGACCATCCCACTAAACCCAATTACTCGGAGAAAGATCTCACCTATGATATTCTCAGCGCCGGCGAGGCGGCCGCGTGGGGAGGCAATGAGCGATGAGCGCTGTGTTTGAACCGCAGAAAGCGCGCGGGCAATCCGAAGACTTAGCGAAGGCCGCCACTGGCTGCTCGAAATGCTTGAGACAACATTATCCAGGACCGCCAACGGGAGAAGAGAACTCGCGCGCGTCGAGACTTATACTTGTCCACCGTCGATCCGGAAAGAGCTCCTTTCAGCGCGTCGCTGACTGGTCTTTTCTCCCGCGCGAGGCTTCTGCAATTAACGAGTGTGCAAGATCCGGCTCGGATGGGAATCTCTTGTACTCGAGCCGGCGGGAGAAGCAAGAAGCGCCTGCGTGCATCTGTTGATTTGGGCATACGGGGAGCGAGGTGGGTTTTAGCGTGAGCAAGCTTGGAGATACGGACCCTGCGGGGATCTGCGAGGCCAAGAGAACGTATTGGACGGCTAAACTGCGATCTCTTGGAGGTAATGGGAGAATATTTATTCGCTGGAGAGATTCTGGAGATTGACCACGTTTTAAAGCGCTCCCATGCGTCGACCCTGGAGAAGTGATGAGAAGACGTGAAGAGGATATGGTTGGATGATTTTCCGTGGCATAAACAGTTTGGTATGTCTTTCATGCCATGGAGGTGACTTTCACAACACTAACTGGTTCTAAGGCCTAGCCTACCGCTTCTCTTGCTGCGGACGGACAGAATTCGGCTACTTCCTGCTAGCGGACTCCTTCGACCATGAGCTTACTAGCTTTTCTCGAGCGATAGACTCACATGCGGTGATGATGCAGCCGCTAGGAATGCGAGTTGAAGGAAAACAGCTTCACCTGTGAGAGTGAATGCGTTATGCGGTCTCATAGCGGAGCAATGCAGCCCAATACAGCCTGAGTAAATCTTTAGGCCTTGCTGGACCGTCATCGTCGACATACACTCACTGTATGGTGCGTTTACCCCCAACGAAGTTGTCATCATCACTCCTCCGCTGAAACGCTCACTGGCATGATGCTGAGACAGACATATCTAGGCGGCGGCGGCGGCGGAGTGGTTTCAGAGAATTGACAGCCAGGAGACTTCTTCAACCGGAGGGGTGAATAAAAGACTCTGAGCCTCTCGCTCGCCGGAGGATAATGCCTCTCTCGACTCCGGCGCAAACCTTCAAATCCATCAATGATCAATCAATCCAATGGTCCGGAGTGAACAGGGCGGCGCACGCACGGTCCTCGTGGCAGAAGCGTGGCCCTCAAGACCCCACAACGGAATGAACAGGCGGCCAACGAGGCCCTCCGGATCTCGCACTCGAGCCCGCCAGTCTGTCAGCGCATCAGGATGCGTCCGACATACAGGCGGTCTTTCCACCGGCGCCAGGCCTCCGCGCCTCGTGTCCGAGGATCGCGTCAGAGAGGTCTGCGACAGACACGGCGTGCGGTGGCGGCCTTGGAGCCGAACGGCGAGCGACGTCTATGTGGCGGACTCCACTGCTTCACGCTTCCCAGCGCGAAGCCCATCTACAAATTCGTTTCCAAGGCCAACACTTCGCATGCAAGTGCGGTCGAAGTGCATCTCCGGAATACCTCCTGGTCAAGGACTTGTAACTTTTTTCCTCTAGCACTAAAAATCTGCATATTTCGGAATACGTGGCCGCGAGGCTGACATGTGGCGCAGGAGTTCCTGACGAGGCGGCACGGTCCCTGGCGCGGCGAAATTCTACTGACACTTGTGCTGGTGCGCACGACAGGAGGCCTCCTGTCGAATAGGTCCATATGTACGCCACGCAGAGCCTGGAACCGCGCTCTCCGCCATGCTCGGACCAAGTGTCCCACCGATGGCAACCAAATGAAATCCCCAAGGCTGCCACCGAGGCTAAGCGAGGGCTGGCAACGTTTGAGAATTGCTCGTAATCGTTGCCGTCATCCTATCGCAGAAATTCTCCGTTCGCAATTTTTTTGGCAATTTAGCGAAGGTTTCATCCTCCTCGGCCGTCAGATTGATAGGCGCTGGGGCTGTGCCGGCGGGTCACGCAGTCACGCGCTACGGGATCACCGATGCGCGTATGAGTTGCCTTTTTGGACAGGAAAGCGGACGGATCGGGAAGGTGATGGCGGAATCAAAATGCGCTGCGCTGATCATTGGCGCGAAGATCCCGTATTCTACGATTGATATATTGAATGCCCATGAAGTTATAGCATGTATTAGGTGCAATTTGATGGCTACCCTTCGGAGGGTAAGTGCACAGTGGCTAACGGCATAATGACGACGCCAGCTCAGTAGACCACAGGCTTAAAGGGGGTTCCATGCACGTTTCATCAATGAACGAGGCTGTCATTTCTAATGAGACAAGCATGTATGCTGCGCCCACAGTCAGATGGCTGAGAACCTCACAGATCTAATATATGGATGATTTGCGTAGAATCTGTTGATCTTTGTTAACAACATTTGCTGAGAATTTGCGTCGGATCACGTCCTGAACCGCACAAAGACGTGGGCATCATGTTACGAAGATGGACGCACCACAGCACTACACTGACGGCACCCAGAGTCCCGGACGCGCATGATGCCCACATTTCGCAAGACGAGGACCGCATCGCGACTCCTCCCGGCGGGGCTTTGGGTGCATTTGCTCCGTGAGGTCACGAAGAAGCCGGTGGCTTACTAGACTATAGAGGTCGTTATTAACGTTTCACCTGTGGCCGAGGGTGACACACGCAGGCGCTTCGGCGGGACGTCAGCAAGGATATGCGTATGCGCCTTCCCATCCTAACAGTAGGCCAGCTCGGTGTCTGCTGACGGTCAGACGATGCGGTGGCGCCGCCACTGGGCCGATGTCGGCCTGGGAGTGCGAAAAGTCTATTGTTCTCGATGCGCGAAGAGGCGTATCCCCGTGACGAGCACTGCAGCCGGCTGCACTTGGGCCCTTATCGCCTATGCTGGTGCGGACAAGAGGCGGAGCCGTGCAAACATTCTACACGTCGTGATTCTCGGTGTGGCAGTCGCACCGGCGCCGCGTCGGGATGGTTTAGAAGATGCGAGCCGTCGACAAATGGACCATCAAAATCGGCCCTGTGGCGCCGAGTCATCAGTGGCGTTTTGCACTTTAGTCCAGCGCGGTCGGCCGGGTTCCTCCTATTGGAAAGAGAAGCAACAAACAAGGGCGTTAATGCGATTCATAAAGCTTTGAAGGCTCATAAACACGAGAAGCTGGCGACGATGAAGATCAGGATGTTGAGAAGGATTCGTGCGGAGACAAGACACGTCGTCGTCTGTGCAACGGGGAAGGTGTCCGCCGGATATGGAACATGGCGTGACGGGGGCGTGACGGGAAGATGGGCGCCGCGCCAAGGAAGCGGGCCCGGCGGGGGAGGGAGATCACTAGGCAGTGGCGCGGTCAGACGTGGAAAAATTCAGGGCCGTCGTATAACAAGATATGCGACTTGTATAATAGCCTCACCTCCCCGCCTCAAGTTCCCCGTATCTCCTTCCTCCTTCCCTCCCCGACGACGACGATTGCGACTGCAGGCATGGACACTTCCGCCTTTGCACAGTACTCGCCCCTCTTTACGTCCGGCCTCCTCTCCGGCCGCACCACCCCCGAGCACGACTCGGACCGTGCCCCCGCGTCTCCCTCCTCCTCTCGCCTGTCCTGGCGCCGCCGCCATTTCAAGCGGGAGCACCACGACAGCCTGCCTCTCGCCGTGGACACCGCAATCACCAGCTTCTACGCGGTCGTGCGCTCCGACATCGACCTTGCCGCGGACAATGCCATGTTCCTCACTCTCATGCCGCACCGGCGCCAGACGGACGGGGGCCGCTCGTTCCTGTCCCTGGATCTCGCCGAGTGCCAGTCCATGCGCTCGATGAGCCTGCGTCGGAAGGACACCGTCACGACGCGGGCTACGACGTACCTTGGGCATTCTGAGCCCAACTCGCCGACGGGAGCCTTGAAGACAATGTACGTTGTGACTATGTGTTCTATGTGACCCATCCTGACAGAACCCATTCATGCAGAGGAGAGGACTTCACATACTCTCACTTCGGCCTCGCGAGCCCTCCGAGCCCTGCACCCTCTAAACTCCGCCGATCCTCTCGCGAGACTCTCCGTCTCCCTTCTCCAAAGCCTGCTCCATCCGTTCGCTTGCCTGACCCTCCAACAGTGCCCACCTCACGACGGCGGCGTACATCCAATTCCACTCTAACGCTCTCTACTGTCCTCTCTGCCTCCCCATCATCAACGACGAGCCCCATCTCTCTGTCGCACCACGCTTCGCACTCGGCACCGTCGCTCCTCCACATGCCGCTCTCCATGCCGCCAAATTTCCAGCCTGATCATTCCTACTCCTTCTTCTCGCCCTCCTCACCAACCGCACCCGCGAGTTTGCCCCTCGCATATTCACCAGAGTCATCACCCGCACCCTCAATCGCGTCTGCCCCTGCGGCCATCGGGCTCAGGGCATCACCATCCTTCCGCTCTGTAGCCTCCGTCAACACGCGTTTACGCAATCGCTCCGCCGCGCTGGCGGTGCTCGAGGGCCGGACACGGGCGAAGGCGCCTTCGCGGAACTTCATGAGCATGAGCGACGACGAGGACGAGTGCGAGCCCGAGGCAGAACAGGAGCCAGAGCAGGAGGACGATCGCGATCAGGCCGACGTGCAAGCGCGACTGTTGGAGGTGCTCCAGGAGGAGGAAGACGTCGTCATCCCATTGTCGCTATCGCCCTCAAAGCGCCCCGCAGTGCTGATTCCCGATAACATGAAGGACGAGTCTGGCAAGTGGCTCAGCGGGACGTCGCGTTCGCCGGGCGCGGTGACGGGTTCGAGCTCGACGCTTCCGAAGAGGAGCCGGAGGGGCACGCTGGAGTCGTTCTTGCAGCCGCTGGCGAACTTCATCGATCTGAGAGATGACGACCGCTCATCGAGAGGCTGGAGGAGCTTCGTCGAGATCTCCTCATAGCTGTGCGCGGGGCGCTATGCCAGTCTTTCGCTGCCGCTTGAGGGCACACGCAACCACTGCGTTCAAACACGACGCCCTCACTGCGCGCGCTCAATGTCAACGCTCATCGCTATGCGACCTTACAAGTTTGATACGGCGGCCACTAATCTACTTCCGTTACGTTGCATTCTGGCCTGCCGTTCATGTCCATATCGTTCTGCCATCGCCTTCTATCGTCGTCCCGGGTCTCCGTCTGGGCGCTGTTGCATGATCTACGTAACCACTATTCCTCTTGAACTTATCCGCTCGGCGGCGATGTCGCCATCGCTGGCCTTCGCACCTACCCTATGCTTTACACAAACAGAATTTTTTCCATTTCGGGAACACTTGGTGAACTCTTTAATGCACACTAGTCTCTTCGTTGCTTCCCACATTTCATTTCACATTTCATGTTTCATCGTCATTGCTCATCGACAGCTCTCATGCTCTCTTGATCTTCGTAATGCATCATCACACGTCTTATCTGTCATCTAGCTATCCATTCGTTGTGCCGTTCCCAACACCTATTTAATTTACTCCCTGGGCTCGCTATCGATACTGCTCGCCTATAAGTAGCACGCGCACCATACTGTGCGCTAACCACTCCCTCTCTGCGCATCGCTCCTGTACCTACATACAGATACTCGCTCTTGTGTGTACCGCTGGCCACACAGACAATGTATCAAATGTAAACTCGAACCATTGCCCGCGCGCAGTGAGATGAGTGGCCGGAGTGGCAGGGGAGAGTTGCTTGTTTGGGCAGCTAAGCTGCCTTTCTCGGCGGGTCTCACGGTCTCGAGGCCACATGAGAAAGTGGACTGAAACAGCGCCGATGGTTTTCCCATACCTTGTTCCTCGCATGCGTGGCTCTTGTTCTTGATTCAATACTTGCACGTCTGCTCGGCTGTGCATCAGAGCTCTGAGAAGAGAAGACGGCCTACCCCGAGTTCGACCCCTTGCCTTGGACAGAATTAGCCGCTCTTCCCGAAACTGAAGTGTCACAGATGTTGATGATGTTGATACTGATATCGCGCTGATATTGACCAGACTGCAATGCTATATGAGCCTGAGCTTGATACATCGCATGTATGCGTAAGAAATCATCAAGACACGAGTGAATCTTCTCAAAGCGTTGCTGTCACGACGTGCACTTGCACCACCGTCCTTCGTCTTGGCTCTGATCAGCGTCCATGAGACTCCCTGCACCACGCAAAACGCCAGAAGCTACCCTGCTTCTCATTTCCTCGCAATCGTGTTTCAGCTGCCTTCGAACCCTCCCCCCTCCCCATCCCGGCGGGCCACGTCGCAACCTGAACCCTGAGGCTGGGAAGCGGAGCAGGAAGAACACCACATGGCCACGTCCCCTCTTTTCATTCCTGTGAGAGACCCGTCTCGTGGCGCGTCGTACGAGGTCTATGGAGATAGGGATCTACTTATGAGCTTGTTGGGAGGATGGTTCTTGTGCTTCCGAGGACGACGTACAACAGCGCTACTAGAGACCATCACGAAGTCGGAAGCCAGGGGGTGGGACGTCTTGGGAGTGTCTGATATCTGATGTCTGATTTCGCCCGTATCTCAGACGACTGGGCTGGCCATGATGCATAACACGAGAAGGCGAACGCTCGAACTAGTGGTGAGAGCCCGTACCTCAACTTCCACGCCGTCCAGGGCTCGGAAGTATCACTGTATCAGCATCGACGCAAGATGGCAACGCACCGCACCGCAACTCAACCGTTCACGACATGCTGTGCAGTCTCGGTCGCTCTGCCGCCCTGTGTGCGGTGCAGTGCAAGAGAGGTCTTTTATATTGGCGTCGGGCTGCATAGGTGCTTGTCATGATTAGAAGCAAGCCCTGAGAAGCTGGGCTGTCCAGCCAGGCGGTCTTGCCTGAGAGTGATATGTCAATTGCAAGGAGGCGGGCGCTGACGGGTGGATGGCAAGATTTGTGTTCAACTGATGTCAATTCAGTACTTTCCAAGTAGATGGTGGCAGCACGATTTGTATGTATTTCGTGCAGGGACCGAGGTCTAGTTCTCGGTGAAAGAGTCTCACGCCACCGTAGTAAGCGTCGTACCACAGACTCCATCGACTCCATCATGCTAACCATCGTCCCATCGACCATAAATTTGATCTCTCCTTCCGCCGAGCTGCCTTGGAGGACCAGAGCCAAACACGGATCTGGAATGGATATTAGTTGATCTCGACACTAGCCAAGGAATAATGTCACAGCCAGATGAAGGTGGTAGTGACTATGCAATGTCTTCGACTTACTTACCGCGGCACTGTCATCAGAGTGAGTCCATGTATGACTATGCGTGCTCGTTTTCGCTAGGATGAATACCCTTGAAACCTCTGTGGATGTCCGGGCTCATTATATTTACAGAAAATATCACGTCAAACTTTGGACTGATCATACTTATAAGCTCAAAGTCCCCCGTTGACTGAAATCCGCTGGTGTCGAATAGCAGCTGAGTACCGAATCTCGAGGTGCAAGTGAATAGCCAACCAGTTTTAAGTGATGATATGAGTATATGAGACGAATGCAATGACTGATGAACATGATCATCGACCGTAAAGGTGGTGGGGATTCGACCACAGTGTCCCGCGGATTGATGCATTCACCTTATGAAATCCCAGAAACGAGCTTTTTACGAGACTCAAATCCTTTCTCACCGAAGTTGATAAGAATAATCGGCGGTCCATGCCGTGTTTGTGACGCCGAGTCAATGAGTTTGCCGTAGTTCAGATAATCTTGTTCAATGATTGTGTTCACAGTATGGTCTCCAAAATATAGTGTCCGTCAATATAATATGAATTCGAAGAAGTATGAAGCCGTTAACACTTGCGTCTGCCAGAAAGTGCCCAAAGGTATGCTCCATGTGGTCATTCTGCTCAGAATCCAGTGGCAATATACGATGCGTAACCCATTGACGTTGCTGAACTTGGACAGAACATACTTGAGAAATCAGGCATCGAAACTTAGGACGCTGTCACAAATAACCTCACGTGCATGAAGCGCTAGAAACGTTAGCTCGAGATCGTGGGGTGATTATGGAATTCACGGCAGAATTGGAGACAAATTCCAGCATCCACGAGTATAGGGTTCGAGCTGAGAGCATGTGCATCCACTAGAAAATAGCATGACTTTCAGCAAATCCTTGCCATAAATCTTGCTTCGACGGTGTTCCCCAGCAACGGATGCATTTCATCGGGAAAGATGACATGAATTGAGAGTATAGCTGGCATCGAGCAGAAAAGGCAAACTAGAATAGCTGCGGAATGTTCGAGAGAGGCAATAGGTTAGACCATAGGCCCCCACGTAAGGAATGGTAAGAGAACTGCGGAAAGAAGAGGACACACGTTACGAGCGGCACAGCATCACTGTGCAAGTGGCCACATATCGAAGCGTTTTCATCCTGTCAGTTGGGTGCATGCATTGACACACCATTGAGAGCAAGATGAGAGATAATAAATCCATGGAGACTCAACGGAGGAATGTTCAGTAGTTTGCCCTCTGTTCGCGCCGGATACCGAGGTTGTCAACATACTCCAAAAACAGGGTGGTAGGATGCCCAGCTGGATGCGTGGTTGTTGCAGCATGGTCCTAGTTTTTGGTTTAAAATTAATGGATCTCGGCGACATACCTCTCCAGCTTTCCAAAAAGCTTGACGCCCCACAGATCTCTTTCGGATGGACATGGCACTGCTCGGCGCATCGCCGTCATGATGTACTTGATACATATCATGCAACATGAACAAGACAGACTTGTAGTAGCATATGTTGCTGTTCAATGTAGTCATCCCAGAGAAGTTTGAGAACTAGCTAGTTGTTCCTTCATTTCACTGAGTTGGTTTGAAAATATCATGGCTAGCATGTAGCGCCGGAGGAACGGTCACGTGACTAAACAGGTTGAATCGCGCATACTTGGTCTCACGCGATGGTACGTGTAGACGCGAACTTTTGGCCTTGTTACCGCAGTAAAATTCTGGATTACATGGCTCTGTGTTGCTGAAGACTTAAATTTATGCTTATAGGCTTCAATTGGAGCACAAGACCTCAGCAGAGGATGATCAGCAAGATTCACACTACTATTAGCAAGTCCAGTCAACCTGAAAACGATGCTTTCTTCGTGTTTACAGTCCCACTGGAAGCGCACTTTACTTGCTAAACTTGGAGTGGCCATTGAACCTGCATCTTATTGTCTTATTCCTGCCACAGTGCTTGGGCCACCTGAAGGCCGAGGCCCTTGCACCACACCGCATCACTTCGCTGTCACGGCCATGGTATTGACAGCTTTGTCTGTCTCTGTGGCCTCTGCGCAGCCTTTCCTCGTATGGCGTTGCTAAAGCCTGATATGGAAAGTCTCCGCCGGTTTTCCTGCCACCATGAGCCACCTGTGTGAATGCCCACCAATTCATGGCCAGTGTCGATGTCTTTGATATTCCCTTCTTGTCTTGGATGAACGAGGTGAGGATACTTTTTGCTGGCTCTGTGGATAAAAATCCGTAACAAACTTCTCCAGAACTGTTGGAAAAGCTGCAAGACTACTGGCATGAACGTTTCTGTGCAGATTCTTGTCCGAGTGGATGAGCAACGCCAGTGAGCATGAAAGCATATCCACTGGGGCCACAAATGATCGTCACCATCTGCGAGGCGCCGCGGACGACGTGTGCACTGCAAGTTGGCCACTGACTATACATTCGCGTATTGAAGGGCGTCTCAACGCGGCCACAACACTCAACTTTCTTCGTGGCCCAAACACAATTTCATTTTCAGAACGCGTATTTCAGCAGCCAGCAGCACCATGCATCCGCACCTCGTTCGCAATCTCCTGCTGTTCTGCCCTCTCCCATCCTCCCAAAGACTGTGGCCACTTAGCTCCTTCCCTGCCCCAGTGAGCCCAAGCCATCCGCACTCGAAGCCCCAGCCGTCCGCACCTCTCTCGAGTCTTCGCATATTTGCCACAAGGACACGGTCACCCAGAGTGGCTTCGGAGATGTTCAGGACTAGGAAGGACGATACGATGGCGCGCGAGACTCCACAGACACAAAGTCGCGTAGAGTTCGCGCGCTCGGCGCTTGATCATGGTGGCCAAACCCATTGGGAGAGCAGACACCCGGCAGGGGTGCCATTCAAAGACCTTCTGCAGAGGATAGACGACCTACAATCAACGTTGGAAGTCGTGACGCTCATCAGGCACGAAGAGGGCGATGACATTCCGTGGCATGACCGTGTCATGCAACGGAACGACATCAACCTACCTCGGTTGAGGAGATTGTCCGTGGCATACTATCCCGAGGAGTACGTATGCCACCTTTTCAACGCGATTCGGTTCAGTGGGAAGCCGAAGGTGTCGCTGCGCTTTGCCGCACGCAAAGGTGTCTCTGTCAAAATTTTTGACAGCACATGCCCATCTCTCCACGACCTCGCCCATCGCACGAAGGGCGCGCACATCCAGTATGCATATACTGGACGAGAACATGGCAGCAACGAAGTCGTCTTCACGTTCAAATCATTGGACGTATCGCTTGAGGTTGCATGGGATCACGGGCTCAGTCAGAGCAAGAGCGGCGAGGAATCCTCTGCCTATGCTATTGCCGAGGCAATCATAAGGAATCTCCCGAACCTCCACACGCTCGAGGTGGAACTGCGTGTCGATTCGGCACCTCCAAATGGCGTATTGCTCGATTGTCTTTGGATACGGAAGTTCAAAGACGTCGAGGTAGTGGTGCGCAGGAATGGGAGGAAGGAGTTCATCAAATACGATGGCCCAGACCACCCTGCATCTTCGTCACCAACATCAAGGGCATCGAAGTCAGAGCGCACAAGGACTGGGAAAGAAGACTCACTAAGCATGGCGTCTCGGACTCCTACACTATCAAGTTGATGGACATTCATGGCGCTGGCGGTGGTCGGCTCCCTGTGTCGCGTGATCATGAACTCTAGAAAGACCTGTTGGCATTATAGATATCTGTATAACAGCTATACATTAACGACATACACAGTATACTTTGCATAGATGTACAATACTTACATTTGGGCGTACCGGTGCAAACTTCTAGGTTATTAGGGACTGCACAACTTCGACAGGCTCTGTAGATCTTTGTATTACGCATACACATTAGCGACACATATATCATTATTTGTATGAACAAACAACATTCTCACCTGTTCAGCTCCTGCATTGGGACAACACAGAGTCGGATAGAGTTAGCGCGCTCGACGCTTGATCACGGTGGCCAAACCCATTTGGAGAGAAAGCAGCCAGCATGTTTGCCGATCAAAGACCTCCTGGAGAGGCTCGATGACCTGAAAGCATCGTTGAAAGTCGTGACCCTCATCAAGCACGAAGAGGGCGATGACATTCCGTGGCATGACCGTGCCATGCAACGGAACGACATCAACCTACCTCGATTGAGGAGATTTTCCGTGGCATACTATCCCGAGGAGTACGTATGCCACCTTTTCAACGCGATTCGATTCTGTGGGAAGCCGAAGATGTCGACTTGGAAAGATGGACGCACACATCCAGTAGGCGCACACCTAACAGGACGCCTGCAGCAAAGAAGTCATCTTCACGTTGCTACCAATGGACGTACCACTTGAAATTGTCTGGGATCATGGCCTGGGTCAGAGCAAGAACAGCGAGGAATCCTCTGTGTATGCGATTGCTAAGCCACCGCAAGAACTTTCTCGAACCTCCGCAGGCTCGAGGAGAAATTGCGAGTCGACTCGGCACCCCCAGACGGCAGATGTTATCCTACAGCATAAATCAAACATGAGCTCCAGTCGTTCATACGCATCTCGAGTCGTCATTGAATATAAGATGAGCGAGGCAAGGACGACTTCGACGGCAGCGGCAGCGCAATACAGCTGCATGTAATGACGGTCCAACGTGACGTACGTGGTCAATCGGAATGGCTTCTGAAGTGTCCACAGTTCGGACGGACGACGTGCGGTATCTAAGCATACACATTCAGTTGGGATTAGCGCGGTTGCTGCCTTGCTAAGAAGGAACAGGCCTATGATTGTGTAAGTAGAGACAGCAACGTCTCGAACCGTCCTGTCTTTGCGTACACAAGTCCAAGGATATCGAAAGCGCAGAGCAAAAGGGCAGGAGGAAGGGACGCACCGAGTACAGCAGCACGGACTTCCGACCGACCTATAAGCAGGCACAGAGGAGGTAGTTGTGAGCGGGGTAGGAACGGCTGGGGGAGGAGCCAGAGAAGGGGGGCTTATATATGTTCCGGTACGGCAACAAAGCTCCGACGACAAAACTCCGCACAGGCCACTTCGAAAAATCGCGGTCATGAGCCAAGCACCACCAGCAACGATATGGCCCTGGCACTTACCCGATGCGGTATGGTGCGAAGGCTCCAGCTGCCGAGGGCAGAGACAAGGTGGCTAGAAAAAGACCAAAATCGATCGGGGGCGAAAAGGCGACAATACTAGGTGATCGAGGGCGTTGGGTTGATAGTATACCAGCCGAGTGGCACCGAGTTGCAGACGGCTGATGTGTGCCACGAGAGAATTGGTTGAACACGCCAAGGATGTGCTAACGCTTTCCGGGGGAGATCATGTCCTGAGCCTGAGATCCATGCATTACGCAAAATATATGAGCATACACTGAGTGAAATCCTTCCGACAGTATCGCAGTCGGCCTGAATGACGTAGCTGCGATACTCTCAATATCTACCTGCCTGCAAATATTGTGCAGCGCTCACATCTTTCGCAGAAGTCTGGTTGCCATTGAGGGTGTAAAATCGCGGTGTAGCCAAAATTTACGGCTTTGGCCATCAATGTCGAAATCAAGGGATATGGCCCTGACACGCACCTGACACGAGGTGGAGCAAAGCCACTGCATCGCGAGTGGCCCAAGCCTGGTGACGCAAAAAAGACCGAAAATTGATCGAGGGCACAAAACGAGTCTGAATGACGAGTAAAGTGACAATCGAGCCGCACATGGAGAGCCGGGCGGTGCCACGACCAGCTTCGTTGAACGCGCCAATATTTCCGGACTGCTTGCTGGCACTCTCGGAGAGAAGCTGCATCCTGTGCCCATGTGTTTTCGTGCGTATCTGCAATGAACGGGTCGACATCAATGCAGCCGTATTATTGACGTTATATCTGATGTCTCTGGCCATGTTTTTACCGTCCCGCTTTGGCCACTCGGACAGCAAGTCCTTATCTTTCGGTAGACTTCGAGGCCCTCAGGCTGTTTTGTGTTCTCGACACGAGGTGGAGCAGAGCCACTGCATTGCGAGTGGCCCAAACGGGGTGATGCAAAAAAGACCGAAAGTTGATCGAGGGTACAAAACAAGTCTGGACTCTGGACAAACGAGTAAAGTGGCACCCGAGCTGCGCATGGACAGCTGGGCGGTGGCACGATCAGCTTCATTAAATGCGCCAATATTTTGGTACTCTCGGGGGGAGGCTGCATCCTGTGCCTCTGGGTTATGGCAACGGGTCGACATCAACGCAGCCGTGTCGTTGACCTTGCATTTGATGTCTCTGGCCGAGCTTTTGCCGTTTCGCTTTGGCCACTCCCGTATCAAGTCCTTATCTTTCGGTAGACTTCGAGGCCCTGCCAGTGTCTTTTTTGTCCTCGTAATTTAGTTTTTTTGTCCGACGTGGGGGCCTGTGCGTAATCTTTGTCTCTGTCACGGTTCCGAAACAAAACCGCCGGTGGCTCGAGCTCTCTGTGCTTCTTCAAGATCAACACCAACCAAGCCATAGTCAAAATCGTCGTTGCAAATCAAATCTACGGGCGAGGCCCGGATGCGTCACTGGTGCACCAGAGAAGCGTTTTCCGCGTAGGTCCTGCCTACGCAACTTCTGTAACCTCAGTAGTCGTCTCGCTAAGGGAGTGTCTGCATAGATGTACTCACCACGAGCACGCTTCCCTACATATGGATTAACTGAGTGAATTAATGATAGGTCCTTGGCAGAAGAGTGATCGTAATTGTCACAGATCAACAGATCCCACCGGCTGTTATGGGTGAGATTACAAACGTCAAACACGACGAGTTCGATGGCATTTTGCGAATATCAAGGTTTGAAACAAGGGACAACGATCGAAGACGCACTGGCCTATTGATCAACCGAGACCGTTGGAAGAACACTCACGGCGAGAGCGTGTGCCTCAAGACACATGGACCGCAGTATGATGAGGGGAGTGGATTTCCGTAGATATGCATTCTAAACGATCTTCAAACCAACACGGCCCCCGCTCATGATCAACACGAACTTCACAGTGCCTAGTCACGCACTTGACACAGAGATACCGCGACTGCATTTTGTATTACCAGCATCGCTATGACTTCGCCGCATCACCATTCGCCACCCCATTAACCACACCCTTCCTGATCCCAGCCCCAGCCTTCCTCCTCCACTCAGCCAACATCTCCACGCTAATCATCTTCAGCCCCCAACGGTCCGCAAACGACCTACACCCATCCCTCCTCATCATCCCCGCCCCGCCCTCCCCACCCTCGTCCACGTCCTCCACGATCTCGCACAGCACCGCCGCCCTGGGCAGACCCGCCGCTTCGCACAGGTCCACCCCAGCCTCGGTGTGTCCTCGGCGCGTGAGGACGCCGCCTGGGCGCGCGCGGAGCGGGACCATGTGTCCTGGGCGGGAGAACTGGGTCGGTTTGGAGGTGGGGGAGGCGAGCGCACGGGCGGTTAGGGCACGGTCATGTGCGGAGATACCGGTGGTCGTGCCTGTGAGAGGGATGATGAGTTAGGATACGTCGGAGTGGATGTGAAGGAGGATGTACCGATTCTGTAGTCGATAGTGACCGTGTACGCCGTCCGGTGCGGGTCCTGATTCTCGGCCACCATCATCGGGATGACAAGCTCGTCGAGCCGCTCGCCAGGGAGCGCGATGCATACGTAGCCACTGCATTCGATGCCCGTCAATCACAACTAGTTTTAACATTTTTAACAGAATCCACCGCGAGTGGGCTACCTGCACGCATATACACGAAGGAGAGACGCTCACCTCGAATACCGAATCAACCACGCCATCTTCTCAGTGCTGACCTCGCTCGCGGCGATGAGGAGGTCGCCCTCATTCTCGCGGCCCTCATCGTCCATGACCACGACGAACTCACCCCGCACAAACGCGGCGAGCGCGTCCTCGATGGGATCAAAAGCGAACGCGGTGCGTGATGGCAGGTCCGCGACTTTGTGCGGGCGCGAGGGGTTGCGCGGTGCGGGCGGCGGGACCGGTGCGTCGGGAGACATGGCGAGTTGGTGATTCGGGATGAGAATGATGGCGAATTTGCTCAGCTCATGCGCGCGCTCGTGTGTAGCTCCGGATGAGTCAGGACCGTGGTCGGCCTAGCGCGGCAGGTCGTACGTCGGGCAGAAAGTGGCGGGAGATTTACGACGAGAGCGGCAAAGGGGCGCGCAGGCTTTGCGAGTTCGGAGCATAATCGTATTTCAGGAGGACACGACCGCCCCGGAGCGCTCGCCAGATGCGACTGTAAATTCTTCATTTGGCGGGTCGACGATGGCCTCGCCGTTCCCCACGCAGCAAAAGCAAGCATACATCGCTCTCTCGCGACTATTTCTCGACACCGAGCACACACAGCCCGAGATGGACAGCCTTGTGAACACCCTCAGGCTTACTGGCCTAGCCCCCGCAACACTAGGAGCCATGCTCCGAAACGACCTATTTCCCACATTGTATCCTAATCTCTTGAGCGTTGCGGGGAATTGGGATGCATTCGATGAGGACTGGCTTCTTAACCAGCTGCAGCGCAGGAGGTCTCAACGCCGGGGTTGTCTTCAGGGTGCAATCGACTGGGCTGCTTGGCAGACAGTCGGCAGGATGGTGTGGGGAGTTTGGACCAAAGTCAAGTGCGGGTTACAGGCCCAGCGGTGACAGTGAGTGGTTGTTGGTCTCATCGACTATGAGCACGGAATTTCTGAACCTTTTACAGCTGATCTTGACTGGAACGCACAGTTCCTCGTCATTCAGATGATTCAGAGTGAGCTGTTTCTCACTAAGCATGACAAAATATGTCTCAGCGCGACATGACCGCCCCGGAGCGCTCGCCAGATGCGACTTTAAATTCGACGCCGCAGGGCCACACCCGCTCACCGTGGAGAGCGTCCGACATGATGAGGGCATCCTGCGCCCAGTACGCTGCAGAAAGGTGTGGGACTTCAGAAAAGTCGATTGCCAATGGCACGTCCATGGGACCACGATGTTATATAGTGTCCCATAGAATACGCCCTCCATGTCGTGGCGAGACATCTGATACGACAGCTGGTCACAGGATGGTCGAGCGCATGATAAAATGGGACACATCTAGAATGCATTCGTAGAGATCCAGAGGAGGGATCCGTGACATCGTACTACACTTCCGCATTGATGGTGAAAATCTCTCCTTGCGACTCCTCCACGGCCTGCTCTCGTGTATTCGTCTATTTCGCAGACAACATGCGTTGCGTTCCCAGCGCTAGAAAAGAGTCGGCGGCAGGGCGTGCTCGGTCAGGCTCGGAGCAAAATGCGCGCCGGTTTTTGACCGGGCCAGCGCAACCGCTCTCAGCGTTTCCCTCGTCCACCGCCTCGTCTCTCTCGCTCTCCTCCACCCCTCCGCTCTCGGAGCTCTAGACTATCCTACCTGCCGCACTAGACACTGGTAATAGACATGGCCCACCTCGCACCATCCGGAAAGTGGGACGCACGGTGAGCAAAAGACGGCGAACGATGAGGCTCGAGCGCGACGCTAACCAAGGCGTGCGCGACGCTCGCTAGGTATCTCGGGCCCGTCCCTCACGACACCTCGTACTACACAAAGTGCATGATCGGCGGTATCCTCGCCTGCGGGACGACGCACGCCGGCATCACGCCTCTCGATGTCACCAAATGTAACATGCAGGTGTGTCCGAGCAGCTCTCTTTCGAACCTCATCACCAGCCTGACGCGCCGCAGGTCAACCCGGGCAAGTTCAACGGTCTCGTCAGCGGCCTCAAGACCATCACCGCCGAGGAGGGCACCAAGGGTCTCTGGAAGGGCGTCGGGCCGACGTTCATCGGCTACTCCCTCCAGGGCATGTTCAAGTACGGCCTGTACGAGGTCTTCAAAGACGCATACATGAACCTCGCCGGCGAGGAGGCGTCCGCCAAATACAAGGGCGCGATCTGGCTCGCTGGCTCCGCGTCCGCCGAGTTCTTCGCCGACATCGCGCTCTGCCCGCTCGAGATGACCAAGGTCAAGATCCAGACGAGCCCCGCAGGCACCTTCCCCGTCCCCATGTTCACCGCGCTGCGCGAGATGAGCAGGCTCAAAGCCGACACGCGCTACCCCTTCGGCTCCATCGTCCCCCTCTGGTCGCGCCAGATCCCGTACACGATGGCCAAGTTCTTCTTCTTCGAATACATCGTCCAGCAGTTCTACCGCCACGTCTTAACCGCCCCCAAGGAGACGTACAGCAAGCTGACCCAGCTCAGCGTCACCTTCGCGTCCGGCTACCTCGCCGGTGTCGTCTGCGCCGTCGTCTCCCACCCCGCCGACTCGCTCGTCTCCCAGATGGGCAAGCCGAGCAACAAGGGCAAGGGCCTCGGCCAGATCGCCTCTGAAGTTGGCTTTGTTTCCCTCGCCACCAAGGGTCTCGGCACCCGTGTGCTCATGATTGGTACCCTCACTGGCTTCCAATGGTGGATCTACGACTCATTCAAGACTGCTATGGGTCTCGGCACGACCGGTGGCAAGTAAACGGACATTCTAAAGTCAGTACTTTGCCAATTCCGTCGAGATACATAATTGTTAATCTTGTTCTCTCGTCAGCAGAAGTCTATGTGGTGCGCCGGACGGAACGACGGAGAAGGAGTGGGTCCGCGCGCGGTTGCTGACAGTTGTCGTTACTACATGCGTCACATACATACCTCTGTTCGATACGTCTACGATACGATATCTGTTATGGCTATAGAATGCGCGCACACGACATTCCCGTTCTGTCTGCAGCAAACATTGAGCGTGATATGAACACAATGCAGAACAATCGAGAATCAGTCTACATATACAAAATCCTCCACGTCCAGTAAGCAAACCGTCAACCACAACACTGTCACTCCGCACTACGCACTCAACGCATCCCTCCACATAGGCCCGCCCACCTCGCCCAGCACGCGCTCCACCTCACCATGCTCGAGATTAAGCACCACCCGGCGCTCGTCCTCCGCCCTCCTCCCCACGTCCTCCGCGAGCAATGCATGCGCGGCGAGCAAGTTGTCCAGGACGAGGCGGAGCTCGCCGAGTGTAGGTCGGCGCGTGGATCTCAGAGCGGCGGGATCCGAGAGGAGGTTGGTGTAGATGAGATGCTGGCGCTGGATCTGGGTACGTCCACGCGATCATTGCCGATATCAGTGAGCGTATGAGCGTATGGAATAATGGGAAACTCACGTCTCCCCACCGGATCTCATCGACACCCTCGCGCTTCACGCAGCGCAGCAGCGCGGCGAGCATGAGCCGCTCGTGCAGGCTCAGCTCGCGCACGTATGCCGCCGTCGGGCTGTTCTGCAGCTCCTTGATGACAGCCTGCACGTCCTCCGCACGCGCCGGTCGTTTGCGCGATTGGACGAGCTCAACGGTCCGTCTAGACAAAGACACAAAGCATCAGCCACCAACTCGTGAAGCAAGAGGCAGAGCCGAGATGCACCTGCAGATATCGAGCACGCGCCGTGCATCGCCGCTGATCGAGGACACCTTCATCGCCGCAAACTTGATTCCATCTGGCGCGATGACGTCAACGTTTCTCGCGTCTGCGGGTAGGCCATCCCGTGCGCTCTGCAGCCGCGCGTGTACGATCTTCTCCAGCTGCGGCGTCGTGTATGGCTGGAAGTTGATGCGGACCATCCCTGGCGCAGCCTGATATCAGCATTCACGGAAGCCGAAGAAACGATGTTTCCTTACCCAGTCGGCTACGAACGCGCCCGCTCATGACGCGCTCGGGCAGGTCCATCGTGTTCGCAACAGCAAGCACAATGAGCTTCGAGCTGACGAGCGTCGGCCAGTTGAAGAAGTTATACACCACGTCCTGCTTCGTCGTCATCAGCTGGTCCAGCTCATCCATCAGCACCACACTGCAAGCAAAGAATCAGCACAATCTATGAGCAAGAGAACTAAAATGAGAACGGGACGCTGACCATGCATGGCTCCCTGGCCCCGCCCGCTCGCCGGCACTGAAATGGCGCGAGAGCGCCTTGAGAGCCTGGTTTGAGCTGATCTTCATGTGTCCCTCACGCGCGGTGTCGTGCCCCGAGACGGCCTCCCAGAGGAGGCCGTAGGCAGCCGCAGGCTCGGGGATACGCAAGCCGTTAATCTCCACGTACGTGAAGGGGTTGGCTTCCTGTAAGCAGGAGCATTGAGTACCAGTGAGCGATGGAGGGATGGATCAGCGTACGCTCTGCTCGGCTAGCCACTTGAGCTGGCGCACGATTGCATGCACTGTGGCTGTCTTGCCTGTCCCCGGCACGCCGGAAATATCTTTCACAAGAGATATCAGCTTGCTTACTCGACGTCGGCGACGAGCCACCCACAGATGCAACCACCGCTGCCCTCCTCCAGCAGCTGTTCTACGGCCCTCAGAATTCTGTTATATTCTTCGTCTCTGCATGGCAGGGCCTCCGGACGGGCAGCAACATGCAACACATGCATCGCGCGCAGCCACGGATCCTGGCTCGCCACTGGCCCGAGGTGGGCGTCGAGCTCCAGGTTGAACCCAGGCTCGGTGAGAGGAGGAGGCCTGACCGCGAGGGCAGCGCGCTTCCGCTTGCGCAATGCAGCTTTCGAATGCGGGGTTGGCTGGGCGAGGGAAGACGTGAACTGCTGCGTGCGTGAGCGACGCGGAGTCCCTGTTGTGCGTCGAGGAGTCTTTGGCGTACGGGGCGTACGGGGTTTGCGAGGCGTGCGAGGTGCTGGCGCGGTTCGTTTGCGCTTGCGAGACGGGGTCTGCGGGAGGTCTGCGGGCTCATCTTCTTCTTCATCAATGCCCTCTCCGCCTTCCTCTTCGCTGTGATCATCCTCTTCTCGAGGATGGTACTCATCCGCCACCGATGAGCCATCCTCTGATTCGGATTCCACAGCTAATGTTTCAATTACCTCCAGAGAAGACTCTCCAGCTTCCGACGCACCGTCCCCTTCTAGTAATGTATCAACCTGCTCCTCCTCTTCGTCTTGTCCCTCGATGGGTATGGACTGCGTGCGCGCCCTCTTGCGCGGGCTTCTGCTCCAGCTAGGCCCAGCCTCATCGACCATCACATTCCATGCATGATGATACTCCCGCTGTGTGCTATCGGCTACGCTCGTGCTTGTCGTAGCAGCAGACAAGGCCTGCTGCCTGAACTCCTCCCAGTGGAACTGGTAGAAAAAGCCTCTTCGCGGATCGACGGCATGAGCGCAGTAGTAAGTTCTTTGTGCGTTCTGATGGCCGCGACGTTTCGGTACTGGAGAGCCGGACTGAGTGGAGGAGACTATGCAAGTGGAAACGATGTTTGATGGTGGGATGGTAGCGAGTGATGCAAGGGAGTAGTATATTTCGTTCTATCACGCACGTCAGTTGCACGTTCAACACGGAATGGCAAGAGGTTCGGGAACTGTGCGACGAAATGAGATTAACAAATGTCATTGTTGGAGTTCCCGTCAACCGATGCGAACTTCAGAATAGTGATACGATCCACTATGAAAGGGATTCGGATAACAATTTGACTGACCTCGGCATGTCCTCTACGCGCACGAATAGGCGGAAGCTCGTTCGGCTTGTTGAACCAGTGAACCATGACTCTCAATCCTTTCTCCTGGGGCTCTCCGTTCCTGAGGATCTCCCAGATTGCGACAATCACAGCCACACTAGGTTCTCTGGAGGTTGTCTCCACAAGCACCGTGTCACCGACGCTAAACGTATCCTTCACAGCGTACTCATTCCTCTTCGAGTTCTCCTTGTCTTCGTCTTGTTTCGTGCGTCTGCTTCTCCCATAGACGCGCGGCTCCCGCTTGACGGCGAACACCTCTCTCCTGGAATACTGTATGTAGAAACGCGTCTCAACGGCGTCCAACTCCAAGTCTAGGATTTCCCTCTCTTCCTCCCACAAGTCTTCCATGCGAGCTCGGCGTGAATGAATGCAGGACCCAGCAGGTGCATCGAGCTGATTCAGATCATTTGTGGCCTCAGACAACAATGGTTGCCCACGTTTCGAGCGACGTAAGGGAGTTTGAGGAGTATTATCACGAGCCATAAAGAAAACTATCCAAGTTTCGTCGTGGTGCGGATCAAGAGGATCAAGTCCAGCAAAGTGTCACGTAGACAATCGCGTGGTGGCCGCACACATGCTCGGCGCTTCATGCGACACGACAAGACGCGCACACGTGATCAAGTAAATTATAATTACCGCGCCTCGTCGCGTCCGGCGCGCATGTGCAATTTGGCCCACGGGCATCGTTTCACGCCTACGATAACCGCCATTTAGCCCCCAAGTTCCCGGTCGAATACAATTACTCCCAAAGAACACTGGAGAATCTGAATCTGGGCCTGAACCACGATCGAACAGGCCTTCGCCATTTGATCACAGTATGTGGGATGGAATGCCTCCGTTTGCCAGTATAACCAGCAATTGATTATTGCAATCAGCCTAACGATCACAATTTAACCTTTGAAGACTCAAGCTTCCGGCAGCGGCCCAGGAATCATCTCGAGAGCCTTCGCAGAATCAGATTATGCTCCATGATTCTATAACATAAATAATGTAACGGAATCCCTAATCATACAGCTCTGCCACGAATCATAGTGGCGGCAGGGGTCGCCGGCATTGAGGACAGATATTCTGTACTCAGCTTGTCAGCATTTCGGAGCGCTCGAGCAATGGGACTCTCCACAAACCTTGATTGCCAACCACTGCATGAAGTACTATTCAGCACGAGTATAAAATCCCAAAGGACGGATACAACTCACCCTCTCAAGACAAGCAGTGTGCTAATGCACAAGGCTCGCGTTAGTCTCACATCACTTCTGAAGAATACAGAGGCACGTACGAAAAGATGATGACACGGCGCGAGGCTGTAGTTCCTCCCAGAGCCCGACGCACCCACAGCTCCAAGTATCCCACCCGAACGATGGGCACCCGTGGCCAATCCGAGCAGGTCCCCTCTCTCCTTCCCATCGCTGGACTTCGAGCGTCTCCGCAGCGCTGGATCAATCTCGATGGCGTCCATGCAGATGGCGCAGTCGCCGAGCGTCTGCTCTGGCGCCTCGGGGTCAGGGAGCGGGAGAGGTGGGTGGTAATCGTACATCTTGGTCGCGACCATCTGCAAAGCCACATATGTCACCACACAGAATCCTGCAGAATAAGTAGACGTACACGGTTGCCCAGGAAGAACGTCGGGCCAACATGATCCTGAAGCCAGATGACAAGGATCTGGAAAAGCATAGTCGCGGCGACGGCGTAGATCCACTCTGAGCAGTGAGTGCAATGGTGAATTCATCAGCTCGCAAATATGTCGTGGGACTTACTTCGAGGTTCTACATCCAATATATTGTTCGGACAACCGAGGAAGTCTTCGACAAGATTTGAATCAACGCTCACGCAATCGAGTCGTAGATGTATGTGCCACTCACAAAGTGCGAAGTACAACCTGCACAACGTCGCTCCAATCAGATATTCGGCGGAAAGACCACTGCTTCTACCTCTTCTGGCTGACCGGTATATCTGCCCCATCCAGATGAACGAGTACAACGAGCCCACGAAGAACAGGGGCAAAGATAGAATGATGACGATACGGAAGACGAATATCAGGAAGAGTGATATGGTCATCCCTACAATATCAGTGCAATTTGCGCCATTGTCAGCGACTAAAATCAAAACGAAACCAGTAACAGACTGACAGAGTCTCGCCGAAGGATCCGACCTAATGTGCTGCCAAAGGAAGCGAAGGAATGAAGGCTGCTCAGCTGTGACAGTAGCTGTAGGCGATGGCACAGCGGCAGTGGTTTGCGCTTGCGCTGCAGGTTGTGCAGCTGGGGGAGGGTACGTTGCTGTGACATCAGGAGTCGGAGTTTCCGCTCGAGAATCCGACATTGGGGTAGCAGGGGGGACAGCAGTCGCCGCTGGAACGGGGCTTGGGCTGGGAGAGGGACGCGGAGGAGATGGCGTGACGTCCTCTGGCGCTTGTATCTGGCCGATCAATACAGCGAATTGCTGCATGCAAGGTCAAACACCCGAGTAATCCAAAAGGGATGGTACCGACATACCGCTTCCTGGATGAATAACATGCACGCCAGCCCAGCTGGTGCGAGAACGGCAAGCGAAGGCCTGCCATCTGCAAGGATTGCCAATGTTATATGCTATCAACAGCTCAGCCTCGAATGCGTCTTTCTCAAGCGTAGATGCCTCACCCCAACAAATGAAATGGCATCGATGAGACTTTGAGAGAGGAAGACATAGCGAGAGAGGCGGGAAAGGACCGCCGTGGAACTGGCTCGTACGACCTCACGTTGGAGAAGAACTAAGAGTGAGATATAGACGATAGTCGCGAGACCAGCATCTGGAAAATGACAGGTAGAGAATGTTCGTCAGCGTACAGTCAATCAATCCTGCAAATGCCCCTTACATGTGGTGATCTTCCGATACAGCTGCGGAGATCTGTTCCATAGTCAGTCCTATTCTGACGGTAGAGCATTATGACCGTACTTCAACCCAATCGTATCCTTAATCTCGTACACAATGCCACAGTCTTGGCTGATCAGGACACCATCAAGCCTAAGCTCAGGAGGTTTGATAGTTGATATGCCCGTCGGCTTCTCAATCTCGCGCTCGAGTTCCTTCATCCGAAGCTCAGGTACTTCGCTGTGTACCAACTGCGCATAAAGCTGGAAAGAACAACGCGTCTTCATGGAGTTTTCTTCTGTTGAGCTTTGTCAGCGTTCTCACCATCACTGCGCGAGAGTCTCGCGCACGGCATCAGGACGTCTGCTCGACTGACCATTGCTTATGTTGTCTTGATCAATAGATCCTGCCTCTATCTTCTCTTTTAACCTTGCCACTCGCGCAATTAGCTCCGTTTCAACGACATGGGCGGTTTCATTCAGGAGAGAGACAGGAACCAGGGACGGTACCATGCGAATATCGATAGCTTTCCTGTAACACCTGAGATAAGCGATCATCCCAACGGCGACCGAAGCATTAAGAGAGAAGAAGCAGATACTTGCCCAGAAGGTTCCGCAAAGGCATAGATTGATCCATTGGATATGAAATGCACCCCATCGAAGTCTAGCCTCAGCTCCTCGGATGAGTTTGGATTGGTCAGTTCAATCTTGCCCTGCAGAGATGTTGTCACGTAATAAGTTTGAACGATCTGTTACAACGCACATGAATCGCGGATATGTCATCTGAGACTGCGCTCCCAGTCGCAGGAGATAACACTGCTTTGTCGCCCACGCTGATGGATAACTTCTCCGACGTTGACCAATCCCACGAGCCCAATAGCTCAGGCAGCGCTGTGAGATTGGTGCGGGATACAAAGTCGTCCGCCAGCTTGCTCCATGCAGGCAAGGTGATATTCCCAGCTTCCGTTGATGTAAGATTATGCAGATGGACTTCGCCATGCCAAAACCCAGTCAGATTGGTATAGTATGAAGCAGTCTCAGGATCAGGTCTAGTTCCGAGAGACACGAAGGCGTCCACTAGAGGTATTGTGGCTCCGTCCTGCTCATACTGCACATCGAGTTAAAGGTTATCTAGGTTTGTACGCAAGGCGAGAGGCGAACCAAGACGAAGGTGGTAGTAGTACCGTTCAGCCACGCCGAATAGTTAGACACTTGATTGTTCAGAGATGACAGTGCCTTGAGGTAGTGAAATCGAGCATCTATCTCCTCTCCCCGGTTGTTGGTGAGCATGAACAGCAGGAAGCTGACAAAAAGGAATGATGGAACAGAGCTTCGGTTCCGGCGAGGCGGAAAGTCTCCTGCGGTCGCATTGGCATCGTCGCGGGTCTCACGAGCCTCTTCAACAGGCATGTTGCATACTTCAAGTCCACAAGGTCAAAATGAAGAGATCCCGGAGGATCAGTCTATGGATGAGACGCTGACGGAGAGACGAGAGTGAAAGACCACGACGGTTTGCTTACTAAGCAGACGGAGGGAAAGACACACACGCCACCATCACACTGCACTGCGTCCCGCTCTCTACTCATTTCTTGTTGTCCGTCTAAATCACTCTGCTGTGCGTTGGTTGTCATCCACCCTGTGCGCAATGCAGACTCCGTTGAAAATTTGTTGCCAGCGAGACAAATTTAAGTACATTATCTACGATCCTGGCTCCGCCGGCAATACCCGCCACAGGCCAAGCAAGGCTCATCGAGAATAACTAATATGTAGGACGGCCGGGGGTGACAAGTGACAATCGGATGAGCATCACTCAATCGCAGAGTATTAGTGTCTTTCGGTAATCTCATGAGCATGTAATTGCCATCACGAAGAAATTCATAGATACAGAAGCTCATCAATGCAATGAACCGTTCATTTTGAGCTAAACCCAGAGCGGTACATCATGAAACGTTGAGTGATGAGTAAGCAGTACTACGATCTTGACTTCGACTCACCACATTAGAGTTCAACTCAGAAAATGAGTGAGTGCTCTGAACTCATACCATCCAACGTTATCATCTGCGGCAGAAAAATTTGCACACGCATAAATTTCCTCTGTGAAACTCAATCTCAATTGTGTCTCAGTCTAACCTCCGCTGAAGCTGCCCACACAACGAGCATGAGAGCCGGACCGACGACGAAGCTCGTTGTGTCACAAGGTAAACGAGGAGGTGCGTCGGCTTCGATTATGATGCTGCTGGCACCGAGCCGAGTTCCTGGGATGTGTCATCCCGTCGATCCCGAATTCGGGCTGAATTCATGGGTATATGTATATATAACGGTGGCCATTGCGAGCGCAGTAGAGTCGGGGTAGCCAAGGTCATTGACTGCGCTAGCTGGGGACGAGGCTTTTCGCAAGTATGCCATATGTCTGCTGGTGAGTGATTACTCGTACGCTCGCCCAAGATCTGACATTGCGGGCAATCACCAGCTCGTTCCTAGATCATTAATTGCGGTAAGAAGACATCAGGATGGGCAGTAAGCACATCACGGAAGTGAACAGTTTGGAAGCAATCGTTCACCTGGATTCTTGCTAATCTCGCATAATCGGGGCCATCCAAGATACGCCAAGCTGCCCCAGGTGCATCGGCAGATTCTAAGGATGAGGAAGGCAACTACCCGGATAACGATCAGATTGGTGAGCAAAGATTAAGATTGCACAGCCATCTCCTCGCAGCGAACCCGTTGTGGCATCAGTTGGCACAGTGTTCACCGTCACCGGGGATCACACAATCCGTGGCCACGGCCACTAATCATCGACGACGCTGGTGAGTCACAAGATGGTGTGCAAAGACATGAAGAAGGTCCGTTGATGGTGCGATCAAGGACCAACGACAGCCACTGACGTCGGGGGGTTCTTCGTGAACCCAAAGGTAACACAGGGTTGAAATGAACCGTTAGGGTGTCACAGCGCATAGGGAGGTCATTCTCGCGGCACGTTGAGTCAAAAACGACAGTTATCCTTGCCCCAGAGGCTGAGAATGAGCGTCCGTGAGTCCTTGTAGGGGGGTGGAGTCACGGTGCATGTTTACGCCATTGACCCCGTACTTGTTCGAGCCATAATTGCCTGGACGTACTGTTTGCATGTGTCGACGGACGCAAGATGTGCCACCGGTAGATCCCGATGTGCACAAGTCTGGACATTCCCTGCCATTTGCCACTAGCACTTAGTGGCTGCCTGATGATATTCGAAGCTTAGTAACAATGAGGGGATTGTGTGAATTCCTGGAATTCCAGAAAGACTTACTTCGGTCCCAGGTTCACTTTTTCTGCGTGCTGACTGTCCATCGTAAAGCTGGAAAACCTCAGTGTTGCTCCATAGAGCCATCCGCCGATAATGTTGACCAGAGCATTATCGGCTACATTACAGGTCGTTTAAACTGACATGCGTGTTGGCGAGAAAAACAGACTCGCTCAGAAGAGACATTGAGATTGTCGAGGGCCGGGGAGTCATCAAGTCAAGCGGGCGTGTGGTTCAGCCAATCTCGCAGCCAGAAGATACATCTCAACCAATTTTAGCCGTTCTGTATTCCATGTTTTAATCGTCTCTATCGCTAAGCTCTCGAGTCTCAATGAACCTCTCTCGTCTCGCCGACCTCATTCGCCCGCTTCATCGCTACAGGTTGCAAGGCTGATCTCAAAGCTCCCGCAGTTTTTCCAGGCTGAAGCTCCAGCCTGGCCCCACCGACTGCAAACGTTCCAAGGCCCAGAGGATTAAACGTTTCCAGAGTCATAAAGTCCTCGTCTTAGAGTCGGCCCGCACGTCTCTCAGCTCGTCCGCACCTGCACTATTCCTCGATCGCCCGCACTCTATGTATCCGCGAAAGCAAGTATTTCTACCGCTGTCGACACTTCGTTGATTGTCTGCATTCTCTCTTTTTAGCATGGTTGTTTTTCTTCAGTTACGAATTCTTGCTCCGCCGTCTTGTCCTCGTCCCGCAGGTCTACCTGTTCACTCCCTGTGCAGAAGGCCGAACGCCAGACGCAAGGTTCGTTATGCACACCTGGGAGGTTCTTCGTTGACTTGACGCGATAGGAGGCTCTGCAAGCTCCGCCACATCGCGACTGCAGTATGCGGTTCGTTGAACTACCATACGGTCCTGCACCACGAATCGAATTGGACTGGGAGGAGGGCAGCTCCAGCAAATGTGTACGGCACAACTCTAGCCCGCGGACGAGCCACGCATATGTTCAACCCTGGGGTAAAATTGCAAGTACGTGTTTTACAGCCAATCCACAACGGCAATTCGGTGCTCTTATCTAACCTCTACGTTACTCCTCCTCCTCCTCTTCCTCGTCTGAATCAGACTCGCTGTCATAAGATCCACCATTGGTGCCATTGGCCGTAGCTCCATCCGTGCCTAGACAGCGCCTGCATTGCTCGGGGCGTTGATCCATGACAAGTGACTGTTCAGGGAGCGACCTACAGCGTGCGTGAGAACATCAACGAGACACCATCATTATCCTTCCTACACACCACTCCTCCGTACACTCGTTCGCGCAGTCGTGCTCATCAATATTGTGAAACCTGCTCCGCCGACATGTCACCCGGTTGCAGTCGATCTGTACGCAATATTCCAGTCAGTAGCCGAATAATATGTGCACGACAAAGGCCGTGCGCACAAAGTGGCGGCGATCAAGGAATTGATGGCCGCAGCCGTACTCGGTGTATGCGAGCAGGTAGTAACACATGTCGGGAATAGAGCGCGAGATGATGGAGGCAGACAAAGATGGCAAGGTAGATATACAGCGGCAAGCGTATATGAGAGAAGGGAATAAATTAGCGGATCTGCAACTTGAATCTCGCGCTGTCCACGCAACCCCGACCAGGAACCAGAAGGCGGTAGATAGGTTCTACCCTCCGATAGAGACATGAAATTGTCTGTGCATAGCCAATGCGGTATCTATTAGCTGCTATGTTAGCGGCCTAGCATATCTCTCTTCTTTTGTAAACGTGAGAGATGTAGTGGGAGGGACATAGCTGGCAACTGAGGGAATAATGGGCTGACCACTCCCCGCTCGAGCCAGAATCCGGTAAACTGGCTCGGGCAAGGAACATGAACGGCATGGAAATTCGTCCTCCGCAAGACCGATGAGGCGCGCAGAGTGATTTGCAATGCATTGCAAGAGGGAATATGTATAACTTAATTGTGAACGTATACCCTCAAATCCTGTGCAACAGTATGATGTTCGGGCACCGCGCCAACGTATGCACACAGAAGACATATTTGCGAGAGGCAGCGAGAACACCCCGCCGGCTCGGCACAGAAAACACTCACAAGATACCAACTACAGAAATGCCCTACATATAGAAGTGCATGTAGCATCCATCATGACTTGTGCACGAAGCCCGGTATGGGAGATCCGCGAGACGGGAACTGGGTTTGAATGAACAGGAACCGGCGTACCCTGAACGTGTGCGGCCCCGGACACAACCGACCAGAGTCCAGGAAAGTGTCAGCTTCGCTTTGACCAATGACACAGTCGTCAGAGGCTCTTAGCCATATGAGCGCACGAAGTATGCGTAACGCGGATTTTAGTCATGGTCACGGAACAGCGAATGGTAGACTTTTGAGTTTCAACCACAAACTCATCCATCAATGCATCACATGTCAGCTGAGACAATTCACCATGAGTTCGCTAGATCGAATGGAGCTAATTCATGATAACAGTGAGATTGCTGAGCTCAAAGGAGGTTAGGCTCGCTTCTCAGACCGCTGAATAGCGTAGAGATGCCAATACCATTTGTGAAAGGCAGCCTGTAAAATTTGGCTCGCCGTTCACCTGTTAGGTCGCCACTCCGCGCCTTCTTTCATGATTCCGTCCGCTATTACTTCAATCGTTTGAAAAACACTCCTCGTCGGCGGAGAGCGAGTTATGAGAATGCATTGGAGGTTTAATGTCGGTGACACATCCGGCGATCTAGAAACGGGATATATCCTCTGCCTACAAGCCCGTGTACTCACCGAAGCTGCTGGAGACCTTTTGGGGTGAGTGTCTTGACAAACACAGTCGTTTAGGGAGACCCTCTCTCGAAACGTCAAAGACTCCATCGATGCGCCGCCATGACACATAGATGAACTCTTGGAAAGCATCTTGATCGGATACAATATGCACACTCCAAGGACGCTCCACCAGCCGATTGGAGATGACAGTCCGGAAAGCCGTCCTATATTGTATGACAACGTAGAAAGAAGCCAGCGAGTAGCAGTTGTTTCGACCGTTTGGTAATATGCCTGCTGGAACTCGCACAGTTCTGGCCACTCGTGAGGCAAAATCGTCCTTTACCGTACAATATCAATAACGGAATAAGGATGCCATGAGGAGTCGCGCGATAGAGCGATGAGGAAGGGGACAGGACAACGTAGTGATCGTTTACAATCATGGTTATCAATATACCTGTCGGCCTATAGAGACTAGTCCGTTGCCTAATGTTGAAAATATCACCAGAAGGAGATGACAAGGGAATATCCTCGGATGTATGGCGAGCAGGCGAGGAGAGGTGTAAGGCCGACGATGTTGAGCTAAGGTCTGAGAGAAAACACCGCCAAATCGGACACATGAGAACAAAGAAAAAGAGCCGAGACGCAACCAGCTGCTGAACGAGTGAGGTGACTCAGAGGAATCTTTCGCCCAAGGTTCAAACGCAGGAGGGGTGATCACCGCGCGACGGGAGCGAGCTCGTCAGAAGAGATGATCACCAGTTGGTTCAGATCCATGGTCCGCCCGCCGCCGCCTGCTTCCGTGTCTCCCAGCCCAGCATGCTACGCGCGAACCTCCCCCTGTTTCCAACATCTTGCCAGATTCGCGGAGCCTGCGCCTGCACCCGAGGGTAAATTGGAGAAACCCCAGGCAATAGTCGTCCGATTGGAGGACAAGAGCAGCTTCCAAAGTCGATGATGAACCTAGATACCACAAACGCACGGGGGTGCGATACTCCGTCGCAGAGTATGCTGTCTGCTGCCCATGAACGAAACGGTGCGATGGGCCGAGGCGTGCGTCTTCGGGACCGTGTGAGAGTGCGAATAGAACCAGTGGACGCGGCTCGTTCGGCGCGCATCGAGAGGGGTTATAGCGGCGAACGTCCTGGCGCAGGCTGCGACGTCGCTGTTGGCGACGAGCTCGACAGAAAGTGAGATGATGGGAGAAGGAGGAGAACGTGTAGCGGAACTCGGGGATGCCTGTAAGCGCTGGATCCAGACCGGTCGCAGAAGAAAAGAGCACAAGTTGGAAATCCCGCGCATATATGCACGAGTCTTCTCATCGACATTGCTCTTGCCGTCATCATTGCCAACGTTCAGAGACTATGCTGATGGACTCCCAATTAATTCTGATTTACTTGAACCGCAATCACCCGCTATTTTCTGGATCCCCGTCCGCTGCGTCGATGAGAGTGTAGTCATCATATGGGCATCAAGTTGAGCGCAGGTGCGTCGTCGCCCATGTCGTCTGATACGTTGAGAACGTCTGCCGCGAAAGAAGGCGTATCCTCCTTCGTGCCGGCGCCGAGCTGGAAGGACTCGAAGCGAGCTGGGCCGCACTGGATTCTGCACCACCTTCAAACATGTGCGTTCGTGCGCACAGAGCGGCACTTCTTTCTGCTTCAGCTCTCAGGCCCTGGGGCCAGAGGCCCGTCCGCCCCGTGATAGTTAACGACGCGCTGCGCCGGGCCCTTGGGCCGCGCGTCGGGCGACGGATGTTGCTTGCTTGGGGAGTATAACTATGCGCGTCCCGTATCCACTGGCGAACACAGCTAGACTTCCCTCGAATGCACCACATGTCGTGGACCGTGTGGGACCTGTGCTGCGAGTCCATTACTGCAGCTACTGCCGAGGGAGAGGCAGGGGGGATGCGTGCTGATCCCGCTTCTCCGTCCCCAGCACCATTCATATAGCGTACGCCTGCACGCGTTTATGACCGCGGATACACTGCGACGTCTGATGGAAAAGCACTGGCTGGAGGAGGAACCGTGTAAGGCAACCGAGATCGATCACAACGCACCTTCGCACGCCCCCTCGGCGAGGAACGACGTCCGAGCTGTGGAGGACTGAGCGGATCAGCATGTGCACTATCCGAGCCTCTGCATCTGCAGGCCTTCCAGCTCATACGCTCTCTGCGGTGCCCTTCCCCATCAGGACGACTGCAGTACCAGCCCAGTACACGGTCCAAAGCCCGCTCGTGAAGCAGAGGAGACTTGCAAGGCAACTCTGCGCTCGTCGCCGGCCGAAAGAATGCGCTAGCGTTTGAAGATGCGGGTACGGGACAGTGACGCAAGGCGAGAGGATCAGAAAGGTTCGCGGGCGCAATAATCACAGAGCGGAACCACCACCCACCGGGTCCGCCGTCCAGGCATTCGGACACCCTACAACAGCCGCGGAGTACGCGGAGGCACCCCCAGAACCCCGCCGGACGGCGCATGAAGTCATCCTGCATTGCCGCGGATTTGTCGCACAATTGTGACTCGAGCACAATCACCCCCACGCGAGCCAATAGCTTGGCTCCGCGTGTTGCCTGGTTCACCCACACAGAAAGCGGTGCGTTGATTCCCCGCCTTTAGAACCCGGTTGTCTGGCAGCCAACGCCGTCTCCGCAAATTACCACTCCGCCGAAGAACCATTTGCAGTTTTTATTATTATTCTCAGCCACCCGGGAGAGTTCCAGAGGCCGAAACCTTCATTCTGAGATCGTATCCGGACGCTCCAAGACTCCACCGTAACCGTCGCTGTGGTTCGCTATTACACAGATCATCCCCCCAGATCGCCCCATGACGAATTGAACCTCGGCCACGTCAGAGGGCGGCCGTTGCCTCTCAGATCCCGCTCCACGGATCACCGTCTCAAGCTTGATCCGGGGAATCCCTCCTTTGGGACACGTTGTTGACGACTACAAATCCCAAGTGTAGAAATTTCCTGGATTGCCTGTACCCATTCTGGTCCTTGCTCAGTGCTCTTATCGCATTGGCCACCGGCACGCTGCCTTTCGCTATTCATACATATTATCCTCTAGATCGCCCAGATGACGGATTCGCCTCAACAAAACCCCGGCGACCTCTGACGTGGTCATCGCCTCAGATCTCACTCCACGGATTCTCCACGGATCACCGTGCATGGCACGGGCTCGAGCTCGATCCGGAGCATCCCTCCTTTGCGACACGTTGTCATGACTCTACGGATTCCAAATCCAGAAACCTGGTGGATTGCCTGTAACCACTCTGGGTCCTTGCTCAATGGTCTTATCGCAGCCTCAATGACGAGCTCTCTGCGCTTCTAATAAAGCTCGCGTCACCGGCATTGATACAGAGGTGACAATGGCATCGAGCAGGGCGCACGGAAATAGACGTTGTGAGAAGTGTGTGTGTGTTGAGCAAGAACGACGAGTTGGAGGGAAATTCAGCAGTGCCCAGCCACCCGCTTCTCATTGATCTGCCCTTCCCGTCATGGACACCTCCCTTTTCCCTCGTCACAGCCAGATCCTGCCCACCCGTCCTGCCTCGCTCGTCACGGATTCTCCATCTGCTTTCCTGCCGGTCCCGAGCCGCCGATGGCTACGCACAGCAAGTTGGCAGCCCTTGGTCTATATTCTCTCGTTGAAAGCCGGAATTCAGCAGTCATGTCAGACTCGCTCACTTCTTCGCTTTCGCTCAAGGAAATAAAACGTGGATGCGGCCTACAAGCCCGTCGCCGCATCCGCTCGGGCGATTCCGGGTTGGTGAGATAGCAACAGTTCGAAATCCCACAGCCGCCCAACCCGTGCACAGGCGCATTCCCCAGCTTGAGGCGCGTTCCCCAGCTTCTTCACGTCTGTACAGCAATCGGTCACCAAATGCTATGTAAATTGCTCTAGATGCCGTTGGTTCGTCCGCGCGGCATTCCACGCCAAGTTCGGGGCAAAGGGGAGGAGAGGCAATAATGAAGAAGAAAAAGGAACGGCGAAGGACGAGCACAGATACTTTGAACACTTCCGAGATATCGACCTGCAGCTTTTTTACTCCTCCCTTGACTCTTTCACGCCCCTCAACTCTTTTGTGACTTCTGTAGGCCCTCTGTGACAGCTATCGCTCTCCTTTCAAGGTTGAGGCACGGGATCCTTTACTCGGCGCACGTGCATCATGCGACCGAATTAATTATAGTGAATCTTCTGACCTGATTGTTTGCGGGTACCACATGCTCGAAGTATAGCTGGCGTCTTCGGCGCATTCTGCAGATCGGTTGGCACGACATGTGGAGATGCCTCAGCCCATGAGCAGAAACGGCAGCTAGAACTAGGACCCGCATATGAAGACAGTGCCTCGAAATGGATATTTCTCCCAATCAGCAAGCAGCACGAGCCAAACACGAAATTCAACGGCAAAATATAATCTCGACGCTCATCATCCCGCACATCCGACGGTTGTTTCTACTCGTATCCTGAACGCTATATGTGCATACGTTCGACTGCCACGCCCTGGTCGCGCGTATCAAGGTTCGGTCCACTTTAAAGGCGTTGCTGCTTCCTCATCAGGACGCTCTTATCATCCGCCGATGCGCCAAGGCAGTGCGAGACCATCCGCAGCGTCTGCGAGTGCATATGGCACCAGTCGACATTTGCGCCTGACACGAAGTTCCCGAGCTCCTCGTTTGACGATCTTTGTCGCGTTCCAGCAGGTACCTTACATATTCTGATTTCTGCACATTTTTAACGTCTCACAGTGCTCCTGTCCCGTGATCCCGTATTGATGCACTTAGGGCTCCACTCCGGCAACATACTCGGAGACACTTTCTCGCCTGCGGGCCGATTCACTCTCGAACGTCGGCACATGTTCACGAAAGTGCCGACTGTGCACCTACGCAACCTTTCGGCGTCATAATTGCCTGACGCAACCCCTCTTTTTTTTTTTTGGCATTTATTTCTATCCCGCGCTATGTGCGGCGTTTAAAGGGAGGGTGTACAGGTACGGGCGTACACACACGCAACCCCTCGGCTTTCTGGATACTCGTTACGGATGTAGTATCACAAAGCTCTGCCTGAATTCCGAGTCCAGACATGCGTAAGATGAGTGAAAACAATGTATTCGTTCGGCGATATACATACGCCATGTTGCGAGCTGAATTTGTTCAGCAGATCTCAATATGTCATGGAGAGCAGATTGGAAGCTTAGGAGCAGCCCAGTTCTCGATGCTTGAATGCGCCGTCATCAAGTATCAGATAGGGTGGACATCTTAATTTAAACAGGTGAGAATGTATGTACGATGTGCTTACAAAATTTGCGCAACATCAAGATGATCGCTGCCGTACAATCTCCATTCTGAATTGACTACATGGTACATTCCGATACCCCGGAATCCTACAGCCAAACATCATGTATACATACAATCCGTACCGAACATCTATAATACATGATCATGTATTCCACCTCTTGGCGGAATGCATCAAGCGGACCTCACCGCCGCAGGCCCTCAAACGGCGGCGGCGCTCCGCGCCCGGCGAGCACCATCTCGTCCACGATCTCGTCGTTCTCCGTGCGCTTGTACGTCCGGATCGTCTCGCCGTAGTCCGAGATATCGAATATGCGGAAGCGGCGATCGAAACCGACGCGGCCGTAGCCTGAATATGATCTGCAAGACGACAGATGAGGACATGGAAAATTCTCAACCGAGTCAAACTGGGTACTTGCCCTCCCCCGCCGAAGCACAGCCACACGCCCTTCACACGTCTGCAGTTCTCCGTGACTGTGCGCGTGAATATAAGCGACATGTGCCAGAGTATTCGCGAAGGACGGACGTACCGTGACAATGCCCATTGGCGACGACCTTCACCTCGCGCGCGTTACCGGCCGCGACATGATCGCTCTCCGGGGCCTGCAGCAGCCCTTTATGGAAGAACCCATCTTGCTTCTTCGGCGAGCCCTGGCCCTCGAGATCGTGCTGCCCAACGTCAAGCGGCTTCCCTGTATTCGGGTCTGTATCTGCAGCCGCATACGTCTCTTGTCTGTGGATATGGTGATGGGTGTATGTGCCGAAGTGAGCGAAGAAACAACATACACAGGGATGTGGTAGAACATGAGCGCGTTGGGCTTCGCGAGACGTCTCGTCTCCGGCGTCACCTGGTCAGCTGCCTGTCGCTCCCAGATATCGCCGAGATCCTTCCCACTGTCCGGAGTGAAAGGACGCTCAATAGGGTCGATAGAGGCTGAGGGCATGCAATGTCAGTGATTTATGATAATCCTCGGTAAGAGCATCTCACATGACTCTTGCAAGAACCAATCGATTTGGTCCTAGAGGGGTGGATGAGGCAAAAGGGCTGATATGAACGACCGATCCCCCTGTGATGTAAAGCTCACCTGATGGATCCAGTCGTACTCTGTGGGCACAAAAAATCCGAACCAGTTGAAGAATCCTCTCGAATACGAGCCAGAGTCCAGGAAATACAGTGTCAACAAATGCGTCATAGATCTACATATTTTTCCATATCAGCGACTGATCATCAATAGAAACGAGCACACATACGCATCGGCACTCTTGACCTTGAGAACGTAGTTGCCGACGCCGTGGATGTCCTTCGGGCCCGCCTCGACAAGGCTGTATGGCAGCCCCTTCATATACTTGATCTGGTCCTCTCTCGAGTCCCCATCCTCATCGTCATGGTTGCCAAATATGGCCGCCCACGGGATCCCCCGCTGTGTCACAGCCCGTGCAAACTTAGCGAGCACGGAACGCGCGTCCCACGAGGTGCCCTGCCCGTTCAGCTGATCACCAGTAAAGACGACGAGATCTGGCCGCTCCACGTCGAGCATGCGTCCGAGAAGCGTGTTCGTCAAATTGTCCGAGTTGCTGCACGGCGCGAGCGGTGTGTCCCGGCACGTCCCTGCCGACACCGAGTAATGCAGGTCCGCTATCTGCATAATCTTGAATCGGCCGTCGTGCGTAAAATGCAGCGGAGGCGCTCGGGGTACCGCTGGGATCCATGTCAGCACGTGCACGACACGGAGAGTATAAATTACGCACGTTTCACCCCCCGACGGTATGTGAGCCAGACGCTCTCGCGCTGAATGATCGCCTTGCCCTCCAGCACTGGCGTGTCCAGCTTCTCGAATCCATACCACGGCTGGTTATCACCGAAGAGTACGTCCAGCTCTGTGACGAGGTCTGTCTGCCGTTCTGTCATTGTCATCTGCGCGAGCGTCTTATCTGTCTTGTACCAGAGATAGAGCTTCTCGCCGGAGGGGCTGATCGTCCGCGACACCTTATGCCAGTCGGCACTGAGCGGTGGTGTCTCCTTGTCAGGCAAGATACGCAGTTCTGTCACAATGGGAATGTCGTGTCGGCGTGTGCGTCGGTAGTAGATGTTCTACAACAACACGGCATGAACAAGTCTATCGCCAGAGCGTATTGGAGCGTGTACTCACCAAACTCATAAGCCCCGATTGTACATTGAGGTTGCGTGGAACGCGGACCCACTTCCCTCTATATGCGTCGGCCTCCTTCGTTGTCGCTGGTGCGCAGAAGTCCCCAGCAAGGCTCTCTGCATACCAGGGGTCAATGAAGCATGCCGTGATATCAATCTCGGACACTGAGCAACGGTCGTCAGCAAATTAAGCGGAACGGCGGAATGCGATTATAACACGAAGGGAGGGGCAGAGGGATCAAAGACATAACTGGTCGCTTTTCGTGACGATATACAGATTCCGGGCCGCATTCATTGCGCCACCTTAACACTCGCGAGCGCGTAATGCCATGCCAGTGGCATGATGCATCGCATATAATCATGTGAATGGGCCGGAAGGTAGCAGCAACAAGAAGGTGGGTGACTGCACGTATACTACTGCATGAACAGTAGAATAGATCGCATCATAGGCACATGTGAGTTCGCTCTCATCGTTGCTTGTGGGCATAGGCATAGCGTCACCATATGCGTTACAAATGAAGTCAACGAAATGACATCAAGCGAGCTACTCACATCCAGTATCATGTGGGAGCATAGGGTCCCAAACATCAAGAGGCAGGCTAGCAGAATCAACCTTCTGCGAGCCCTGAGTTACATTCCACCAGTCGACTCCTTCTGCCAGCGACGGAGTCCCCGCAATGGGCGTGCTGTCTCCGCCAGTAGTCGCATCTGCGTTGTCGCCGGAGATTCCAGAGATGACTTCCCAAGACTGCCATCCCACACGTTGGGACGCTCCAGGGCCGGCGTTGGGCTGATAGAGTACGAAAACGAAGGTAAGCAGACAACATAAGGCGATGAAGACCACCGCAGGAGAGAAGATAGATCTGAGAGAGCGACCAAGTCGAAATAAGGAGAGTGCCATGTTGGACGACTGGCCGGCGAGACGTTTGATGAGGACGCTAACGTGAATTGCGGCCAGTGTCCAGTGTCTACTCAGCGGGCATCCGCCACCGACCACAAACAGCGGCAAACCGTACTGCCGTTTCGGGCGATCACATCAATCCGTACTTTGTGCTCGGGCCACTGCGAGCATACCATCCCATTTGGACACGCCATGCAGAGCTGCTTTCGCCGTCTCTATGCGACAATCCCAGATGCAGCTGCGGTGGCTCGTACAGTCTCCACGCCGCGGGCTGTGCGCCTTCGGCGAATGCGGATTCACAAAACAAAACATCCTAAACTTCCCATTGAATCCGACGCCACCCCGGAAGGCCTCACACCGTCGGAAGTTGCCCGCTATAATCGTGAGCTCGCGAAGGGGAATTTGATGAAGGATGGGGGAAATGTGACGGCGAAGGAGTGGTTGGACAAGCTGAACGAGAAGCGGAACAGACTCCGTGGTGTGCGCGAGATCACGAACGAACAGGGCGAGAAGGAGCTGCAGTTTATTGGACAAAAGATATACCTGCCAAATATCATCATACGTATGGTGCGCAACTACACACCGCCCGGGCATCCGTACAACCCGTACGAGGCGACGTTCCGCACTCCCATGTCCATGACGAAGACCGACATGCGTTCGTATTTACTCGCTGTCTACGGCGTCAAGACGACGTACATCCGCACGGACAATTACATTTCGCCCGTTCTGCGTAGCCTTGATCGCTCATTCTCGCGGACGATCAAGCACAAGACATACAAGCGCGCCGTTGTTGGTCTCGTAGACCCATTCTATTTCCCGCAAGCCATGGAAGACATGACCAAGGAGGAACGGGAGAAAAGGAAGGGAAAACTCGAGGAGGATTTCCAGCTCAAAAGTTTCGATGAAACGAGGAGGGGAGAGTATTTGCGCATATCCAGGCAGGGCAGCAAGAACTGGAAATGGCGAACAGGAGTCACAGCGAAAAGAGGGAAGATTTTGGAGATCATCTCTTCACGGAGGGCTGCGCGGGAAAGCGCCGTCGAAGAGGCGAAAACACGCCTGTTGAAGAACAGAGAGGCTACCCAGTCGGAAGCTACTGCGTAGTCTGTCTCTCATACATCTACCCCAGCCTGGTATCTGCATGAGCATGACTACTGGAGCGAGGACATAAGGCCCACAGCGAGTGAGGCAGTGTCTACGACTTATTAGAGTAGAAGATATCATGATGTTGTCAACATACGGCTCATTGGAACAGGTCTTCATCTCCCTCGTCTTCATCCAGATTACACAAGGAAGGAGGTAGGTCATCGAGCATCAGCTCTCGGAACAACTCCCAGATCTCCGGCCCGTACTCATAGTATAATGCACCGAAAGCGGCACCTCCCAGGTGAGCCCAATGGTTGAACACCCTATGCAGCCTCGACCATCAGGACGATACTGTATACAACAGAGAATACAACACTCCTCACCTCCATCCATATATTACACCAGCGAAATCGAACGCGAGCAGAGCGCACAGCGCAAAACTTATGGGAATGGGAAACGTGGGCGGGATCTTGAACGCCAGATCTGTATCCGGGTACGCGAGAGTAACGACTGTGAAGGCAGCATACACAACCCCAGATGCGCCGAGGGCGATGGGTACCTCTTTCGTATGCTTGCTGAAGAACGACGCGATGCGTCCACGTGGTGGTGTGAAGCTGCTAGATGCGGATGCAGTGCTTGATCCGGCCGTTGACTTTAGTCGGGAGACAAGACGGGGATAGGTTAGGCGTGCGTAGGCAATATGAGAAACGAGGATGGAGAATAAGCCCGCTGCATGCTGGTGAGCCACTGCTGTTCGTGTCACGGCATCAGTGAAGAGGAAGCCTACCACTTGTGCAGAACGCGAGGAAATGCCATCTCGGCGTCGCTTCTCGCAGATTATCCGGGTCTCTGCCCTGCTGCTCAAAGAAATACTGAGATGCGGCAGAGCCTGGAGTACATGTTAGTCTTTACACGGCAAGACAATCCTAGCAGCACCCACCGAACGCTGCCAAAGCCATCGAGTCAACTGCGAGATGAAGGATGCTTCGATGGCTGCTCGCGAGCAAAAGCCAATCAATACCCGAGAAAGGCGCGGCTCAAGGAGACACGTACCTGAGCAGGCTAGTGAACATCGTTCCCGACAGCCCTGACAGTGGATTGTGTATAAAGCGTCTCTGCATGAGCGGCTGCAGCCGTGGAAACTGCCACGCGAGGTATATGATCCCGTTCACCACGCCAATGCCCCAGCACCACCTTCGGACTTCAGAAGTATCCAGAACCGGCTGCGCAAATTGTATGTAGGTCCAGATCAACATAGCCTTGAAGGCCTGCGGCCACTCCTCTACTGCGTCTTTCATGAGCGCCAGTCGCTGCTGCAGTTGCTACAGGATCTTGCGCCGTCAGCAGGGTGGCGGTGACAGCAAGGACAAGCTTTACCTTCCCCAAGGCATAGTACCTTGCTCTCCGCATCTCATCGTTCGTGGGTGGCCTATCCTTCCACGCCGGCGCAGACTCAATCAGCCTGATGGACCACATATATGTCTCGATGTTGGTGACATTGGCGGCTACAGCGAATGTCAGAACAGAGCCGGCTACAAAGAACTGTAGTCCATCAGAACATCTCGAAGGAGTTCCTGCTCATTCGCTCACAATGATCTGCCCTCCGATGGCCGGCCGCTTCACCTTGTCTCCGAACGAAGGAACGTCACGCAGCCGTCCCAGCTGCTGCCGGAACGATGGGATGGAGATATTCCATGGTGCCTGCTGTGCATTGGGTTCTGCTGCAGGCAGTCTTCCGGGTCGTGTGAAAGTGAATTGGCGATACGGTACGCGACATTTGGGCAAAGGCCGCAGGACTGAGCGCAAGTGCCAAAACATGGCTCGCCACAAGCGCGTACACAAAGGATTAGACGCCTCGCGTCTCGCACGGGGATTTGACGCTTGCATAATTCCTCCGCAAGCTCCGAATATTCAAGCTGGCAGCTATATGTATGACTGGATTGATCAGAATCGCATCAAGTAAATGTCGCTTTCCGTCGGACTATGAAAATGGTGATTATAGTGACTTCATGAAGCTTAGTACATATAGTATAGTAATATTGGTATCGTAAACTCGAGCCGCGACTCGGATAATTCTCCAAGGTTCAATCATCTAGGAGACGCTGCGCCGAGATCGATAATGAAATCCAAAACGACTTCCGAGGCCTCTGAGCGTGGGCAGGATTCTCTCTCAGGACCACGCTCGAGACACTAGACGATCGCAATGATCAGGCACGAGACCTACACGGGCAAGCACTTCGACATACCGATGATGCATCGTCTGCGGGAAAGCGTTGAGTGTAAGATGAGCTTTTATCCTCCGTTGTCGTATGCTGTAAGCAAAATGCGCGATCAGAATGCGCACATATATGCAAGGTTTGGATGCATACTGGGGTAGACAGTACCACTGCTTGTGACGTTTGGGTGGGGTGCGCGAACGAGGGAGTCAGATACGACGTCTGCTGCGTTAATCGCGAATCTTCCGTAGATGGTAGCATGTCCAAGGCGGCGAGATCGAGCGCGAGAGGTCTTTGAATTTGCCGGCGGACGACCTCGCGGTGATTGAGGCTGCAAATACAGGGTGACGAAAGCACGGACCTCCTAACGGATGGACATACTTCGCAACTAGAGCAATCAGGTACACTACCGACACATCATACGTTAGGTCGACAAAGCTTTAGTAACCGAGATGACGCACGTGCGGGTATTTGAACGTAGAAAGGGATGTATATGAGTAGATCTGGCCTCAAGGAGTACTTTCGACCGAATCTATGAGTACTTTAACGGTAAAGGGAGACGACGCGTACGCACGGTAATCAAGGTTGCGATAGCACACAGACTGTCATTGAAGAGAAACTTCAGCTGTTCGTCAAAGGCTCACGCAGCACTGGCGAACGAACGTTGGAGATAGACCTAATAGATCGAACGGCATCAATGGCCCAGCACACTCATCTTATGTCGAGGCACGAACCGGTGTTTATGGTGTAGATAATAAGCAGATTGATGACTGAGTTCGTCCTAGTCGTGTCGCCTCGAGTCAGTGTCAGCAGAGGAAAGCATACGAGGGACCGGCGCACCGCTGCAACCCGGTTCGCGATCTGTGCAGACAGATGCACATCATGCTCATGAGGATAATGTCGGCGGATATCCGTACAGTAAATATTGTCACGAACAGACTCTAACAAGCGGAAGGTCTCAGCTGAATTTCTTCGCAATCTGATCGGGCTAGGATACCTTGAGCACGTTCAAATCTTCGATGGATGGTTTAAGGAACCTGCGAAATCAGAGTCAAGATCTCACCATGCGGAGGCTATACGAAAGAGAAAACATACAACTTGACGGTAATGACTAGACATCATGACTGGTAAGCAACTACCTGTAGGCATGATCGCTGTGACATACTTATTCCTCCGACTGCGACAACCATATTATCGCTCAGCGAAGCATGCAACATCTTTATACGATTACTGACCAAAACACACTAAGGAAAGTAACGCCTGTAGGAGAGGGTAGTGAGCATCTAGTATGATCGGCATGCCCACTGCAAGACGCACTATCAAGCATAGACAAAGCGCTCGCCAGACGGTGAGCTCTCCTTTTGCTTGGTATACTGCAGGTGGAGTGGATAAATACCTCTCACGGGAGACTCGGATGGGGCTGGAACTCACGGCGACGTAATCGGTTCAGAAACATGCTGTAAGGCGGACATCAAGACCGACAATAATGCGAAACGAAACGCTCACTTACAACCGGACGATCGTGACGACAGACGACTACACAATCCGGTAAGCGAATTGTGAATGGTGGAAAAGTGTACCGTACTATTATAGCGGTCAGGATCTACGTTGTAAGATCAGTGCCAGACAATATCAAGTATCGCGGAACGACGCACAGCGAGGCTCCTGCATACAGATCAATGAAATGATAACTGCATACAGGTACAACAGCTACTCACCACGGGAGGTCTTGAAGTCCGGGTGTGGCCAAATAGTCTATGACGACGCAACTGTATATGGCATGGATCGTGACTGCTTGGCAGAATGTGCATAACAACCTGAGGACGTAATACTCAGTACCGTGGTGAGCGAAGGTGACACCAAATGGATTACCAAACGATGGAGACCTGTATGATCCGTCAAGTCTTGTTACAAACCATACGTAAATCTAATAGCTTACCGTTGCCTTGAACCAAGTTCGATCGATGGCATAAAGTTGAAAGTATGTCCATGTCACCGAAGACGCGACGCCATATACACTTCGCCACGCCCATGTTAGTAGAGAGTCATGGACCCTGTGCAAGATAATCATACACTGCCTGCGCAATCACGCCCAGCAAGAACGCGCCGAGGAAGTTCCGATCGGCAATACTAGGTGGAGGCAGGTCGCTCATCCCAAGAATTCATGAGATAGTCACAGGACAGGAAGATGGCAGCACAGAGCAAGAGATTGTTGGGCGCTGAGGAGGACGTGTGCGGCATGGCATTGGGATCCTGACCGCCTCATCAGCGCAACCAAGTACACATGGAGCCCTTCTGGAGGCGGATGTACTAATTCGGGTACGGTTGGCACCCCCGCGCGGATTCTGATGGCACGCGGGAATCAGGTGGCCCCTAGCCGAGTTTTCCGACCTCTATGTTTGGTGAGATTCGAGTGGGGATACGAGTTTTTGATCTCATAATTGATTGACGAGGGCTTCTGACCCGACTAGCACTGGACAATTTTTTGCTGGTGGTTTGCTGTCCTGCACCAAGAATGAACACGGTCGATTCTCGAAATGTATATCAAGCGCGGATGTCTATTAATATTGCAGGTTTTCAGGTTCAGCGAACGTGACGGAGGCTACACTAATTGAGCTTGAAGCTTATCATGGAGCCCTTCTAAAGTTACGTTCTCCTGCACGCAACAACTGCCACGACTTCATTTATTCATCAGAAGTGGTGTTTGTCCGTGAGTTGGCAGTATCTATCATATATGCGCATTATTGTATAGACCCTTTCACACACCTGTCCCGTTCTCCGTGCAACTTGCTCGCGCGGGAGTGTCAGCGCATTATGAGATGGATCCTATCGAAGGCATTGTCGTTAAGGGGAGCTTACACGATGAACATTGGATGAATCAACCTAATTCCGATCCTCGTCAATTAAGACATGTATGGAAGCTCGACAATCCGTTACGTGGTAGTTACGAACGATATGAAAAGAAAAGTTTTGATGGATAAGCTGATCCAGCCGACTGAGCTGCTGCCGGAATGATGAGATGTAGATATTCCATGGTGCCTGTTGTGCATTGGGTTCTGCTGCAGGCAGTCTTCGGGGTCGGGGTTGTGGGAAAGTGAGTTGGCGACAGGGGCCGCAGGACTGAGCGCGTACACAAAGGTCAGACAAGGATATCCGGAGCGTTCCTCCGGGCGGAATTGTCTCGTCTGCCCGTGCACAAAGGCGATTAGACGCCTCTCGTCTCGCGCGCAGATTTGACGCTTGCATAATTCCTCCGCAAGCTCCGAATATTCAAGCTCGCAGTAGTATATGACTGGATTGATCAGAATCGCATCAAGTAAACATTGAGTACAGTCGCTTTCAGTCGGACTATGAAAATGGTGATTGTAGTGACTTCATTAAGCGTAGTACATAGTATAATATTGGTATCGTAGTCTCGAGCCGCGACTCGAGCAATTCTCAAGGCCATCCGAATCATCTAGGAGACCGCTAGACCGAGATCGGCAAGGGAATCCAAAGCGACTTCAGACAACCCCGAGCGTGTGTAAGGCTCTCTCAGGTCCGCGCTCGAGACACTAGACCGTATCGCAGTTAGGTACGAGATCCTATCGGGGAAACACTTCGACATACCGATGATGCATCGTCTGCGAAAAAGCGCTGAGTGTGAGATGAGCTTTTGTCATCAGCCGCCATATGCTGTAAGCAAAATGCGTGCTTAGAATGCGCACACAACTTTGTAGAGGCTCGGATGCATACTGGGGTAGAGGGTATCGTGACGGTTCCTGAAGTCTGGGTAGAGTGCACGAACGAAGGAGTCGGATAAAGCGTCTGCTGCATAGATTGCGAGCCTTCTGTAGGTGGTATCATGTCGAACGCGGAGAGATCGAGCGTGAGAGGTCTTTGAATTTGCCGGCGGAAGACCTCGCGATGATTGAGGCTGCGAAGTACAGAGTGAGAGGAGCGTGGGCATCCTAACTGTGGACATACTTCGCAACTAGAGCGATCAGGTACACTACAGGCACATCATACGTTAGGTCGGCAAAGATCTATTAACCGAGGCGACGCACGTGAGGGTATTTGGATGTAGAAAGGGATGTATATGAGCACATCTGGCTTCAAGGAGAACTTTCGACCGAGTCGATGAGTACTTCAATGGTAAAGGGAGATGATGCGTACGCACGCTTATCAATGTTGCGATAGCACACAGACTGTCATTAAAGAGGAACTTCAGCTACATGTCAACTGAGCCTCACGCAGCATTGGCAAACGAACGTTGGAGATAGACCTAAAAGATCGAACGGCATCAATGGCCAAGCATTTTTACCTTATGTCGAGACACGAACCAGTGTTGATAGTGTAAATAATAAGCAGATTGATCATTGAGTCCGTCCTAGTCGTGTCGCCTCGAGTCAGCGTCAGCAGATGAGGGAGTGTGCGGGACCCGGCGCACCGCTGCAGCCCAGTTCGCGACCTATGCAGACAAATGCACATCATACTCGCGAGGATTACGTCGGCAGATATTCCTACGGCAAAAATCGTCACGAACAGACTCTACCAAGTGGAAGATCTTAGCTGAATGTCTTCGCAGTCTGACCGGGATAGGATACCTGGAGTACGTTCAACGTTTCGATGGGTTGTTTAAGAAACCTGCAAAATCAGATTAAGGATCTTGCCATTCAAAGACTGTACAAAAGAGAAAACATACAATTTGACTGTGATGGCTAGACGATAAGTCTGGTGAGAAACTATCTGCAGGCATGATCGCTGTGACATACTCGTTGCTACGGCTGCAAAATCCATGTTATCACTCAGCTAAGCATGTGACACCTCTATATGGTACTGACCAAGATCCACTAGAGATAATAGAGCCTGTAGAAGAGGATCGTGACTATCAAGTATGCTCGGTATGCTCACTTCAAGACGTACTATCAAGCATAGACAAAACGCTCGCCAAACGTTGAGCTCTCCTTTTGCCTGATACACTTCATGTGGAGTGGATGAATATCTCGCGCGTAGGATGTGTTTACAACTCACGGAGACGTAATCGGTTCAGAAACATACTGTAAGGCAATCATTGAGACCGAGAATAACGTGAAACGGAACGCCCACTTACCAGCGGACAAGTGTGGTGACAAACGACTACGCGATGCGGTAAGCGAATTGCTGACGATGGGAAAAGTGTACCGTACTATGGAAATGGTCACGATCTACGATGCAAGATCAGTGCTAGACAATATCAAGTATCGCGGTACGACGCACAGCGAGGCTCCTGCATACAGATATGAAATGATATCTGCATACAGGCATAACAGCTATTCACCACGGAAAGACTTGAAGTCCTTGTGTGGTCATGAACTCTGTAACGACGTGACTGTATATGCCACGGATCGTGACTGCTAGGCAGAACGTGCATGCCAGCCTAAGGGCGTGATACTCGGTACCGCATTGAACGAAGATGGCGCAAAATGAAGTACCAAATAATGAAGACCTATGTGTGATCCGTCGAGTTCTGTTATCGTACGTAAGTGGATGGCTTACCATCGCCTTGAACCAACCTCGATCGATGGCATAACGTTGAAAGTACGTCCACGTCACCGAGGATGCGACGCCATACACACTTCACCACAACTAGGTTAGCAGACAGTCATGGACCCTGTGCAAGGTAATCGTACATTGCCTGCGTAAATACGCCCAGCAAGAGCGCGCCGAGGGAATTCCGAAAGAGATCCATAATAGGTGCAGGCTGCTCGCTCATCCTGGGAATTCATGAAACAGTTGCAGGGCAGGAAGATCGCAGTATAGAGCAAGAAATCGTTGGCAGAAACAGGCATGGGCTGCGGAGGACGTGTGCATTGCGTTGGGATCCTGACCGCCTCACCAGCGTATCCGAGAACACATGGAACCCTTCTGGAGGCGGATGTAAATCGGGTACAATTGACACCTCCGCGGGGAATCTGATGACATACGCGAATCAGGTGGCCCCTAGCCGCCTTTCCGACCCCTGTGTTTGGTTAGATGCTCCATCTAACTTGGAGAAGGAATGGTTCAACATTGTAGCAGCGTGGCCAAACAAGTTCTTGATCTCACAATCGACGAGAGCTTCTGACTCGATTAGTAAACAACTCGCTGCATTCTCTTGCGGGTGGTGTCTGTCCTGCGCCAAGCTTTCAAAGAATGAACACAGGTAGATGCACAGAATGTACACGTTGAAAGAAGAGCTAGCGTGCGAACCAGGAGGGCAACAACGCCGCTAAGTTAGCTGCAAACCGGGCCGGAGCGCGGATGTCTATTTATGGCAGGTTTTCAGGTTCAGCGAACGCGAACGTGACGGAGGCTACACGGTGACTTGAGCTTGAAGAAGCTTGAAACTTTGAAGCTTTGAACCTCGAAGCCTATACCATGATGAAGCCGGGCCTCTGTTCACAGCTGAACGGACGCTAAGGTTTAATAAAAAGTGATGTATTACCTCGCACTGTTCCGCGGGTTGGCTGAGTGTAAATATGCACATTATTGTATAGACTCTTTCACACACTTGTCCGGACAAACTTCTCGCGCGTGCATGTTAGCGCATTACAAGGCGGATCTTGGCGAAGAATATTGTTGCCAAGGTTGACACGGGGAGCGTACACCGTGAACATTGGATGCATGAACCCTAATTCTAATTAAGACATGTATGGGAGTCCGCAAACATTACGTGGTTATCACGGACGAAAAAAATCGCTTTGATGGCTTCGATTGAAAATGATGATTGTGATGACTTCATTAAGCTTAGTACATATGATATTGGTATCATAGGCTCGAGCAGCGGCCGAGCAATTTTGAAGACCATCCCAATCATCTAGGAGACCGCTAGGTCGAGATCTGCAATAGAATCCAAAATGACTTCCGACGACTCCGAGCGTGTGTAGGGTTCTCTCTCAGGACCTCGCTCGAGACACTAGATGAGCGCATTTAGGCACGACACCCACTTGGGAAACACTTCGACATACCGATGATGCATCGTTTGCAGAAAAGCGCTGAGTGTAAGATGAGCTTTTGTCATCAGCCGCTATATGCTGTAAGCAAAATGTGCGCTCAGAATGTGCATACAATTATGCAGAGGCTCGGATGCGTACTGGGGTAGAGGGTACCGTGAAGGTTCCTGACGTCACGTTGGGGTGCACGAACGAGGGAGTCGGATACGACATCCGCTGCATGTATTGTGAGCCTTCTGTTGGTGGTAGCATGTCGAACGCGGAGAGGTCGAGAGTGAGAGGTCTTTGAATTTGCCGGCGGAAGACCTCGCGATGATTGAGGCTGCGAATCACAAAGTGAGTGGAGCGCGGGCATCCTAAACGAGTGTCACACTTCGCAACTAGAGCAATGAGGTACACTACAGACACATCATATGTTAGATCGACGAAGGCTTTTTTAAAAACCGAGGAGACGCACGTGCGGGTATTTGGATGTAGAAAGGGAAGTATATGAGTACATCTTGCCTCAGGCAGAACTTTCGACCGAATCTATGAGTATTTCTAGAATGAGGAAACGGAGCATACGCACGCTGATCAACGTTGCGATAGCACATAGACTGTCATTAAGGAGGTCAGCTATACGTCAAAGCCTCACGGAACACGGGGAACGAACGTTGGAAATAGACCTGACAAATCGGACGGCATCAATAGGCAATCAGTTTCATCTTAGGACAAGGCACGAACCAGTGTTGATCGTGTAGATAATAAGCAGATTGATGAGTGAGTCCGTCCTAGTCGTATCGCCTGGGGTCAGCATCAGCAGAGAAAGGCGTACGAGGGACCCGGCGCACCGCTGCACCCCAGTGCGCGACATATGCAGACATATGCACATCATGCTCGCGAGTATGACGTCTGCGGATATCCCTACGGCAAATATCGTCACCAACAAATTCTAAAATGCGGAAAATGTCAGCTAGGTTTCTTTGCAATCTATCTGGACTGGTATACCCAGAGTATGGTCAAAGTATCGATGGATGGCTTAAGGAACCTGCGAGATCAGAGTCAAGAGTTTGCCATGAAAAGGCTGGAAGAAGGAGAAAGCATACATCTTGACTGTGATGGCTAGACATCATAACTTGTGAGCAACTATCTGCAGGCATGATCGCTGTGACATACTAATTGCTACGGCTGCAAAATCCATGTTATCGATCAGCTTAGCACGCGACACCTCTATATGGCACTGACCAAGATCTGCTAGGGAAAGTAGGGCCTGTAAAAGAGGATCATGTATATCTGGTACGCTTGGCATGCCCACTGCAATACGCACTATCAAGCATAAATAAAACGCTCGCCAGGCATTGAGCTCTCCTTTTGCCTGGTATACTGCATGTGGAGTGGATAGATACTCTTGCGGATGACATGTTTAAAACTCACGAAGACGTAATCGGTTCAGAAACATACTGTAAGGCGATCACTGAGACAGAAAATAATGCGAAGTGGAACGCCCACTTACAAGCGGACAACCGTGGTGACAAACGACTACACAATGCAGTAAGTGAATTGCTAACGGTGAAAAAGAGTGTACCGTACTATGGAAGTGGTCAAGATCTACGATGCAAGATCAGCGCTAAACGACAACACGTATTGCAGCACGACGCACAGCGACACCCCTGCATACAGATCAATGAATGATTTCTGTATACAAACGGAACAGCTACTCACCACGGGAAGACTTGAAGTCCTCGTGTGTTCATATAGTCTGTGACGATGTAACTGTACATGCTACGGATCGTGACTGCTAGGCAGAACGTGCATGCCAGCCTAAGGGCGTAATACTCAGTACCGCGGTGAATGAAGATGGCGCCAAATGAAGTACCAAATAATGAATACCTATGTGTGATCCGTCAAGTTCTGTTATCGTACGTAAGTGAATAACTTACCATCGCCTTGAACCAACCTCGATCGATGGCATAACGTCGAAAGTAGGTCCATGTCACCGAAGATGCGATGCCATACACACTTCGCCACGCCTAGGTTAGCAGACCACCACGGACCCTATGCAAGGTAATCGTACATTGCCTGCGCAAACATGCCCAACAAGAGCGCGCCAAGGGATTTCCGAAAGATATCCATAACAACTCCAGGCTGGTCGCTCATCCTGGGAATTCATGAAATAGTTGTAGGGCAGGGAGATCGCAGCACAGAGCAAGAAAGCTGTGGAGGACGTGTGCATTGAATTGGGATCCTGACCGCCTCACCGGCACATCCGAAAGACATGGAACCCTTCTGGGAGCGGATGTAAATCGGGTACAGTTGACACCTCCGCGCGGATTCTGATGACATGCGCGAATCAGATGGTCCCTAGCCGTCTTCCCGATCCCTGTGTTTGGTGAGATGGCGCTGTAGCGTGGCCACACGAGTTCCTGATCTCACAATTGACGAGGGCTTCTTTGAACTCGACTAGCAAACAATTTGCTGCATTTTTCTGCTGGTGGTTTCTGTCCTGCGCCAAGCATCCAAAGAATGAACACGGTCGGTGCTCAGAATGTATATATTGAAAGGAGAGGTTAGCGTGGGAAGCAGGGGGACACTGCATCAATGCTTCAAGCTTCAGCGCTCAGCGCTCAGCCGCAAACCCCGGGCACGGATGTCTAGTTATGGCAAGTTTTCAGGTTCAGCGCTCAGCGAATGTGATGGAGGCCACACGACTTGAGCTTGAGCTTGAAGCTTATATCGTGGTCGCCTCTATCCTCAGCTGAACAGACGTTCTCCTGCACGCAACAACCGCTAAGACTTTATTAAAAGTGATGTATTACCCCGCACTGTTCCGTGGGTTGGCTGAGTCTATATATCAACATTAGTATTGTATAGATTCTTTCACACACTTGTCCCGACAAACTCGCGTGTGCCACATGCATGCACGTTACAAAGCGAATCCTGGGAAAGGATTGTCGCTTAGGGGAGCGTACACGATGAACATTGGATGAATGAACCCAAATTCCCATCCTCGTCAATTAAGACATGTATGAATACTCGGCAATCTGTTACGTGATTGTTACGGAGCGATGTGAAAAGAAAACGGTTTGATGGCTAAAACGGTCGCTATATTGCAGTGTGAAGAACGTCTGGAGAGTCCTAACGGGTAAGGACCGTATAGCACCTCTACCTTGCGCTCTACTTCACCCATTTCATTATCTCAAGAGCCCGCATACGAGCATTGATATAATACAACGTCCACGGTAAGTAATCACGCACAAGCAAGAACCGTGTAAGGAAACATAACATGCGCCCGTCCATACATCGGCAGTCCATCATCAGAAACACTCCACCGTCCGCTGGCAACGAGTATGCAGATGAAAGCAAAAAAGGCATTACAACGAGCAACATGACATTAACAGTCCCACACCGTGTCATCAAGGCGGAGAACGGCGATCACAGCAGCAGCCCAGCCACGATCACCGAAGCAGCCACACTGACCAGCCCCAATCCCGCGCCGCGCACACTCGCAGCGCCGCTCGTGTCGCTCGTGTCGACGCTCCCAGTCGCGCTCACCGCCGCCTGCACCGAGCCAATCGTCGCGCTCGGCGCAGACGCGACCGCGCCGTTCATCGCATGCGCAGTCTCGGACAGCGCGGCGAAGCCGACCGCCGGTGGGTCGTACTGGAACGCGGCGTATACATTTTTCTGTGCGCGGACCGAAGCGGGATCAACGGACATTGAGGACGCAACGAGGGGGAAAATACGTACGAGGAACGTATCGCCGACGATCCACGCGGGTGCGCTCGTGCCGGCGTTGTCGATGACGAAGAACGCGCCGATGCACTCACTGCCGTCTTCGTTCGCCTGTTCAAACTCGAAATCATCCGGAGAGACCGACCAGGAGTTTGAGCTCGAACCGAACTTGAACGCCACGGTGACGCTGGTAGAGCAAGCTGTAAAAAGAGCATGAGCGTTGAGGTTTCGACGCAATGAAAGAGAGCATACGCACGGTAGGTGTAGTATCCTTCAAGGTTGCCCGTACCAGCGACAGCGCCGTCAACCTTGGCATAGATCTCAGCGATGGCAGCAGAAGGCCCGCCAATCAATGTAGTGCCAGTATCGATCGCAGCATATGAGTCAGAGCCGGACGTCAGGGTGATGGCAGTGCCTCCAACAGTGATTTCTATGCAGAGTTGGCGTTACCGTCAAGAATAAGTGATGCAGGCCCAACGTACCAGCAACCTCCTGAATCCAATATCCAACCTCGCCACTAGGGATATCCTGAAAGTCAAGCTCGCCGGTGTACAGGCTCGCGTTGGTCGCGCCGAGAGTGAAGGTGCCTCCAGGCTCGAGCTCCTGTGCCTTCGAGTCGTTGTTGTACCGAGTCAGCTGCACGCCGAACACGTTCTCGGACAGCGTGCCATTCGCCTCTGCGAGCGCCTGCCAGAATGGCGTCGCGCCTGAAGAGGCAATGGACTGCCATGCCATGCCGATCAGACCGGATACGGGCGTCGTCAGCACACCGCTCGACACCTCGTCGACGACGGCGAATGTCTGCGCCTTGACTTCGAAGCCCGCGAGCTGCACGGTGTCCTTCCCGAGGTAGCCCGCCGCCTCGCCCGAGTCATACGTGATCTCGAATGCGGTGCTGAGGTTCGTGAACGAGGTGGACTTGGTGGACTCGAACATGGCGATGCCACTAGGGATGCTGCTGGCCGAGCCGCTGCTCGCTCCAGCCACCCACAGATCACTGAGGGGGATGGTCCATCAGAGTGGTTCGACCGCCTCGTAATTCGAACTCACGATGAACCTGTGTCCAAAATAACATCAAAGGAAACTGCGGGAGTGCCAATGGCTAACGAAGCAAAATAGCTGGAGGCACGATTAGCAGCCTAGACGTCGAACAACCCTCTGTGCTACAGACCTCGAGTCGGCAGCTTCATTCGTTAGTCTGTTCAAGTAGCGATCTCAGAAACGCGAGGCTTTCGTGCGACGAAGAAGCTCACAGGTTCATGCCAGATGACCGTTTGTTATTCTTGGCGTGGCCGATGCCATACTTGGCCTCCAGGGCCAACTTCCGCCTTTGTAACGACGCAGCGACCTCCGTGGGACTGCGCTTGGTCTTTTGAGGTGTCCTGCGCGAGAGCCCGACATGCAAGCCAGATGCAGCGGGGCGAGGAGCTGCGAGCGTATCGAGAACGAGCGAGAGAAGCGTTATGGAGAGCGAGAGCGGGAGCAGCATTGCCGGTACGTTACTCGTTGGGGTATCGGATTAGGATGAAAGCAGTCGAGAGAGCGGGTGGAGCTATAAAACGGGTGAGAAGTGCAGAGTCGGCTGCGCACTGCGCGGCAAGACTGGCAAGGTGATCCTTTCGTCTGAGCTCGGCGCCGCGGGCGAATGCTAGACCCGCACAGCCGGAAATAGCAGCGCGGGGAAGACGTGCGAGGCAGAAATACGAAGGAGAAAACAAGGCTGGCCTGGAAGCAGAAAGGCTGAGGTGGCGGCCTGCACGCTCGACCGCCACCTGTTGCCACCGGCACCTCGGCCACCTCCCTTTTATGGAATCGCCGTTCAGACTGACCGCCCGTCGCCGCCCAATCACTGCGCCCGCAGTAAGCGTGGCATCGCCCAGTACAGAATTACCAAGCATTTTCAGCCGATGACTGCCGTACCTGCTAATGCAACCGCTGCTCACCTCCATCAAGTGTGTTTGTCGTAAATCTGGATGCGCTCATTAATGCTGCCGTTTGTCACGAAGCGGTTGATATGTCTATACAGGCGTCTATATCGTGGCTCAAGCGGTACGCAGAACAACGTATGTAATCTTTGGTCACAATGAATCTGCAGTTGATTATACAACGTTGCACTACATCCAAAACTCGTGTGATACACAAAGCCGAGTGTCATTGCGGCAGAAGCGACGGCCTTTACGTTCCGAGCCCTACATATACGCACGTCAACGTAATCCGCGCGATGTAATGCACCCGCGCTAGAAAGCGATGTCCGGTGTATCACTAATCATTTCATCTTGCTGTCAAGACGATTTCACATTCGCGCTTTCTGCGACCTTTCATAGTGCATTCACGGTGGTGAGACTTCCTATGCATGACTTTCTGATTTGAGACTAACCTTCTTCGAAGGCGCTTTTCTGGGTAATCTGAAAGCTCTGTGATTCACCTACGCCGTGTCGTCAAAGCAACTTTGACTGCGACGGTTGTTTTGACTGTGTGACGGTCGTGATCTCCGGCTCAACTTGTCTGTAATTTTGCTCTGAAGAACAAGTCAAAGTCAAATCAGAGCACGCTCTAGTAACTACAACGTCCGCGACAAATCGCGACTACTATTTAAGCATGCCATTAACTACCCTTGCGGAAGGTTTCTCCGTCCAGTAGTTCTGAATATTTGAAAAGTCACCGTTTCTGAACATATTATAAAGCAACATTGCGCGCAATTATTGTACAACAGTCATGTCCGGTCCGCTTCTTATAACAGAGATTTAGTCCCTGAGTGTGTCCTGTCCAGTATGGGATTGACGCAATGCAACAGCCCAACCGCGACGCGACTGCTTTATGGCACGGCAGGGAGTCTGATCTATCACCGCTCAGCACAGCGCGCTAGAACATCAGCGCCGCAACGATCCCGGCCGACAACAAGGCCAGGCTGCTCATGATATCGACGCGCACCACGCTGCTCTTGCCGCCGCTCCTGTGAGCGCTCGCATACACCGTCGACGTTACGCTCGCCGTGGTCACCGCCGCGGCTGCAGACCCAATAGTGGGGCTGGGCGCCGACCCCGCCGCACCGTTCATGGAAAGGGCCAGATCGGACAGTGTCGCAAAACCGACAGCGGGAGGGTCGTAGCGGTAAACGGAATACACGTTCTTCTGCTCAGGTGTGCACGATCAGCACTAGGTAGCAGAGGCATGAATGAGGGAACGCACAAGGAACGTGTCGCCGACGATCCATGCAGGCGCAGTACTACCTGTGTTGTCGGTGACAACGAACGCGCCCACGCAGAGATTGTTGTAGCCCAGGGACGCGTACTCGAAATCCGCCGACGAAACGGACCACGCATTCGAGCTCGATCCGAACGTCACGGTCAGTTCCACCTTCGTCGAGCACGCTAGATGATGAAAATCGTGAGCCGTGTTCGTTCAATGTTAGACTGAATTCTTCATACGATAGGTGTAGTATCCTGAAAGAGAGCCTGCGCCTGCCGCGCTCCCTTCAATTTGTTCGTATATAGCAGCAATGGCAGCCGACGGCCCGCCAACCAGCGTGGTACCTGTATCGATGGCCGCATAGGAGGAACTGCCGGACTCGAGGTCTATCGTGTTCCCCTGCACCGTCATGCCTACATAGATGGTTTTCAATGCTGTACGCCGGCTCCAAAATCGATGAATGCATACTGGTGATCTCTTGCAACCAGTAGGTCCTCTGGTCAGATGGAGTGGCCTGGAAGTCGATCTCGCCCGTGTACAGACTCGTATTGGTCGTTCCTAGGGTAAACGTGCCTCCGGGTGCATTCTTCGAGGCATTTGTGACATTATTATATCTTGTCAATTGAACACCGAAGAGCGCCTCGTCAAGCGTGCCGTTTGCTGCAGCAAGCGCCTGCCAAAACGGAACTGCGCCCGACGAAGCTATCGATCTCCAAGCCATGCCAAGAATGCCCGATATTGGCACATTGAGGAGATTGCTCGTGAGCTCATCGACGACCGCAAAGGTCTGATTAGCCTTGAAGCCGGCAAACTGGACTTCATCTGCCCACAGCTCCCCCTCTGCCGAACCAGAACCATACGTGATGGAGAAAGTCTCGTTGATGTATCGTAAACTCGAGGACCCGGATGTATTGAAAGTTGATATTCCGTTGTCAACCTGCGTTGCAGCAGCTGTGCCAGCAACCCATAGGTCGCTGCCCGCGAGCGCATAAGGTCAGCATCAGCGCGAGGCTCTATGTGCATGAAACTCACGCGGAGCCGGTGTCAAGAATAACATTATATGATACTGGGGGTGTGCCAATTGCCAATGATGCGTAATAACTGCACCAGAATCAGTGTGAACTTGACGAAAGACAGAAGGATCACATACCTTAGGTCGTATTCCAGATTCGTGAGCCTGTCATCAGTGGGTCAGAACCTGGTTCATAAACTTTAGACGGCGCTGTTCATAACGGCTGTCGTGCATGCATTTAATAAAAACGCAGACTGTGCATGCCATGCTGAGCTCAGCGGCATTCTGAGAACTATAAAGCTCTTTAGGGAATGTAACGAAGCACAAAGGCGAGATTCAGACAGCCCCTAGGCTGTGCCGAGGCCTAATACCGTCTTTGCTCTAGTGAGGAGCAACCAGGCGAGAGACTGGACAGCTTGAATAAGATTCTGGCCATGAATCTGTGCTGACCAGAAAGAGCTCGAGTCCTGCTCCACACATGCATGCACGCAAGCCATTACCAGAACACACGGGCAAGTGAGACGCTCACAGATTCATGCCGTACGCCCGCTTCCTCTCCTGAGATTGGCCCAGTCCATATTTAGCATCCAACGCCAACTTCTGCCTCCTTAGTGTCTCGTATATATCTTCTGAGTCACGCCGGCGTCGCGGTGCTCGCGTGAGTGAGATATGCTTGTCGAGGGTGCGGAGTTCATCGGGAAAAGGCTGAGGAGCGGCGACAGCGTCGAACGCAAACACAAAGCACGTGATTAATAGCGTCACAGGAAGGTGCATAGTTGTGATTCGGGGCGCAGATGCGCTATTGCATTAGAGCGGCGCACGAGCAGACCAAATCGAGAGAAGTGGGACGGTGAGGGGAGAGGGGAAGGAGAGCACAGCTGCGCACCATGCGGGCGGAGAGCTTGAATTATGAAGGCCTCGGTGGCGGATACCAAGCGACACCGGCGGCAGGCGTCATCGGCATTACGATATATTTTCCATATGTGGCAGCCGGTCCGTCTTCAGCCCGCAGCACCGCAGTTAGACGCCGCACTCCTAAGCATTTCCAAGTCGATGCCGTTCGAGGCAGAAAACACGGTCAGATGACTGGAGGTCGTTGGTGGGGATCAAACATTCTACGGCAGATTCGCGAGACCTAAGTGACGACAGACTCACTGTGGATCGTTGAACTAGACTGGAGTGGCCGTGGAATAAGCCCGATTTTCGGACGACATGCTCGAGCTTCAAGACTGACAACCAACCGCGGAACACGTCGGGTCAACACGCACATTCGAGGCGAGACCCAAGACGACACATACCAAGCACGAAGCTCGCAGGATGGCAAGTCTTCGCCAGGTATGACGTCCGCGTCTGGCTGAGATTATGCCGCGGCTGCTGGGCGGATCCACTTAAAAGCGGCCAACATGACGTTGCACACGCTGATGCATGCACAGCAAAAGGCCACAAGAAAAGCCTTGCAGTTGCTTGAATACAGCATTTGAGCATAAGCCGAGAGACTGGGCGAAGGCATAAGGAGACGAGGCTAAAGCGCAGCAGTAACAAGGCCAGTACGGAGCACATCCAAGCAGGGTTCTGCGAGTGGCCAATGAGCGAAAATGGATTTTGCCACAAATGTAACGTCAGGCTGTGAGGGCGGCGCGAACATCTGATAACAAGTATCAGCAGATTAGCACAGCCCTCGACTGTTCATCGAGTAGAACCAGCTTTGCCCTCTTCAGCACGGGTACCTTCACGATAGGGGTCTCGCTGGAGCTAGTTCGGGCAGCAGCGCCGTCATCGTTCCGCTGACCACTATTTGAGGATAAGGGACCAACATCATTGTTTGCAGTCACGGAGGGAATACCTTTAGGTGTTTTGTGACGATGACAAGCGATTGACTGGGGAATTGGCGCCTTGTAGCGCCATGCATGCAATACATTCCTCAAGCGCATCGCATAGCCGACGTCGTGGTAGATCTTGATGTGATCGACTGACAACAACGTAGAAATCGCTAGCAGCGTTGTCTTTTCGGATGTCTTGCTCTCGGTAGCGTGTCCTGCCTGTGGCACAGTGCTTGACGATGAGGTGACTCGGATGACAGGAGCAGAATGGAACGACAGTGAGATTGGTCCGAGGGTACCCGCCTCACGCAACGTGCGGAGGAATGCCCAGAATTCAACAAGTGACGCATAAGTCCATGTTATTTGTGCCGGGCCGAATGGCGCCAGATCGCTTGATTTGCCTGCACGCCGCGGAAGTTGATTCTGCTCTTCATTGTCTGCTGAGCTCGAATTTGAGTTTGCGCTCTTAGTGAATAAGATCGCCGCTGGAGTACAATCCTCCCAAGGCAGAGCTCCGCGAATAGGCACGACCCATGCACCTCTAGCAGCGGGATCCTCCAACCATTCATTCATAGTGTCACTTGTATATGGAGCGATCGGTGTCGGTTGGAAACTTGCATAGAATTTAGAGGGATCTATCTCACCCGCGACAGCGTCGGTGGTTAAGACGGGGGAAGGAATATAATGCGGCTGAAATATATTTGAGTCATTGAGATGATTGACACAGAGCGCTCCCCGTAAATGATGTCTATGCATATACTGACCTGCGGGATCGTTCTTTGCAGCGACTGCTCGTTAAAACATGGGCGCTTGGGCGGACGTTCCTCTTGGGTCAATTCATCGCCTGCCCTCTTTTTCCCGTTGAGAGAATCCTTAATAATGTCTCCTTCCGCGGACTCCATGATCTCAGAGACATGCATAGATTCCGCTTCCCGCTTACGTGTCCCTGACAGGTTTGCAAGCAGGCGTGTACTCTCGAATTCCTTCAAATCCTGGAGCGAGAACACGTCCGGATCCTCACCTGTCTCTGGCATTTCTCCCCAGTCTTTCAAAGTACAGATAGGCACATCACGACTCTCCCAGTCTCTGGAGAAACATCGTGGAGGTGGATGGATATATGCGTAGCAATTCCCTCTGATAACTGCGATCACGATTCAGTATCGTCCGACGGCGGATAAGGGAACCTACTGAAGGTGAGCTCATCGAGTATTCTGGCTGGCCTGAACCATTGCTCTGCTGAAACGGCCGCATCAACGATTTGTTTGCCACGATCCAATGCATCTTGGGAATCAATGGGGTCTGCATGTCTTGTGCTGAAATTGTGGACGGTTATAAAACGCGTCAGTGGGTCATCGGCGTAATCTTCCCCTTGCTGAGAGCCCAATGGCCGGCTGGATGTGGCGGAGCTCATGTGAACCGTATACTGGATATGTCAAGCCTGCGAATTGGCAATTTGGGTAGGAGTAGGCACTAGCGCTGGAAACGTGACGTGACAAGCGCGTCTGTCACGCGTCCAAACACGTGGACGTGAAGTTGTCGCGGGCGTCTCGAGTGCGCGCTCTCTCTCGCACTTCACTCGGTACGTCCTTTGGCTTTGCGCAAGATGCCTCGCAGAAAAGTATGTTTTACGTCTCTGTTCTCTCGCGATTTACAGAGCAATTATTCTTCCTAGAAAGCGGCTCCCCATCATCCCCCCAATGCAAAAGGGAAGACTGCAACGTCCGCGACTGATGAGCGGAAGGAAGATACTTACAGGACCGACGCGGTCCACAGAGAGCAAATGCACAATGAGCGTTTCGAAAAGTACTACAAGGCACAGCATATTCTTCCCGACGAAGAATGGGAGGCGTTTATGGAGGCTATGAGGAATCCCCTTCCGACAACCTTCCGTGTAGCCGGCAGCCGACAGTGAGTGGTATTCCGTGCTATCGAAATTGTGTCATGTTGAGCGCTGATTCCATGAAGGACTGCACAGCTGCTCAATGACACTATTAAGGACACTTATGTGCCTCACTTGGCCGGCGTCGTTTTCGAAGGCGAAGCGGTGTCGCCACCATCACAAATACCCTGGTATAATTCTTCCGCTTTCTCTGCATAGCTCGTATCATGATGGTTTGTCAAGGTATCCTGAGGGCCTCGCTTGGCAGTTCAACGTCTCCAAGAAGGTTCTGCGGAAGTCGCCCGAATTCAAAAAGTTCCACTCGTTCCTAGTCTTTGAGACAGAAGTCGTATGTTGGATCTTATTGTCGTACGCTTTACTTCTAACTTCCTTGATAGGGCAATATCTCTCGCCAAGAAGCTGTGAGCATGCTCCCCCCACTATTCTTGCAAGTCGAGCCCCATCATCGGGTAAGCAACTGCTTCTTTTCTCTTCGGAAACGACTGAAGGCCCTTCGAAGGTCATGGACATGTGCGCAGCGCCAGGCTCTAAGGTATGTCACTAGGCATATCGAGTGAAAGCTGCTCATGTGTGTAGACGGCGCAACTCCTCGAAGCCCTTCATGCACAAGACACTGTGACCGCTTCGTCCTTCCCCACGGGACTTCTCATCGCAAACGACAGCGACTACAAGCGTACGCATATGCTCATTCACCAAGCTGCCCGACTCCCATCGCCCGCACTGATGGTGACCAATCATGACGCATCCATCTACCCCATTATCAAGATCCCCTCGGAACAGGTCGTCTTCCCCTCCAGTACAAAAGCACGGGTCGCTGCCAAGAAGCAGTACCAGCTGCTGTTCGATCGGATTCTCTGCGACGTTCCCTGCAGCGGCGATGGAACGTTGAGAAAAAATCCCGGGATATGGAAGAACTGGCAGCCGATGGATGGGAATGGCCTGCATGGGTTAGTTATCTCGTGTTTCTGATCGTGCTTTTTGATCGCGAACAGGTCCATGATAGTCTACAGATCCGCATCCTTCAGCGAGCGATGCGCATGCTCAAGAAGGGAGGCCGGATTGTGTACTCTACGTGTTCGCTGAACCCGGTGGAGAACGAGGCCGTCATAGCGGCCGCATTAAAGTCCATTCCAGGTGAGTGCATCGGCATGGGACCGTAAGATGGTTGATGCATAGCATCTCAGGGTTCCAGCTCATCGACATGTCGAGCCATCTGCCGGGTCTCGTTCACCGACCTGGTCTGACAACCTGGACACCTACGGTGGACCGCGCTATCACGACAGAGTTCGCCACGTATGATGCATATATCCAGTCTTTGCCCGAGGACAAGCGGTCAGAGAGCAAGATGTTCGAGACGCACTGGTCTCCTCCTGCCGGAGAGGTTGAGCGCCTGAACCTTACTCGTTGGTGCGTGCGATCGAATACTCGTGCAACGCACTGGCTCAATTGGTTCCGTTGCAGCTTGCGCATATATCCCCACCTGCAGGACACTGGAGGATTCTTCATCGCGATTTTGGAGAAAGTGCCCCCTACGGCCATCGCCAGCCGAGAGCCTCAGAAGGAGACTACGTACGTACAAACCGGGTGGTGTTTCGCAGCATGCTCATTACGGAGCGCAGGGAGGGAAAGCGGCCGGCGGACGTGGTGGACGCACCTGGGATCTCTCCAGAGAAGAGACAGAAACTTGATGACCAAGAGGCTTTACCTGCGACCGCCATAGAGGACGGAGCCAAGCAAGCAGAGGAGATAGATGAGGACGTGCTCGAAGAAATGGCGGAGGAACCGTCGTCCACCGTTGAAGCAGAGACGAAGACAGAGCCCGCGTCCCAAGTTACTCCTGCCGAATTCAAGGAGAAGCAGAGCCGCAAGGGGAAAGGCGAGGTCACCGCGGGAGCTGCTGTGCACTTCAAGGAGAACCCATTCACGTTCATCTCCCCCGACGACCCGATCCTGAAAAGTTGCTTGTACGCTCCTCGCCACTCTATCTCTTGTGTCCTATGTTCCTAATCCACGCAACCAGTTCGCAACTCCACTTCACGCCCGACTTTCCCTCGTCCAACGTCCTCGTGCGCAACCCTGAGGGTGAAGCGCTCCGCTCGATGTACATGACGAACGACATCGTGAAGGACATCGTCCTGCATAACGACTACTCGCGCATGCGGCTCATGACGTGCGGGACTAAAATCATCGCGAAACAAGAGAGCGCCGAGGCGAAGCGCGAGGGCGCGCGGCCGCAGTTCCGTGTCCTCAGCGAGGGGTTGCCCGTCGTCCTCCCGCATATCGAGCCGCAGTCGATCCTCTCCGCGGATGTTGCGACGCTCAAGGTCTTCATGGAGTCGTATTATCCGCTGTGCACGTCATTTGGTGAGCCGTTCAAGTCGCTGATTGAGTCGAAGGGTACGTGTAGAAGACCTATAATGTTTCGTCACTGAATGCAATGCTGCGCAGACGTTGGGAGTCATGTCGTCCGATTTGAACCTGGACAGGCGGGCGGCGCTACGTCAGTCCTTCATCAATATCTGTCTCGACGTCGATTGACTCTATATCATTACATCCAGGTTGACGCACGAACTGGTGTTACCGATCTGGAAGTCCAACATCTCCGTCACGCTCATGCTGGAAAAACGGGCGAAGAGGTATGCGAGCTCAGCCAAAGGGTACCGCTTCAGCGTTCTTGATGTCTCACTTTTACAGCGCGTTGAGCTTGCGAACCTTTGGAAAGGATGTCACCACAGCAGCGCGCGAAATGGCTCAACGGAGAAAAAAGGAGGCTTCACCTGTTACAGACAACCTCGAGCTCAAACGTGAGAGTGACGCGTCAGCGGACGTCAAGATGGAAGGCATCGTGTAGCAGACATATGAGCAGTGTAATGTATGAAGGGCAGATTGCACAAGTACTGGTACATCTAACACTATCACTAACTCACAAGCTTGCTCGTATTCAATATCGACACCTGAAGTTGATCTTTCCGTGCATCATTTACTGCACCGCACTGTATGCACACCAAACAGAATCTCATGTCATAGCACACCATTCTGTATGCGATACTCAGGGTTTGTACTTGAGGCTTAAACAAAACATGTGAGTATGATTTGAAGCCATTGCAAGTTCAGCTTCTGTTATGCATATTTAACCTTGGCAAATGACGACGTGTTTCCCACGTGCGCAAGGCGCGTTGAACCTCATTCAACAAAATAAGGTTTGAGCACGTGAGCTATTACCACAGCCGCAGGCGCGTCGTATAAGAAGCGCGGCCGCTTCCACTACGGTTCCCACTTTCGCCCTTTGTTACGCTCACGTCGGTGATCAAGACACCCGTACTTCGACCTCTTTAACTTCCTACAACCTTTAGAAGCAATGTCTGGCCGCGGAAAGGGTGGAAAGGTGGGCAGTGTGAAGTCATAAACAGGTTGCCAATTACTAATATGCGTCGTTCTATTTGTACAGGGTCTTGGTAAAGGCGGTGCTAAGCGTCACCGTAAGATTCTTCGCGATAACATTCAAGGTAAGTAAAGTATCAGTCGTATCTAAGACGTTCTTAATCGGTGGCCACAGGCATCACAAAGCCTGCCATTCGTCGCCTTGCCCGCCGAGGTGGTGTCAAGCGTATCTCTGGACTCATCTATGAGGAGACCCGTGGTGTCCTGAAGATCTTCCTCGAAAACGTGCGTACATCGCCACTCGTGCTTATTCATAGACACTGACAAGTTGTCATTCTTTAGGTCATTCGTGACTCCGTAACGTACACTGAGCACGCAAAGCGCAAGACCGTTACCGCTCTCGACGTCGTCTACGCCCTCAAGCGATCAGGGCGTACCCTCTATGGTTTCGGTGCATAGGCTGTTTAGAGATGTCTCCATGGTTGCGTCCGTCCCTTTTTACTGTTGTATCAGTATAATGTAGTCGTATTTTCTTTTGTTTTATTATTGTTATACACATTTCGCACATATTATATCTTGATCAACATCGACGGTGCGACCATTCAGGCGTGTTTGACTGTCATGAGCGTTTCGTCTCCTCAATGTCAGTGATCATGAGATGAATTTGTACCACAGATAGTTGTGATGAGATGGCATTCCCTCCGACTGCTGTGGAGCCGATGGTATTCTCCTTTGTGTTATTGTTTGAGGAAGTGCTTGTGTTATCATAGTTAGCAGAGCAATTGTTGCCAGGCGGGCGTTTGTACAGATAAAAGAGCGTTGGCGATGCAAGAGAAGGCTGGCAAGTTAAGGATCCTGGCTCCCAATTGGCAAGCTCAATCTGTCACTATAGCCTCACCGTTGGGCTTGTAAGATCACTAAAAATCTGTCAACCATGTAGTACGTGTCCGCTGTGATCGTAAAACTGAGGCCAAAACGTGGACCTTTTGTCCTTTCGTGTCGATGTCGGTCGATGGGACAAGAAAGTATGCATCATAGCCCTCCTGCTGCCGTCCTCACCCCGAGGCTTCGACTCGGAGTCTGCGCGTGAGAATGGCGAGACCGTGATCGACCCTCTGCTTCATTTCCAGGGCCCCGGTGCTGCTGAGCCTACTTGAGAAACGCTGTGCGCTGTGTCCACTGCCCAGGCCCATAGACCTGGCTCAATCCGCCTTCGCAATCACCCAGTTGGTAGGTTCGCGGGAGCAGACTTGCGGAATCTCCTGTCAATCTAAAGAGCACACATAAATGCCGCATGATTGCCGAAGCTGAAGGAACCGAGATGGACGGTAATATCAACGTTAAATCGTTCAGAGTGCCCACCGCTTCTAAAAGGCGCAGGAGTCGTTGGCTGTCGTTGGCAGAATCGAAGCTGAATTGAGAACGTTTCTGTATGGCTAGGCCTTTCGCCCACACATAAGCCCAACGACCGTATCTAGATTGGGTTCGTTCGAGATTTGATACCCGTTCAAGTGCAACATCCGTCCGACGCAGCCTCCGAGAGTCTCACATCCGCGTAATTGCAAGAAGCCTGGCCACAGTGCAGAGGGTTAGGAGTCGACGAGTATTCTGATAATGTGACAATGCAAGAGCCGGAACTCGCATTAGCACTACCTACTCACTACAAATAAATACCATCCAGATACTGTTCAGTACATCATAGGAACAGCTGTCCTTTTTCCCGTACCAGCCAAGCTGCACTTTGCATAGTACTTATGCAGAATCAGCCGCACGATCTGCAGGCGCTGCAGTGCGGAAGGGTAGTCGCCGCCTTGCGTCGTCTTCGCCAACAGAGGCAGATAATCATCTGCTGCGTCTTGCTCCGAGCGATTGGTCACCTCTGACAAGATTCGGAGCAGTAATGAGGCCTCATTGGTTTGGAACGTCATCGTTGTTCCTATATGAATGAATTAGATGTCATGGCAATACCAGACACCGTACAGAAACACCCACCGCTCTGGAGCAGCTCCGCGGCATCGGACAGGAGCACAGCCCACCACGATATCGGTGCAATGTCCCGACGGAACATATGGAGTAAGTCGGAAGCAGCACCCGCAAGGTCGCCCTTCATTCTCTGATCGTGGAAGTCGGCATACCACAGTGCGAAGTGTACGCGACGGAGAAAGATGGCGTTTGTGGCGTCCGGCTCTATTTTTAGCAATGACGGCGCAATCTGCTTCGCGAGCCGCACATACTCCTCAGGACCTGTGATAAAATGTCACACGAGTTATCTGAGCCTGTAGCAGGACAGACAGACCTCGCTCGAAGTACTCCATAAGCATGCAATCAATATTGCGTCCCAGTCCCTCCCAGTCCTCTGCCAGTACGCTGTACGTCGCTGCCATACCGTATTGCCGCTGCTGCATGACTTGCTGCGCTGCCACCTTGCAGATCATCCGCCTGGTTTCCTCTCGGCCAAGTTCAAAGCACGTTTTGTTGAGCTCCCGAAGCAGTGGGCTCTGAACGCTTTCGTCGTCTTCGTTCGTGGGCTCATGGACTTCCACCTTGAAAGGCACGCGGAGCAGCACCTCGTCTGCCATCCGCTTACCTACCTCTCCGCATGCGCATAAGTATTTGACAGTGATCCGCCATAGCTCAGGGTTGGCGCGCAGATACTCGGCGTACGCGATGAGATAGTGTTCGCGCAATGTTAGTCCCGAGCTGGAAAGTTTATATGCAAGAATGAATAGACCATCGCGAAGATATCATGTATGCGACTTACTCGTCGCGTTCAGGTCGAATGGCTTGTCCCGCCTCCATCAAATCCGCGAGATGTGCCGCGAGCCATATGTCCACCCGCGCCGCAGCAGACAACGCTTCTGTTGTCTCTACAAGGAAAAGCGATGAGAGGACCACATCCAACGGGTCTGAAGCATTGCAAGGTGCTTCCTCCAAGATCTGCGCCGTGAGTGTCCTGTCGATAGTACACAAGGCGTCAACGATCATGGACAACTCCGCATAAGCACTGCTTACTGAAGAGTATCCCTATGCAAGCGAGGGTTCACGTGAATGCAATACAGAATCACGCGCTCCTTCCAGTCAAGTCCCAAATTCGAGCATACCCTCTTCATCACCTGCTGACGACCTTCGAGGACGCCCGTAATCTCGTTGAGGCGCTCCCACCAGTTGTCGAAGCCATCATCGCGGTCCTGCTCTGCGACACGGCCGAGCTTGATGCGGAGCTCCTGGAACCTGTGCTTCCACCGCCGGGTGTTTATTATGAATTCTTTGTCTGTAGCACTCTTCAACATGCGCGGGCGCTCGTTGAGCAGCCTGCTAAGAAGAGCTGCCAGCTCGCGCAATGCAAAGAGTGGATGACTTTGGAGCCGATCAAGGAAGATGGTGCACGTTTCGGTAAGTCCTCTCAGCACGGCTCTGAGAATCGCTTCAGATCTCGCAGCTCGGACATTAGTAAGAGACGACTGCTCGTACCTCGTGAGATAGGGCCAGTACTCGTCATCTTCCCATGGCCGTTCTAGATTGCACAAGTGGTCGCCGCCAATCGGGCTGGGGTCTATATAATGTTTGTTGAGCCACTCCAACAGCGGCTCTCCAATCGGGACGTCCTGCCAATTCGCGCCGGGAAGATATAGTAGCTGAAAAAGGTCCATAGTCGCATACAGACTTTCGTAGTGATCAGCCGGATATTGGAGCAGCCCTTCTCGACCCTTGGGACCCTGCATTGGTCCGTGAGCACACGCATACACAGCAAGCAAATTAGGGCTCACGTAGCTATACGCGGTGCATTCGGCGCAGAAGTTGACGTAGTCAATGGCAAGTTTTTTTAGGGCTTCCGCAGGCTCAACCTCGGCCAGTCTGCGAGCATGTTCAGTGCAATCGACCAACAATATACGTTTCCTTACATTTTCTCCGCTACTTCAGGCGGCGACGACGTCAGATCCTGCACGGGGCCGAATGCCCTGAAGGTTTCCACGATGAACTGGTCCATCCTGAGCGAACGCTCCCGTGACATCACTGGTGGCCACTTACAAGTCTCCTCTCATGAGCGGGCGGGCGGTCTGCTCTAGCAATGTATATGGATGTATCAGAGGCTGTAACAGAGCCTTTTCCGCGCGAGCTTTGAGGATCCCCCTTGAATGACCGGACCGTTAATGCCGACCTTTCTGCAGCGCGTGGCACTCACTGTCGGTGTTGCGTACAAGGCCATGGAGTTATCTCGAGGAGAAAAGTCGACTGACATCGTGCGTCCAGAGCTAAAGAATCCATCTGCTTGTCCTAGTTTGAACAATGGTGGCAGCAGAGCTGCCTGATCATGGCGAGACGCGTTGTTCATCGGTGGTTTGCTAGTAAAGCCAGATGCGAAAACGTGCGTGAACTAATTTTCGGGTCGTCGTTAAGAGACACAGGTTCAGCGCTGTGCTTTCAGTATTTCAAGCAGACCAAAGGAGGGGGCGCAGCGAGACAAAGGTGTATCGAAGACAGAGGAGGATTAGCGTGGCCGAGTTGTTTAAACAAGACGTGCCAGATGCGCCAGACGCGCACCACGGTGGGACCCCGAGGACCGCGAGTCCTGCACTCCCCTTGCCAACGCATAATTATAAACTCTTTGTGCAGCATCAAAAAATGATTTACAGTGGTATGGGATAATGGAACAGGTGGCCATCGGGGAGCAGGTGTTCCGTATAGGTCCAAGATATTTAAATGGCGATCAAAGCCATTGCTGCACATGCTGCCCGACTGGGCAGGGTTGGCGCACTAGCAGAGCGCAGAACCACAAGCAATGGCATCGCAGGAAATACATCCCCTCCTGTATCTAAGTTATGCAGATAAAGGGTTCATTTATAGCGTTGACAGAATGTGAATGTGGCATGTTCGGCGAACGGTCGAGGCCAAGTGGCGTTGCAGCGCTCCCACTCAAATTCCATCAGTGCGTTTGGCCAATGCCGAGTTCTCATCGGCTAGGTCAGCGTCACATAGCACATGAGACCTTCGCCAGGAATAGTTCAAAGGACGACTACCTGCTGAAGACCACGGCGACCTGTTCAATAAATAAAAACAACAAGTCGCCCTCGGTGTTTGTGGCGGACGGGCTGAGAGGATCATCCTTAACGACTGGAAAGCTCAGACCAGCTTGGTAGAATAGGCTCACCTAATATCCACCCGTACGTACGAGTTGATGTAGCCGATAGGCGAGCTATTCAGGGGAGGTAGCGTGGACTTCAACGAAATTCCAGCGCTAACGTCCTCGACCGTAGTACAAAGCCAACGACTATGCCGGACTAGCCCTTGAGATGACTGCTCATGCTGCATTATTGCTCTTTGCATGCAGATTGTCAGCAGTAGGTGAGCATTCCTCGTGAATGACAGCGAAGCATTTGGCACGTTACCGTACGCGGGGAAGTTGTGGTATCACGTCCCTGGGTACTCTTCGCATCTGGTATGGCCATCAACTTTGCTCTTGCGTGCAACCGTTTACCGCCAGATCCGGCGCTTCCTTTGACCCGCACGCTTATCGACCATAAGCATCGGATCCCGCCGTTCAAAGGCTCCCTTCGGAAAGACACACGAGGCCAGTTGTCCTTATCTGCCGCAGGCCCACCAAATGTCTATGTCACACAACCGCCGTCGGGAGAATACACAAAGCATCAATGCTGTCAATCGGCCGCGCATTCGTCCAGCATCAGCATGATGTCATCGCCGCTGAGAAGACATTTTCAGAGCGTATACAAGGGGGTTAGTGCGTGCTTACTTCACAAAAGCCAGACTTCCAGCATCTGGACAATTGATGTTAACGAGACTAATGATATTTCGATATGTCAGTGCAATAGTCGAGTCTCCTGACGTCACTGGAGGTGGTCGAATGGCCAAATGGCACCCTCTGGGTCCTGCAGATGATTCGTCACGCTGTCCTAAACTTCAATTACGAGTGCTGTCACTGGCCTGGACAATCGCGAGAATGAACGTCCTCTGTAGCAGGACGTGATCCATGGAAGACACTAATGGCGTCGCGGAGTAGGCGTCATGAGTGAACCTACTGACGAGCCCTATGGTGCACGGACTCTCTGGAGCCTACTTGCCAGGGTGCGCCAACGACAATTATGGTCCACGGCATAGCCGCGGTGAGTGCAATCATTTCTTGGTACAAACTGTCTGCAGTAGAATATCAGCGTACAGTGAGGTACCATGATGCCCCCAGCCTTCTCGACGCTCGCGGTCGAAGATCCCTCATTGCCTCGTCTCCGTACGTCGGTTCATCACACCTCTGGCATAACGCATCCTGGAGATGCTTCAGGCTTGCAAGCGTGTACTGTCCAGCGGTGGCCGGTGGGACAAGCTGGGTCTGCATCTCAGGTACTGCATAGGAAGATATAGGAGCAAAGCCTGCGCACCATCATCACATCCTCCTAGTTCCCCTACCGCCTCTTCCGCGTCTCCATCTTGTGGCCCTTGCTAGTTTTCAACTAACGGAGTATCTATGCCGCATACCTCAGAACCCGACGTCGGAGAGGCCATACATTCCATGGTGTGCATGGGTCATACAGCCTAGCTGCGACTCTATCAGCCGGATTTCACAACTGCGGATGGCCTTGCAGGGAACTAGAATGCAGCACATATCTATGGAATCCTGTCAAGCAGGACAGTCCTCACCCTCCTTGAGGCCAGTCAACTAACTCACGGACTGAGTACGCGACGTTCCTGCCGCCGCCTGCGCTACTATCAGTTTCTATCGTGCCTGGATAGCTTTCCGTGTAGAGCCTCCCGACATACGGGGTGAGGACTTTATGCTTCAAGACCCATTGCAAGATAGTTAGACTGCCGAAATAGAGGTGAGGCCTCAAATTTCCTCTTGAAGAGAGCCATGGAGGGCATTGACGAGCTGATCAATGTTGAACTGAGTTAATGCCTGGCATCCCTTGCCAACCGTCGGAGTTATCCTGTTCCGCCGAACCTTGTTGCCAATGCGCCATCATGTCGGTATCGGGGAATATGCAGGGTCATCACGGTTGTGCACGGCAGCGGGGGAAGCATAAGCAAGAGGCGTGTCGGCGGATCTCGTCCCTAGCGGGACGCTGAGCTCCCACTGGTGCGCAGTCAACGTGGAGCCACTTATGTTGAATCAATACGCTTACGGCTCTCTTGTCTGTCGGCCGCTGGTACGTTCCCTCGCTGGATGACACTAAATCCTCAGGGCTGTCTCCGAACGTCTTTTTTTACATTGTTTGGGAATATATCGTCTCTTATTCCTCTTGGCTCGATGTCCGTGATACACCCCAGCTGTCTTGTGGACGTTTCCTCATCACTCTCACGCTACACATCTCTCACACATGCGATCAACAGCCGGCAAGGACAAATATACTATCTATGCCAAAATTCTACGTAAAGAGACTGCGCGGTGGTGCATCGTTGTTGCAACTCTGAGACACTGGCGGCCCTCGCCTGATCTTCGTCCCGATATCTTTCCGGTTGCATCTCTGCCCTTTGTTCCGTGATGCTGCTCACCATCCTCAACGTGCTATGTATACCTCACGACGTTTCATGGTCTCGAGTCCAATATAATCATTTCCGGCGGACGCTTCGCCGCCGACGGACAAACGCAATGCAAACATACACCTAGCCTTCGGGAGAGTCCTGGCCCGAATGCTCTTCACTGGCGATAGTCCTTCTCTCCACCGTTATCGATGGGAACTGCACTCCTCGGCCGACCCAGGTGGGACGCTCTTGACTCACATCCTTGCTCCGTATTGAGGAGGTCCGCTGTTCACGAGGTACCTAAACGGTGAAGGTCATATTACGTACCGTCGGAAGCTTTGACTCTTACGTGTTCTGCGCCATAGACCGCTTGCATTGAGTTATACAACTGCAGAATCCAGTAGGCGTGTGATCACTTCGAAATAAAGCGGTGCGGGTGACTCCACTACTACAATAATGCGCATGTGGATACTCCGAAGTCCTGGTAAATAGCAAAACAAGTACAAGTGTGACGATCTGAAGAAACCATCCTAAACACACACTGCTCCTCGCAGCGGCTGTGACTGAAGATGCAATTGGCTCCAAGTATGCAGTCAGTTCTGCGCACGAAGGCCTACTCCGAGTCGGTTTCGTAGTAGTCTCCGTGGTGCGCCGGGGGATCAACGCCTTGGCAAACATGACAAGGCTCCGGACGCCTTGTCATGATGAGGTGCTGATCTGGCAGCATTCTGTGAGAGTTTCAGCAATCTCGCATCCTAAGATATCCTCTATACTAACATAGCCTCGCACTCTGCAGCACAATTGTGCTCTGTGTCCCTGTGCTGCTTGCTATTTGTGCATTTCTGGCTGTTGCAGTCGATCTACGATTGTTGCATGAGACCAACCTTCCGAGCCTCAATGATATGCTGGTTCACTTACATAGTGCCTTTGGTCAGGATAATGGTGCTCGCAGCTGTACTGCACGTATGTCATGAGATGGTAGCACATAGTTGGAGGTAACGAGATGAGAAGAGCGAGAGCCAGAAGCTGCTATCGTTGGTTTATATGCTGATTTGAGCTTGGTATCAACAGGTCTGGACTAATAATCCCAAATCAACTGTTAGGTTCGTGCTTATCCCGACGCATGGACATAGTACATAGGCCGAAACCCAGGCACTCATGTGGCTTCTAGTGCGAGGCCTGTATCACCGTAAGGGGGTTACACGTTTAGGTTGGCGAACGTCCGTTTCGCAGAAAGCTGAATTAAGTTCGATTCGACCCTGAGTTCATGTGTGAAATCGGCTCTGCGGCACCGCACGCTCCATAACACGAGGCCACCCGGCGATATAGATGAATCGGCCTCGTCGATGGAGCTGATTACAAATGTATACCTCTCGATCGTTGACTTCCACCGGCTTGAATGTGGCAAATAGTTATGTGGCATAAACAATCCAAGGTTAGCCGTGTCGTTAGGTATTCAATGGTATGTTACTAATTATGGGTGCAACCACAATTTGAATGCAAGCCCGTAGACTCGTCCGTTTAGTATTACGCTGCAGTTCGAAAATTCGGCAGTGCTTCTGAACCCAGAGACTGATAGCCATTCGCCGTTGTTCATAGACGGGAATTTGCCGGTGCGGTACGGCATCCTAAGCGACCATGGGATCTACGTAGTCACATTAAGGGAACGTATTCATCCAGTCGGCTGCTAGAGTTCCCAGCCACATTATCCAATGGCGCTTTTGGAGGATGAGACCGCATCCTTCCATCCTTCGATCATGAACGAGAAGGTGATATGACAACTTAGTGTTCAGTTTTCCCACTTCTGGGCAAGGCGGTTAATTATAGCATGTTCGCTGCTATATAGCACTCAGCTTCCTCCTTATCTCCCCGTCACCATGTCGGGGTAGGTAGCCGCTGAAATAGTTTGAGCTGAAGATGGCTCGCTTACACGTCTCTTCAAATACGATGTCGATGATCGGTGCAAATGGCGGTTCGCTCTGGGAGTAATTGCACACGACAATCGCAAGAGCATACGTCTGTCGCGACGTTTGGCAACCGACATATCAGACAGCCCGCTGTAGCCTGGTAGACTTATTCTCAGGCAGCGATTGGAGCGTTGACCGCATTCGATCAGAATGATAGAGGACTACAGGCAGTTCAAGGTGCCGTAAGAGTGAGCCATCATCCCAGCAAGGTAAAGTAAGCCGCGCAAATTGTCAAGTTCCCTTTCATCCCAGGAGTAGTTCCCCGTCGTTCCTGTCTTGTCTGCCGGTGCGATGGGAGGAATTGAGGAATTGTAAGATGAAGCACTATTTCGAGCGAGTGCGGGAGTGATGCTGTCCTTCGAGAGGAGATGACCCCACAGCACAGACGTAGAATTCTGGCGACTGTGCGGTTTTTGCACTTGAGTGGATGCGTTAACGTTGTTGGGCATATCGAGACGGACCTCAGGGCTCCTCGGGGTCAGCGTTTGAGGTTAGCAGTGTAGGCGCCCAACGTTACCCGCGACCTCCGCCACAACCGCGTCGAGGATTACCACGCCACTTGACCATGACCGAGTCGAACGCATCGTCCTCCCAGCAACCGAGCAAGCGTTGGGCTCATTTCCACTCGGCTCTGCAGCTTGCTATCCAGCGATCCGCACACAAATGGACGTGAGTACAGCCTTCTCCGTTATGACGCCTAGTCGCTGATAGCAATCAGCTACGCCGACTTCACAGAATGCTTCCCGCTTTGGTGCGAGGAGCAGCCAGAGAACGCCCCTCGGATTTTCGCGACTATCTCGAAGCACATGGATGATTCAATCACTGTCTGAACTCTCCATATATATCTTGGCTCGTTACGCTGACTGTGTCTCTGCAGGAGAAGTGCGAAGAGTTGTTGAAGAAGTACAATGTTCGGGAGAACATAGATAATCTCCATGCTGTGGTCACAGAAGCTCGAGTGCGGAAGCACAGTGGTGGATACAATGGGCCAGATGTGTGGAGAGAGAATTTGCACCCAGGTGCGGCTGTTCGAGCACGGACGATCCCGCTGTTGGAGAAAGAGAGGGATAGATTGCGCGCGGAGCTCGAGGAGGTGCGTTGCGTGGTGAGATGTTCAACGAACGAGCTTGCTGACATAGAAAACATGCTAAGTTGGACAAGGAGAATTTACGGCTTCAGGGTGACATGCAGCGTAACGTGGAGGCGCGAGAACAGGTCGACGCGGAGACCTCCGCGCTGTTGGATATGTTGGACGAGGTAAAACCTCCGCTGTTTGAGTCGATTTGACTTCTATATAATAACTTTCATTGACAGATTGAGGCGAGATGGAGCCAACTTCCTTTGGACGAGGTGCAAACATGGACATTGCAAACGGCGGAATCCAACAGTAGTACGAGATGCCTTTAATTTGGGAATTTCATAACACCCCTCCTGTACATCATGTATGTTCCTCCACCACGTTTATCAAGACTTTAAGGAGCCTGCTTCTTTTGTGGCCTATCACTTGATAGACACACAATTTCATTTTTAAAGACATTCTGACCGTGGTGCTCTCTGAACCACCAGCAATACCTGCGAGCGCTGTTGGCGCCCCAATTGAGCTAATTTCTTTCATGTATGGTATGCACTACATCGTGAGACCCGTGCCTTTCATCGATAGTAGTTGTGCTCAACCAGAGTCAGGCGTTTTAGGCCCTCTCAACAGCAGTACTTGTTCGTCATTCAGGTCAATCTGCACCCTTAGCTCGATGTGGTTCTGGTCTCGCTCCCCGCCGTGCGTCCTGATCTTTCTGCTAGTGGCGAGCTAGTATCGAAAATCATTCTGATCGTCAAATGCGAGCACTGTCGGTTATCGAAGCCCACATGTCTTCTGGTGTATGCCATTGATGTCGGTCACTCTAGAAACCATTTCCATTCCCAATAGACCACACCACGTCCTCAATCGGTCGGCATTGCGCGCGATACGGTGACAGCCCGTGCTCCATGCTCGATCCGCATTCCCGTGCCAGTGCGGCCACGGCGTGGATGCCCAGTGATGATCTCGGCAGCAACACTAGTACCGCAAGCTTCACGGCAAGCTTCACGGCAAGCTTCACGAAATTCTTCACGAATTCGCGCTGGGACGCTTGATTGATAGGAAGTACGCACGCGAGATGTTTGATACACTTTGTTGGTGTGAGGTGTCGGGACCATGGAGCGTGAAGGTTTTGTGATGCTAGTCCGTGTATGGCAATCCCAACAACAACAGAATCTGTTTCCTGTGAGATGTGTGAGCTTTTTTACAGTACCAATGATTGTAACAAAACACAAAGGAAATGCCCACCCTTATTTTGCTTCCGTGCTATCAATCCTTCCTTAGACAATCACGAGACAGCTCTAGAAAGCAAGCGAGGATTGCCATCACTTGCTGTAATATATCTGCTACATAACTACTAGCTTCGCGGCTGGAATTCACACTCTTGGGTTATCATAAGGTACCCTACCACAGGTAAAAGAAATTTTCGTCACACTCGTGAGGATGATGATTTCGCAACCGTCCCATGGTCGCAAACTTGATTGTATGAACTGCATGTAAGGGGATGGAGGACCGGTAACGTAGCAGGAGGGACACGGAAGTGCGAGACTTACATGAGATGGCATTGGAGTCTCGACGGCTCGTTCGCGGTACAGACACAGACCGTTAGCATGCAGAGTTGATTCAACCACCGGGAGCACGTGAGAGACAGATCCCCAACATTCACCTGATTTTGATGCTCTCGGCGACAGCATTGTGAGGCAAGAGGAGTCCTAGTAAAGAGTACCCAACTTGTCAGGGGATCGTGCGCGTATGGTTAATGTCCATCCAACCCTGTCTCTCCGCGGAAATTGGGGAGAGTGAGGATATTTATATTAGCAGTAGTGCTAACGCTGGTACATACAAGATATCACGGAGTTTTTTGAGACGATTCGGATGCAATAGAAACACGGAGTAGATAGAAAACGTAGTGAGTGAGCAGACGTGGGACGCGAAAACTGGAAATGAAACTGGAGAGCACATGTTAGCATATGAGCACATTAAGCTGACCGTACAGACTTACAGCATTCAATGCACACCAAAGATGCGGTCTTCAGATGCGCTAACGCACATACCCATTTTTGAGGATATTTGGGTTGATGACTTCAACGGATTCGCGTGGCGCTTCCGGGAACAATGCAGCGAGATAGTCGCTAACCACGGGCCTAGGGGCCTCACGTCCACGAACGACGGGTTGATAAAGGTAAATTTTGTTCACCCGAGACGTGGAACGGAAAGAGGGTGGAAGCCGAGGGACGCTGCTGTCATCAACCGGCACAAAAAGCTTCAACAGGTTGGGAGAGTGTTCGGCGATATCCTTGAGGCTGTGATATGCAGGAGGATCCGTATATGTGGACAGGTCATAATCCAGAATGCGGAGGTCTTCCAGATGCGGCAACGCACGAACAATTTCGTCATATCCGCTCATGCCGATCAGGAGACAGGGCATACGCAATTTTAGGGATCTAAGGTTGCTCAAAGTCAGGATCGGATTCAACGTTTTTTGAGTGATGTACGGCGGTGGATTTCTTCTCTCGTCATCAATGAGCACCAAGTGCAGATGACGGAGAGCCCCGAATTGCGCCAGAGCTTTGACACAGTTCGAGAGCTTCCGTTCATGAACTTCGGAAATGATGAGGCTTAGCTTCACAAGTCTGGTGGACGATATCATCGTCAAGAATCTGTGCGACGTGTCATCCAATCGATAGAACTGCACGGTGAGGTCCTCCAAAATCGGGAAGTAATCAACGGAAAGGGCATGCTCAGATAGAGGTTTGAGCTTTCCATCGATTATGACGTCCATCTCCTTTAGATTAGTCATTTCTCCGAGCACGAGGACGAAGTGTTCAATCAACGACGTGCCGCACACAAAGCGCACCAGGTTGTTCCGCAGGAGTGAGCGGTACAGCCAAGTATAGGCTTGCAGCCGGACTTCATTTTCCTCGCTATCCCAAATAAAGTTCGAGGCGCCCGAGAATAGATCGCTAGTGACCGAGAGGCTCTGTAAGTCTTGGCAGACATGATACAATTCTTTGAAGACCTCCCGCAAACACTCGGGGACTTGAGCTTTCAGTGTAATGCTTCGTAGCGTCCGGGGAATGACTATCGGAGTGTCTAAGGCATCCTGAAAACTATGCGAACCGTCGCGAACGGTGAGATGACGGAGATTTGGCCAATACTGGACGCCCTCTGGTATCAGAGTCATGAAGCCCCGCAAGGTGGTCTCATCGATGCCTATTCCAAAGCGGGAATTCCAGGTAAAACTCTTAATCCTGCGAGCATAGTCAGGCCAGGAGCCGAAATCCCAAGGCGGGTCGCCGAAGTGGCACAATTCCTAAAATGGAAACCAGTCAGAAAGATGCGGACGAGTTTTTGTCGTTGAGAGGTGATGAGGAACACACTCACATAAATCGTCTGTCCCGTTGATTCGATGCTAGTTTTGTCCCACTGCCAATTATTGACCAATGAGAGCAATGGAACCATAGAATCCTGCTCTGCCCATAAGATGTCCAGTCCCATGTCGCAGAAGGCCTTACACGCCAGAGCAAAGTTGAGCAGAGACTTGCGGCCACCTTGGTCGTAGAGACTCCACATGATCATGCGGATGAGTTCCTCGATGTGGGAGACGCGGGACGAAGGAAGGCTTGCGACTGCCACGACGTTGTTTGGTGGACTGTTCGACTCCATGGTCTACGCGGCTGTAGACGGTGGCAGTCGGACAACGAGTCGGGAGGGCGTTGGAGCGAGTCGATGGGAGGAAGAGTTGAGTGTAAGCGTGGCTAATCGCCACACGTCAGTGATGTTTAAATAGGTCTGTGCACGAGGGAAATGCGCATTAAACAACGCGTAGCGCGACGAAGCGCCCACGTGACATAGCGGCCATTAGGCACGTTCGGGCTTGGACCACCACATTAGGCCGTCCGTTTTGCCACTCTACACTTTCATCAACAGCTGCGTGGCTCCGATCTCCGACTGACCTGCGGACCGCCGAGGGAGTGGCGCGTTCCCACATGTCCTTCAACGGCTTTTCGCCCTCAGTCGACGCGTCTTCTCCACCCTTCGACGACAGCTACGGTCGGCACAACTAGGCGACTATCGCAGCGGGCAATAGCGATAGGACGGTGGTGGCCAGTGGCGCGTCCGTATCTCTGCGATCTGTTCGGGAGGCGCGGCCATGGGTGGCACCCATCCTGTGTCCGCGTTGCAAGCCCTGCGATGTCGACGTCGACTGCAACTCGTCCACGCGTCTTATAGGCCGAGAGATATCGTGCAAGGGTCGAGAAGGGACTGATGATCTGCAGGAGTGAGTCCTCCGGTGTTGGTCTTTGATTGCATATGCCAAATCCCCTTGTCGTCCATATTGTAGGGTCGCTGATTCTTCACAGCGCCGGCGGCTTCCCTCGTTCTCTGCATTATGGAAGGCCAGTCATAGACCGCGAAGACTTGACATGAATATGATCGTCGAGTGCTCTGGGATGATGCTGAAAGAGGGGAGATTAGACAGTGAGTACGGATTATGCCATTCTTTATGCATGCCCTTCACTGGAGATGGCCGATTGCTTCCGAATGCACCGTCCACCAACTGAACTCGAATCCCATCATCAATGACTGATGTTTTGCATGACTTGGCAGTGCTACGAACGATCAAGCGAGGAGTCAAGGCGCACCTCGTAGTTATTGGGCCTGGAGAATATCTTGAACAGCCCACATGGGTACCTATTATCCCTTAACAGCTGCTGGCAGGGGTTTGGGTCCTTCCCTGGAACCTCGGTGACCTTCTCTGGTGAGTAAAGCTTGAATCAGCTGCACTGCTGACGTATTTAGTCTATCCTTGGAATGGGTAGGACATGCCGAGACATTGCAAGTCCTTAATCACCATCTTGATATTGCAAATGAATGTTGAGACAGCAATTCCGACAATGGCAGATTGGCTTTGATGAGGAGAGGGGTGCGTATTGGAAGATGAAATCCATGTCCTCTCTGAGTCAGTAACTTCTTGTCCACGAATCGCTGATATCGACCAACACCTCATAGGTACTTTGCAAGTGTCGTCTTAATGGTCCTTTCAAAATCAGCCGGTCAGCCGATGAAGTAAAGAGATTATAAACACGCCCGCATACATGCTGCAACGAAACTATCCACGTCTGTCGGATCGCATTTGTCTTGACACAACGGGACAGACCAGTTGCAGAACGACTCATTTATCTCTCGTTGTGGTTGCGGATGCAGCAAGGGTCCTGCATTTGTCCGTTACAGACCCTAGCTTCGGCGCCGCAACGCCATTCATTCGCCGGGAAAAATCAAAGGGGTGTGTGTGGATGAGAAGACCCTTCTAAGCTGAGGGGTGCGGAACCCAGTGTATCCTTCATGTGAGTGAAGCATGCGACTGGGACAGTAGTGTTACTCACTTGTTCCCCCCATATCAAAACCTCATCCCCACGGACACTGCGCATATACGAAGCCAGCACACGTATGTCCAACATACTAGGTCATTGAACCGATGACAGGCTCCAATTTTCCGCCGCGAGAGATGGCACCGATCATTCCATGAAGGCCGCCATGGTAAATCATTAAGGAGGCTGACGGTCAATCCTGTCAGGCTCTTATTCACGCGAAGGTCGCGTACGGAGCATTACGAGCCCTCGTGAGGGATGTTCATTGATCTTCCATCTTCTCCGAGAAAATCCAAGACCAGCAGCGGGGACAGGTTTGACGTGAGATGAGATGATGCATCCACATAACATTCTCTTCCATGGGGTCACAGGGCCAGCATTTATGGTTCGACGATGTTTTCTAGGAATGTGGCTGCAGGTATCCTGGGTATATGCGGGTGCGCAAGTAGAAGTGGGGGAGGAGGAAGGCCAATAAAGCGGGAAAAGAGAACGTTATGCACTTCATATGCTAACCCAGAGGCTGGCAGCGCGTCGCCGATGCATAGTAGGTTGAGGTCATAAACGAGTGACACCGCGGCGGTGAAGACCGACGCGTTACGCGACGCGTCGGTCGTACGACCACATCAGGAAACCCCGAGCCGCCCGGCGATACAGCGCGCAAACCACCAAACTCCCGCCTGCTCGCCGCCTCCCATCTGCTAGACATGCCCGACGCCTCTTCTAGTTCCAATCCAAACGGGGCGCGTTTGCCTCCTGGCATGATCATCGGCCCTGACGGCAAGCCGTGCAAGATTTGCACAGCGTTTCGCAACTGGAGGCCCCGCGCGCAGAACACCGATGCGCACCCCCACAGCAAGACGGGGAAGAAGAGTACTGCTGCAATGATGGCCGCATTTGCGTCTGGTCAAGGATTCGCCTCGCATGCCGACCCCGACGTCCGCCCCGACCATTGCCCGCCCGACGTCGAGGAGCTCGGTCGCGCGACGTGGACATTCCTGCATAGCACGGCCGCATACTATTCTGAACGTCCCACGCCATTCCAACGTGCGAACATGCTCAACCTCCTGAACGCTCTGCCTGTGCTGTATCCGTGCTCGACCTGCGCTTGGCATTTGGGCGAGAACATGAAGGATCACCCACCAGACGTTAGTGGGAGAGTCGCGCTGACCAGGTGGCTGTGCGAGAGGCATAACGACGTGAACGAGCGGCTGGGGAAACCAAAGTTTGACTGCTCTATTCGGAACTTAGATGAACGGTGGAAGGATGGGCCAGCTGACGGCAGCTGTGATTAAGTGGGTCCCAGTAGGTTCCAATTCAACGCTCTGAAGTTGGGTATATCATAAACAGTCCCATTGAGGCGATTTGTTTTTAGTTCAAGCCGAACACTACCTATAATGCAATTCGTGCTGTTCAAGAAACACTCGCGTAAGTGAAATAGCTTCATGCCTGTATCCCGCATACAAAATTGCTGATAATCACTTTCTATAATTAGCCACTGTGTGAACTTGGTAACTGCAAGAACAAGGCCACACGAGTCGCATGAACTTTACGAACTGCAAGTCCATCTGCACAGCCTTTCACTTCACGCATAGATATTCATATACTGCCCTTTCTCCATCTCTTCTGGAGTTGAACACCGCCTATGCTATCCTTCTCGGGGTCTTCATCATATAACCAGGTGCTCAGTACGCATTTATTCAGAAGAGGGAATACTCCTAGAAAGCACCTCCCGCGCGCTTTCTGAGCGACTTCTCAGGTTGCGTTCGAACGCTTCGGGGATCTGCAAGAGGTCACGGGCAACCACGTAGGAAATTGGGTCTCGGGCAGTGCCACCGCTCACACAATGATTCCAGAAGTATATGCGATCTTGGGAATGATCGGGTGTCGCGTTCGTCGAAAGCCGGGACGATCTGATAGGTCGCGAGCAAAGTAGAATCGCGGGCACACTCTCCGGCAGAATCCAAATGCCAGGTCTGTGACCTTCTGCATCTCAGCGTCCGAGTTGTTGTATTGCTCGGGCTTGAAGTTCAATGGGTCGGCCTATGTCATTGGGTCTTGCAGCATGTGCCTGGAGGAGACCCAGCGTTTCAGCACGCTCATGATGGAAGGCGCGTCGTGGCACGCTCGCCAGACATTTGGCACTACGAGGGAACTCTTGGGAAGATGAACACCGTTGTACACGTCCGCTCCCTCAGCGAACGAAGGAGACCTAGAGATATCTATCAGCAACGGTGAGTGCCACTGAGAAACGGATGCTCATAGAGTAGAATGCTAGGGTTCTACCGGTAGACTTCTGTGATCAGGCTGTGAATATACGGTAGTGAGGCCCTGTCGGCGATGGACGGAAGACGGTCGGCCCCAATCACTGCGTCAATCTGTGCTTGCGCTTTGGTTTGGACGTCCGGGTAGTGGAGCATCGCAAGGAAGAAAGTTAGGATTGTTCACATATTCTGCTCATCTCAGAGATCAGCATGGGCTTCAGAGAGCAAGCAGCGAGCCAGATATACGAACCGTATCGAGCTCTCCTCCCAGGACAGCAGAAGCTACCCACGCGAAAGTTTGTTCATCTTCCCTTGAAAGCTCGCCCATCTTCCCTCGGAAGCTCGCCATTTGCTTGCAAGAGCGATATCACACGGAGAGAATCAAGATCTTCGGTGTTTTTGCCACCTCGAACAGGTTTGGGACGCTAGGAGTCCTTGTTCATGGTGCGGCAGTGAACAATTGGCCTGAGCGTGATTCATCCCTTCTTTTACGCAGCCCTCGCCCTTGATTGATGTGCATCGATATGTCTTGCTGTGGTATTAGGAATGGAAGCTGGTCCGTGATACAGCGATCTAGCTCATTCTTCACAGCATCCGGCGTTCATGCGGACGGCCTCATGAGAAGGTCGACCACAGTTTTCCAGCATTGGACCAACTTGGCAAAGTGTATCAAGCATGGAAGCTGTCTAACTGGAACTTATCCGGCGTGATACCTCCTTGAATGGCTGTGTTCTCTCACGGTGTGATTGGATGAAATGCCTTCGGAGATGTTATCTATCCCCTTGCGAGCTTCGTGTGGTTGAACATGCCTTCCATTGTGTTGTTCCAAACAAGGGTCGACAGGACGGATTGCAGCGTTCAAAATGGCGAGCCTGAATGCACGACGCTTTCACATTGCTCCATCATACCCACAAAGCTATGGCATCATCGGATTCCCTATCATTGCTGTACGTATATCCCACATCTATGATATAAAGCAGTCGTTGATTATAAGTACTATTTCGATTGTAGTGCAGGTCCGCAGGTTCGCTAGTCGTTGTTTATGTCTCGACTCTTGTCGACACAGCCTGAATTAGTTGCTGGCCTTCGTCTTCAACTGGGGCTTGCTCGGCATCCTCAACACGCAAGTCTGTGAGCACTGATTTCTACGCGCCTGGTGTGCATAGATTCTAATCCTGGGACTTACCCGAGACAGACGTGTACTATTGTAATTTTCCAGCAGACCGTATATACCTGAGGTGCCTAGGTACATATGACTTCTACTGATTCTCCTCTGAAAGTCCAGCTGAATTGTTACAGTATACGGCATTTTGACCTTCGAATGGGTCCAGACGGGCTTGGTCACTGCGCAAATGTTTGATGTTTACCTTTACAACTATGGCAATCGGGCTGCCATCATATCCACTAAATGGATTTGGTTCTCTGCTCCAGTCATGGGTTCTGTCATAGCGGCAACGGTGCAATTGTTCTTTGCATGGCGTATATTCGCGCTAGCCAAACCGAGCAAGCTTCATCGTGCAGCCTTGCGCAAGGCAATGTACGCATTAGTGTTCGTTATTGCGATTGTGAGTGAGCTATGCATACAGTGATTATAATTGTCTGCTCAATCACTTATGCGTAGCTATCAGTCGGTCAGGCAATTTCAGGGGTTACTGGCGGCATCTTGGTATGAATCTTGCTCATTCGTGTAACTCTTCAGGCTCATTCACATACGCTCAGGCACGCGTGTCGCCTTCTGCTCGCGACATGAATAATGCAGACATTCCTCTAACGGTATGTGCAAAATGTATCTGCTGTGTTGCGGCATCCATCGTGACAAATTGTAGCTCTGGCTTGTGTTGAGCGCAGTCGATGATGTCCTCATTGCGACTACCATGTGTATCTTGGTCAGTTCCTCGCTTCGCTTGTTCAACATCCCTCTAACGTCGAACCTAAGCTGCTCAAGAGCAAAACAGGATTTGCCTCGACAGATGCTTTAATCCATCGCATCATGAAACTCACCGTGGAGACGAATGCCGCCACCGGCAAGCATTCAATACATATAGATGCGATATCACACTTACAAATATCGTCTGCAGCATTCTTCGCCGTCGTCCTAGCCATAATCGCGGGCATTCCTCCAGTGAGTAGCGCAAACTTTTTCGTATTATCGGTCCATCTCAGTGAATGCAGACAGACACAACGCTCGTCTATCAATTTCCGTAAGTGGTAAAGATTATTGCTCGGTAATGACATGATTACTGACCTGCTGTAAAGGAGTATCGTGCTTCCCAAAGTGTATGTGGTCGATTTCCAGCATGACGTATGAACGTTATGACCGACATTCCTCCTTCAGATACGCCAATTCCTTCGTTGCGAACATCAACAGTCGAGCGTCCTTGAGACAGCAAAATTCTATCAGAGCTTCACTTCAAGTACCTCACATCGCCACGTCTCCGGAAACAACAGTACTAGACACCGTCGCAGACATTGAGGCGTCAAGAGAAAACAGTGGAGAAACCGCGTATAATAAGGATCGTGATATGAGCGAGACGATGGTAGAGCTCAACGTGAGTATCGGAATCATTGACTAGACCTTGAATTCATTTGAGACGTGCCGTGAAAGAGGACGTGGCCTGCCTTATTTGTTCCCAAGCGATATGCTAAGGCTGGAAATATTCATTGCGAGCTTGATACGAGATATACCTGTCAATTGCATTTATGACTCATGATATGCACTTCGTGCAATAGAGGATGCACTCTATCTAATGTTTGTTCCTGAGCGTTATGATAAATCCAGAAATATTCATTGCGAGCTCGATACGACCCGCGTCTATCAGTTGCATGAATGGCTCACGATATGCGCATTGTGCAAGAGGCCTGCAGTGAACAACATACTCGAGGGGTTGTCAAATAATAAGTTCTTCATAACGTTCATCTGCCAAGGGAGGTCTTTCAATCTTGGACTTGCAGTCGTGGTTTTTTCTGCATGCAGGGCTGTTGAGCACGCATCAATTCACACTGGCTCAAACTTCAGCACGGGACTACAGAAAATCAATTTATCATTAACAATGTAAACTCGCTTCCGACGCTCACAGATTAATAGCAGACCATTGAGATGTATAACATGATTGACGCTCAGAAGTAAGGAGAGCTACGATGCCTTCCGATCGCGTGCGATACTCTTACCTTCATCCTGGGTGGAACGGAAGGGCGATTCTGATGCCTCTCACCTCTCAACCCCTGGCAATAAACTCGGTGGGAACATCAACCGGAACTGTAGCGGCAGCGGTGACGGTTTTTGCTTTCTCAAAGGGCAACGACTTGGAGGTTGGCGAAAAGACAGCCCACGCTTGGCATGACGCGAAGGTCGGCATTGCTCATACGACTTGGAGGTCAGCCAGTCTTCCTGTTATGAGTCCGACTTTCTCGTCGACATGGACTGGATTGTCAAATTCGTATTCGTGATGTTGGATGCATACCAACAGAAGTGCATCTACCAAAGCGTCCCTGTCAGGGGCGATTTCGACAAGAATAGATCCGGTCACGCACCTGAGAATCTTCCGTCCTGAGCAGGGCAGTCTTCCTCTGCTTCTGTCCAGGAAATGACTGACGAGTTCCACAATTTCGTCGATCCTCACGTTGACCAGCAGAACGTCCAGGCCGGTCTCGCACGTTGTGGAGCCGAGCTCGCGGGTATGATGCTCCCCGCTATGGCAGAGAAAATATCGAAAAGCGAGCTGCGATAGGCAGCAGGCAGGGCAAAGTCGCAGTCACAAATTCAACGAGAAGTCGTCCACCGTACAATGCATCCTGCAGCCACTGCTTGCGATCTGCTCGCGCGGTATTCTACTCACCTCGAGGACAGCCAGCTTCCAAGCCTTCAGAACAGAAATGAATGAATCAGAGTATCGTCACGCAGGAAGACATCAGCCAATACACCAGACATGTGTTCATACAAGCCCAGAAGAACATAGAGCAGCATCTTTCCGCCTGAGACATCTCATTCAGAAGGAGGGATACTCTGGGCCAGCAACGCCCGCGCACGCTCCGTCCGACTCTTGACATTGCACCTGAATGGCTCAGGAAACCTGCAAACAAAGAGGTACCTCTCAACCATACATCCACAAAAGAAGTTTCTTTCAAGCCACACAGAGACTCACACTATCGTTCCAGACGTATAAGCAACCTCAGGAATGACCGGCGCACCATGTTCATCGACAGCTGGCACGACGTCGCAGGTGGCGAGCACGGTGGCGATCACCGCGAATATGGTGCCCTGAGCAAAGTAGAACCCTGGGCATGCCCGCCGTCCGAACCCGAATGCCAGGTCGGTAACCTTCTGCATCTCGGCGTCCGAGTTGCCGTACCGCTCAGGCTTGAAGTCCATCGGGTCGGCGTATGTCGTCGGATCGTGCAGCATATGCCTGGCAGCGAATCCGATACTTGCTGAGCATGCTGATGACGGAAAGCACATCGTGGCATGCTCACCAAACGTTTGGCATCACGACAGAACCCTTGGGAAGGTGAATACCATTGTACACGTCCGCTTCGCTCAGTGCATGAGGAAGGCCTAGAGACATCCATCAGCAAAAATGAGTGACAGAGAGAGACAGATGCTCACAGAGGGGCACAGCAGGATTCCACCGGTACACTTCCGTAACCAGGCTGCGAACGTACGGGAGCGACGCCCTGTCAGTGATTGACGGCAGACGATCCGTCCCAACCACTGCGTCAATTTCTGCTTGTGCTTTTGCCTGAACGTCCGGGTAGTGGAGCATGGCGAGGAAGAAAGTCAGAATCGTGGACATGTTCTGCTCACCTCAAGAGATCAGCATTGGTCTCAGAGAGCAGACAGGAGGGAGAAATGTACGGACGGTGTCGAGCCCTCCTCCCAGAACACTCGCTGCTGCCCAGACGAGAGTATGTTCGTTCTCCTGAGACAGCCCACCATCCGCTTGCAAGAGTGATGTTGCACAAAGACTGGGAGTGTGTGCAATGCCACTGGACTTGAAGATAAGGTATTAACAGCGCCCGCGGATGGCAGAAACAGCAAGATAACACTTACAATGTTCTGCTTGCACCAACGGTATGGATTCCAACTCGCGTTCATGTGGGTCTCGCGCCACTCTCGGGCAGTGCGGAGAAACCCTGCCCCTGGCATCCAATGGGGCAGGTACTGGACTGTAAATGCGAGAGTGAGCAGACGTGCAACGATGAAGGAGGGGAAGGGATACACGCTTACGTTGCGGGATGAAGTCCACGAGCCACGTGCCTACGGCGCACGCCTTGCTGAAGTTGGCCATGGAAGTGAACGGAATGGTTATATACGGGTCGTCCTCGGACTTGACGGTATAGCCATAGCTGGCCTCCATGATGATCGCCGAGATCCTCCTGCGGAGGAAGTCTAGCTGTGGCGGGAGAAACGCAACGAAAGCCAGCAGACACTTACATCTTCACCTGGCCAGCAAGCGAGCTTGGGTCCTGGAGCACGGCTTGAACAAGCTTGTGCGCCTCGGTCTCCTGGAGGTGATAGTAGCACAGAACGGTCCCTTGGGCAAAATCCTGCCTGACGAGTTTGCGCTGCCTGCGGAATTCCTCGCCATAGGGCTTGAGGGCGAAAGTCTCGCTGTAGCCGACCCTGAAGATTGCCGCAATCGACAGGCGGTGAGCATGTCACACACCGAATTGGGGGGTTGACCTACAGATCGCATGCCATGACCTGCGAATAGGATGATGGATGAGAGCGCGACAACATGTGGCATAGAACAACGATCAAAACTCACGAGATGAGGCCTGTCCGAATAAACGGAGGATCGCTTGTCGAGGAGATCTCTGGCTACCTCGGCAGAGTTGATGATGATGACGGGCCGGCCAAGGACGTCTAGATGAATAATATCGCCTGACAGACGACGCGTAAGACCGTGGTTCCAAGGTCAAGCAGGGAGAGATAACTACCGTATGTGTCCGCCCACTTGGAATAGGTCAGCCAAGGATTGAGCTGGGGGATCTGAAGCACATTGCCGACAAGGGGCCAGCGGATGGGGCCAGGGGCGAGACGGAGGCGTTTACGTGAGCACATGAGATGCTTCGCCAGGACGTAGGTGCCACCGGCGATGGCGGCGACGGCAAGAGGTCGAAGGATGTCTTTGGCGACAGCAGCGAGACAGAGAGCGGCTGCGGCAGGCAGAATGGTGTCCATGGCCTCGATGTCGATGACGATAACTAAAATCCGGCTTATGACACTTTTATCTGCTTGCCATGACCAAAAAAGACAGTAAGCTTCAGGATCTCCTTGCCTTGTTGGGAACTTCTTGTTGTGGCTTATTGGATTGTGCAAGCCAAAACCAGAGAGAATAAGTCAAAAAGGAGGTTCTCGAGCCACAAGTACGGATGCCGAGGGTGGTCAATTTTGTTTCTCAGTCTCAAGTTGCACTGTCGTATCCTGCTGTGGAATCTCATCTACACGTTGTGAGCATCTTTGCATCGTGTAGTAGCATTAAAATTGCCTTATCCTTCCTCTACGTAAGCTCTGGAGCCATCCTGCGCACTGGACAAGGGAAGACAACTGAGTATTGTAGAGGAAGCCAGGCCGTTGCCGATCGCTCAGTTGACTGGCACTCCTCGAGTCCAGAGCCAAAGACGTGCAACTTGCGACTTGGGAAATAGACCTGATCCTCCTAGGCAACGGTACATAAATCGATTTGAGGTTTCCTGATCATCGCGCATGGACTGAGTTCACTTGAGTGGTGGGGAGAGAGTGAAGGAGGTGCAGCACCATGATGGGCGAGGACTCGGAAGACGATATGTTGAGAGTGCAGGGGAAGCGACGAACACGGCGGCGAGAGCAGTAGATATCGAGCCAAAAGAGATAAAACACGGTTCTTGGTCTCTTTCTCTCTCTCGGGCGTCCGATCGCTGCCCCAGCATCAGGCAGCCCCCGCTCTCGCACTCCATTCTTCGCACAGCCGCTGTACCAGGCATGCCATTCCCAGCCACTCCCACTGCGTTTTAGCATTTTGCTGCCCAAACCTACTTCCACGTTGCCTCATGGATGTATGTCCGGTGTCTGTCACCTGCCATCAGTGTGCTTCTTCTGACCTTGCCTCGCAGCCTCTCATGCCATAGCATCGCCGATCTTCCCAAGTCTGATATCAGCAGCACGTCGTGCGCGGCGCTCCGCACACCCTGAGCTGCCCCTCGATTGCGCCCACTCGTGGAGCGCCTCGTGCAGGCCCGGCTACGCCTCGCTCACCTTTCCAGTCTAGTGGTCCTGATTGTGTTCGGGCGAGCGCGGATCGGTCATGATTCAATCCATTTATCGTGTCAACCCTTGAGGTTTCATTGACGATACCTACTGGATTGCATCAAGTTTGAGGGAAATAAATGGTTAGTTTAAATGAACAGCTGCGTCCACGTACTCGTGATTGTGACGGTACACTTCATCACATTGGAAATAACCTTTCAAGCATTGACGAGAATCATGACCGCTGGAATTTTGAAACATTGAAAGATTGATTCTGCCCGGCTTTGAGATTATTGTCATAGCCCAATGTGAGGCACACATGTCCATTAGATGTACGTAGGTTAGCCTTCATGAAAGAAGTCAAGGAATTAGAGCATCGTCGCACAGTAAGACATCAGCCAATACACCACACGTGTATTCAACGTACAACCCCAGAGAACATAGAGCAGCATCTGTCTGCCTACAACAATTCATTCAGGAGGGGGCATACTGTGAGCCAGCAACGCCCGCGCACGCTCCGTCCGACTCTTGACATTACACTTGAACGGCTTAGGAAACCTAAAAGCGAAGAGGAAGAGGCACCTCTCAACCAGATATCCGAAAGAGTTTCGATCCGAACAGACTCACACGATGGTTTCAGACGTATACGCAACCTCAGGAATGACCGGCGCGCCACGATCATCGACAGCTGGGACGACGTCGCAGGTGGCGAGCACGGTGGCGATCACAGCGAATATGGTGCCTTGGGCAAAGTAGTACCCCGGGCATGCCCGCCGTCCGAACCCGAACGCCAGATCGGTGACCTTCTGCATCTCGGCGTCCGAGTTGTTGTACCGCTCAGGCTTGAACTCCATCGGGTCGGCGTACGTCGTCGGATCGTGAAGCATGTGCCTAGGGAGATCCCGATATCTCTTTAGCACACTCATGATGGAAGACGCGTCGTGGCATGCTCACCAAACGTTTGGTACTACGATAGAACCCTTCGGAAGGTGAACGCCATTGTACACGTCCGCCTCGTTCAGCGCATGAGGAAGGCCTAGAGACATCCGTTAGCGATAGCGCGCGCGAAGGGCAGTCGAACACTCACAGAGGGGCACAGCAGGATTCCACCGGTACACTTCCGTAACCAGGCTGCGAACGTACGGGAGCGACGCCCTGTCAGTGATCGACGGCAGACGATCCGTCCCAACCACTGCGTCGATCTCTGCTTGTGCTTTGGCCTGGATACCCGGGTAGTGGAGCATGGCGAGGAAAAAAGTCAAGATCGTGGATACGTTCTGCGCACCCCAAAAGGTCAGTCACGGGTCTCAAAGGGCAGGCAGGGGCGACCAAATTGACAGACCGTATCGAGACCTCCTCCCAGAGCACTCATCGCTGCCCAGACGAGGGTGCACTCGTCTTCCTTGGACAGCTCACCATCCGCTTGCAAGAGCGATGTTGCACAAAGACTGGGGGTGTGTGCAATGCCGGTGGACTTGAACATAGGGCATTAATAGCCGCCCACGGATGGTAGAAACAGCAAAATGGCACCTACAATGTTCTGCTTGCACCATCGGTATGGAGTCCAACTCGCAATCATGAAGATTTCGCGCCACTCTCGGGCCGTGCGGAGAAAACCTGCCCCTGGCATCCAATGAGGCAGGTATTGCACTGTAAATGCGAGCGTGAGCAGACTTGCAAAGATGAAGGGGGGAGATGGATGCGCGCTTACGTTGCGGTATGAAATCAACGAGCCACGTGCCTACGGCGCACGCCTTGCTGAAGTTGGCCATGGAAGTGAACGGAATGGTTATGTACGGGTCGTCCTCGGACTTGACGGTATAGCCATAGTTGGCCTCCATGATGATCGCCGAGATCCTCCTGCGCAGGCGGTCTAGCTGTGGCGGGAAAACGCAACGAAAGCCAGGAGACACTTACATCTTCATCTGGCCAGCAAGCGAGGTTGGGTCGTGGAGCACAGCTTGGACAAGCTTGCGCGCCTCAGTCTCCTGGAGATTGTAGTAGCGCGGAACGGTCCCTTGTGCAAAATCTTGCCTGACGAGTTTGCGCTGCCTGCGGAATTCCTCGCCATAGGGCTTGAGAGCGAAGGTCTCGCTGTAGCCGACCCTGAAGATTGTCGCGATCGACGGGCGGTGAGCATGTCACACACCGAATTGGGGGGTTGACCTACAGATCGCATGCCATGACCTGTGAATAGGATGATGGATGAGAGCGCGACAATATGTCGCATAGAACAAAGGTCAAAACTCACGAGATGAGGCCTGTCTGAATAAATGGAGGATCGCTTGTCGAGGAGGTCTCTGGCTACCTCGGCAGAGTTGATGATAATGACGGGCTGGCCAAGGACATCTAAATGAATGATATCACCTTTCGTCGACGCGTAAGGCCGTGGTTTCAAAGGCATGCGAAGAGAGGTGATCACCGTATGTGTCCGCCCACTTGGAATAGGTCAGCCAAGGATTGAGCAGGGGAACCTGAGGCGCATTACCGACGAGGGGCCAACGGATGGGACCAGGGGCGAGACGGAGGCGTTCGCGCGAGGACAGGAGATGCTTCACAAGGACGTAGGTGCCACCGGCGATGGCGGCGACGGCAAGAGGCCGAAGGATGTCTTTGGCGACAGCAACGAGACAGAGAGCGGCGGCGGGACGGAGGCGTTCGCGCGAGGACAGGAGATGCTTCACAAGGACGTAGGTGCCACCGGCGATGGCGGCGACGGCAAGAGGTCGAAGGATGTCTTTGGCGACAGCAACGAGACAGAGAGCGGCGGCGGCGGGTAGGATGGTGTCCATGGCTTTGACGCAGACGACGACGGTACGTAGGTGGGGGGAGGCTGGAGGAGGCGCAGCATTATGACGGGCAAAAATCTGGAGGAAGACATGTTGAGAGTGCAGCGGAAGTGATGGGCACTGAGGCAAGAGCAGTAGATGTCAAGCCGTTCTTGATCAATATCTCTTTCGGGCGTCCGATCGCTGCCCCAGCATTCCATTAATCTCGCACAGCCGTTGCTGCCAAATTTTTGACCACGCTGCACCAGGCCCATTGTTGTGGCCTTTTGGGTCCCAAACCTACTCCGACGTCGCTTCTCGAGTCTCAACCCACTGGAACGGTTGCCGGGGAAGATCAGGTCTATATCGCAAGGCCTACGTCTTTCCGCTCAGGCCTTCAGGACTGATCTGAAGAATGTACGGATCGACCGAGCAATCGGCAACGGCCGAGTATTCTCTACAATAATTAGTTGCTTGTCCGTTTCCCGGTGCGCAGCATGGAATCAGAGCTTATGTAGAAGAAGGATAAGGTGTAAGAAAGTAAATTGCATAGTTAGTGCTCTGGTCGGAGGTCCCGTTGCGTCGACATTGTGCCGTGGGAGAGAAGAATGACGGAGATATTGGCCGCCGAGTGAACCTTTTGACGACGCTAGTAGACCTTAGACGCGAAGTACCCGAGAGTAGACGAGAATACACGAGTTCACGATGAGAGCCCCCACATCGGGTAACGAGCAGTCGAAGTTGCCAGTCGGAGCACACGAGCAGATTCAAGTTGGGGAATCCACAGCTCCGTTCAAAGACGGGCCCGACGTACCTTATATACATACGAATCGGATGATGGTGAGAGACATCAAGTGACATAAGAAGGAGTCCGTGGGACACCGTCGACAGAGAATAAGGGAGAATCCGTGACAAGGAAAAGGGAACCTGCCGCATATGGTAATCATATGCCTAAAATGAACAACCACTTTCCGAATCTCGAGGTGACCTGTACGATTGCGTGCGGTGAATGGCGCTACGATTGACACTGAAATGGTACTCAAATCGGACGTGACATTTGACATGGATTGACTTTTCACTGGCACGACTTTTCAAGCTTTCAAGGATGACATGCCTTGGGTAATTTTTTTTTTTTAAATACAATTTATATCCCGCCCCGAAGGGGCGGTCGGAGGTGTGTAAATAGATGTCGTGTAACAACGGAGGACCAGACGCATCTGGGGGCAAAGAAGCTTAACGTACGGACACCAGGTCCCCACGGACGCAACAGAGCAGGCGTATAGTAGAAGGGCACGAAGCCCGGTAAGCTGTGTCATGGACCACGCAAGCGCCGATAACCTAACAAAATGCATATGCCTGACCAAACTCGAAAACCGTGCCGCGGTCAGTCCGTTGACTCGTTAGAAACACTGTTTAAGGGGAATCGAACCCCCAAGATACTCCCACCAAACAGTCCTCGTTCACTGCAGAGGCAAAGTGGCGTGCAGGGCATGGTGACCAGTTGAACATTGAGGGGAAGCCGGCTGGACCAGGGTTAGTGAATTGCACGACGGCGGGCCGAAGGGCGGAGTGAGTTGGCAGCCAAAGAGATGTCGGGGCGGAGGGAATCGACAGAATGAGTGGGTGACGCGCGGCGAACCCTACCACGCAGCAGGCTGGATAAAAACTGATCTCCTGCGTTTAAGTGTTGCTACGCCGGCATGTTGACCCCGTATTCGGTGCGGGCATGCCTTGTGGTGACGGAGGGGAGCAGACGGGGGGCGCTAGAAATGAGAAAGAAAGGAACGTGGTAAAAATGGAGTCGCACTCGCCCCTACATGGCAACATCAGAGTCGCCAGCAGCGGGCAGCACGGGTCGCTCGAGAGAAGAGGTCGGAGTGGGGCCAGCACTCCGGAAAGAGGTGCGTTTGGGGCACTGGTCAGAGTCGGCGTGGTGGAGACCACGGCAGTTCACGCAGCGCGCATGAGCGCAGGGGTCGGAGGCGGTGCGATTCTCCTTCGCGCACATGGCGCACCGAGCGCGGTGCACCGATTCAAGATGGCGGCCAGCACAGACACGGCACCGGGGCGGCTTCGTGCATCCTGCAACGAGGTGGCCATAACCCCAGCACCTCGTACATTGTCGGAGGCGCGGCTTATCACGCCAGCGCGACGTGGTGACGGGAGTACTGAAAGCGAATAGGGGGGTCTGAAGGAGGGCGGTGAGGATGGAGCCATCGGGGTCTTCGAATCCGAGGACGACGGTGTCACAGATTTTCACGTTTTCACCT